AGGGGCTGTGTGGTACTTGGTTGCCAGCTGGAGTTAAACCACGATAACCTGCAACCGCGCAACTATATTACCTGACTGATGTTCAGTAGCACAACAGATGTCTGAATGCAGGATAGGGAGTACAGGCTTCACTGAAGACTAGTGCTTTGTATTTAATTAAAACACAAATAATATGTTTAACAATCAGATAGCAGAAACAGAAATAGAAGCAAAGTGCCACACATTGTGCAGGATGTGCAGCACACTGTGGGTATTTCTCTGTGCAGCACACTGTGGGTATTTCTCTGTGCAGCACAGTAGGAATGTACACTGCAGCTGAACAGAGCCATACTTCACCCACAAAGGCTAGGAGTGAATAAAAAGATCAAGACAGCCTATGAGTTCTCAAAGTGATTTCTTAAAATTAAGGAAGTTATATCTAGCTGCCACTTCTGTCAAAATGAGGTCTGGGTTATGCAAAATAGCAGATAGTGTACCCTGAGCAGTTTTGTCAATAGCATGTGTAACCTATGAGCAATCTTACTAACATGGGTTTCTCTTGTGTAAATCTGTCACAGCAAACACAGATTACTTGTATTCCCAGCATTCAGAACTGCCCTGCTGGGGCCCTGATGCCATTTCTACTGGAATCAGTGGTAACATCTCTGTTTACTTCACTGATCTGAGGATCACTTACAATGACATTAATGCTTCTCTTCTAAAACGAGAGAGTAGAAAAAAATTGCTATTGCAAACACTGGCTGTTTGGGAAGCCAACTCAGAGTGCATGTGATTGTTCAGGAAGTGCCACTTTTAAGGCGCATTACCAGCTGCTGCCTTTTTTTTATTTCATGTTTCTTTCTTTCAGCTAGAACTCTTCAGAGTAATCATTTCAATGTATTTTATCTACACTGGAAACATAAGGGTCAGGATAGACCTCCAAAATCCTTTCAGTTATAATAGATATATATATGATTTACCCAATTTAAAATTAAATGCAAATTCTGAAATCTGGTGTAAACTAAATGTTAAGTATAGTACTTCATCAAATCTTTTAATCAATGACAACTGCCAAAACGTGAAATATATTGGAAAAACTTCTTCTGTCTACTGTTATGTTAGACTGCAATTCCACTTAGCATGTTTTCTTCTGACTATATATTATGTGCAATAATCTCATTCAGTTAAACTCAAAGAATTTCAGCTAACAAAGGTTGTAGTTCACAAGAGAACTCCAAGTTGCCAAGAAAATGCCTTGACTCCAGAAAAGAATTCCAGATCTTTATTCCTCTATCAAGACCAATGAATGCTGTAACAACCTCTACAGAAATATCCTGTTCTCCTAAAAAAAAAAAGAACCCCAAAATAAACAAACAAAAAAATACGCAAAACCCCAAACAAGAAAAAAAAACAACAAAATTCTCACTTTATGATTCTGAAACAAAAAGCATAAGCAATAACAAATTAGTAACCATAAAAAATGACAATAATATAGTTTAATTATCAAACTACAAAATTAAAACCATAAACATGGAAAAACATTAACCTAAATGAAAAAGCTCATACTGAATCATATGGGTAAAGTGTGGATGTAATATACTTGGGCTTAATTATTGTCCTTAGTGTCACAGACAATGTTATCAATTTCCTTTCTTTTGTCATATGGCACCTCTTCAGTTAAGGCAGGAACCTCCTACTTTGTGTTCTATTTCTAGTAACCATTCACACATAGGGCCAGACTTCTGCAGTTACTTAGGCACCAAAAACACATTCTTGGTGGTACTGATGTAAGCAACAAATAATTCTTGTCAGCAGACATCAACAAGAGAGCATTTTACAACTAACGAGGGAAAAGACACAGTTTACAGTGCTAGGAGTCTCCTGAACAAAACTTGAAGATCAGCATCTTCCTGGTGAATGTATTCAGAAGCCTACTGAACTTTCAGTGTTTGTTTTGCCAAACCACTGAACACATTTCATTGACGATGGCAGGAAGAATGCCATTACTCTCTAGTTAGTTGCTACAACTGCAAGAACTGGCCTTGAAATTGAGATGAAATGTTTTATTGATAAGCAGACCTTGGAGTTTTTATTGTGTATCATGAACAGATGTAAAATTCAGGAGTGTTTAGACTCTTCTAGTTTTGAAGAGTTTAAAGTCAGTACTATGGATTTACTGAGTAAGCTTACTACATTTTACAGCAGTTAGTACATTGCTGCATGTATAATTGAAGTAGTTTAGGACTTATTTCACCTTGTCCTCAGGAAAGGTTGTGTAACTAGAGCAAACATTGTTCCAGCATGATTCAGCTGATTCCAAAGAACACTCAAAACCGTGTGTCTCTGAAAGACTTGGAAATAAAGCATCCCTGTGATGTCTGGCTTTACTGTAGTTATGAATACATTCTAGAATGGTTTATGAAATAGTTCATACATTTTGACATCCCTGTAAGATTGACAGAATTCAATGTTTGGTGGGGTTTGGTGACACACTAATGAGGTTCACAGTGCGCCCTGTTTTAATTCACCACCTCTCATGCTGTTTTGTGCCAAAGCCATTCTGAAAGCACTACCTGCAACACTGAAGAAACAAGCTTGAGAATTTTCATATTTATGTACATGAAAATACATGGAATAGGTCTAAAGTTATATGATTTCATTAGACCCTGTAAATTAGAAGTTTTTGAGAACAAAACCAAGAAGAAAAATCTTTTATTTATTTCTTCTATGGGCGAGTTTACTTCCCTGAACTCTTAGTACGGGACTGAGAAGGCTGGCTGTGATTGTCCTGTACCAGAGGACAGCCCTGTACCCTGAAGGTGACCTGACGACCTCCCATCCTGACCTCTGTGTGAACACTGCTCAGATTTCTTCTGAACTCTCTTGCCTTGGTAAGTCTGCAGATGTTACAGACTTCTAACTATGGCCACAAGGTTACGACAGAAAACCACTCCTCTATGGGCTGCTGCTTCCCTTGGGGCACATCCACCTGCTCCAGTGTGGGTTCTCCATGGGCTGCAGGTAGATATCTGCTCCAGCATGGATCTCCATGGTCTGAAGGGGACAGCTTGCCTCACCATGGTTTGCACCACAGGCTGCAGAGGAATTTGTGCTCTGGTGCCTGCAGCATGTCCTCCCCTCCTTCTGCACTCACCCTGGTGTCTGCAGGGCTGCTTCTCCTGTGTTTCTCACTCCTCTCACTCACAGCTGCTGTGCAGCAATTTTCACCCTTTCTTAAATACACTATCACAGAGGTGCCACAAGCATTGCTGAGAAGCCCAGCTGTGCCCTGGAGCGGGTTTGTTGGAGCTGGCACAAATGGGCTGTCTGGCACAGGGCACTACCCAGTTTCTTCTAAGAAATGCTGCTCTCTGTCCCCGCAAATGTGCCATGAAAACCCAATACTGCATGCTGCAAAAACTCAGGGGTTTTGCTTACCAATGAAACTTTTTGACTTAATTTAAAACCTAATTGTTGCAGTTCCAGGAACAAGTTGGATATAAATTATTTTCTTCCTGTCATCATCAAAGAAATGCACTGCGGCTGTGTGACAGAACAAGAACCTTGTGAGCGTGGGAGGCATCGGCACACAGTCACTCAGGGCAAACATGACCCAGATTTTGCAGTCTGATTCACCACATCCCAGTGGTGTGAGAGTCAAACTCTTTGGAGAAGTACCAAGATTCAACTTGGTTTAGTCATTATGCTAATAATAGAATTATAGAATGGATAGGGGTGGAAAGGACCTTAAAGACCATCTAGTTCCAGCCCCCCTGCCATGGGCAGGGACGCACATCAGACCAGGTTGCTCACAGCCCCCTCCCCAGCCTGGCCTTAAACACTTCCAGAGATGGGGCAGCCACAGCTTCTCTGGGCAACCTGTGTCAGTGCCTCACCACCCTCAGTGAAGAATTTCTTTCCTAATGTCTAATCTAAACCATCCCTCTGTCAGTTTAAAGCCATTCCCCCTTGTCCTGTCACAACACGCCTCTGTAAAAAGTCCTTTTCCAGATTTCCTGTAGGCATCCTTTAGGTCCTGGACACTGCTCTAAGGTCTTCCCAAAGCCTTCTCCAGGTTGAAGAAGCCCAACTCTCTCAGCCTGTCTCCATAGCAGAGATGTTCCAGCCCTCGGAGCATTTTTGTGGCCCTGCTCTGGACTTGTTCGAGCAAGTTCATGTCCCTTTTGTGTTGGGGATCCCAGAGCTGAACACAGTACTGCAGATGGAGTCTCATGAGAGCGGAGTAGATGGGCAGGATCACCTCCTTTGACCAGCTGGCCATGCTCCTTTTGATGCAGCCCAGGATATGGCTGGTTTCACACTCAAGCCAGCTCATGTTGAGCTTCTCATCAGCCAACACCCCCAGGCCCTTCTTCCCAGCAGTACTTTCATCAGTTCTCTGCCCAACCCATAGCTGTGCCTGAGGTTGCCCCAACCCAGTTGTAGGACCTTGCACTTGACCTTGTTGAACTTCATGAGGTTGGCACTGGCCACCTCTCATGCTTCTCAAGGTCCTTCTGGATGGCATTCCTTCCAGCATGTCGACTGCACCACACAGCTTGGTGTCGTCGACAGTAATTCAGTTGCAGTAATTTCTACACTGGCTTAAGCCGGGGGAAAAAAAACAGTAAAAAAAAATATGGTAACGGCCATCCCATTTGAACCCCTTGGACCAGCTGACTGACGTCCTAAACCCGGGCAGGAGCTGCCGGCCAGTGTGCAACCACCGCATGGCGTTCGGACCGACCACGAGCACACCTGGAGGTTCCTATTCCCGGTCAACCTGCTCCCCACTCCCTCCCAGCGCCCTACCTCGGCCCCGCCGCTTCCCGTGCCGGGCCGTGCCGTGCCGTGCCGTGGCGCGGCGCAGCGCACCACGCCCTCCCACGCCTGCAGTCGGCAACAAGCTACCGCGCCTGCGCGACAGAGAGCGGCCCAAGGCGCATGCGGGGGGAGGGCGGGGCTGGGGGAGGGGCAGTGGTCGGGTAGGAGCTGGCGGTCCGGGGGCCGCGCTGGTGCTGCTGCCGCCGGCGTGGCAGTGGGGGACAGGATGGTGTTCGAGTCGCTGGTCGTGGACGTCCTGAACCGTTTCCTCGGCGACTACGTGGTGAACCTGGACAGCTCCCAGCTGAAGCTGGGCATCTGGGGAGGTAGGGGGCTGCCACGCCGCGGCGGGACGCGCCGCCTGGCCCTTCCGCGCTGGGGAGCAGCCTGCCTGCCCGCCCGCCGCCTCCGCCTTCAGCACCCTCGCTTAGCTGTCTGCTCGCCCCCGCAGGGAGGAGGCCGAGGCGGTGGTCCCTGAGCGTCGGGGCCCGTCGGGCCGGAGCGGGCGATGCCGCCCCGCCACCGCGCTGGGCTGACTGCCCGCAGCTCCGCCGCCGCTCCACCTGCTCGGCAGCTTAAAAATAGTTGTGGGGGCGGGCGGCAGGGAAGTGTCCGCGGGGGGCGTGGAGCAGCCGGGTGCGGCAGCGGGGAGAGACCGGGAGGCGCTGCAGCGGGTGGGGGAAGCGCTGGGGGTGTGTGAATGCCCGCTTGCGGTGAATTCTTCCTCGTGGAGCTGCCCCTGCTGCCTATTCCTGGCTGGGTCGTACCCTGGGTGGGGAGGTTGCGGGTTCGGTCCGAGCGGCGCTCAAGGCACTCGCGGAAAGTTAGGGGAGGGCTTGGCGGGGAGTCTTACACGGCCTTGCTGAGCGCCAAACCGGACCGACTTTTTTCCCTATCAAGAAATAAGAAACTGAAAACAAACGGGGTTTTGATAACATTTTAGTATCGGTGGTGGGCCGGTGGGAGCGAGCAGCCTCTCTGCGAACAGCTGTGACATTCCATTTCTTGGTCCTGTCATCAGTAGGTCTAGAATATTTGTCATTTTTAGCGTTGAAGTATCAGGAATGGAGACTGTCTTAGGTGTTTGCAGAGGCTATGACCAGCCGTGCTAGGCGAGTAGAATAGTCTGTAGAATGGCAATTAGTATGCCAGTTTTGAAGGAGGGGAAGTATTCTGTTTTGTGGAGGTCCCTTTAGTAACGTAAGTACAAGAAAACAGCAGCAAAGATCTCTCCTTCCTGTACGTCTGGGCAAAGTAAGGCAGGTTAAGAAGAGTAAGACCCACACAACTGACAGATGTGTATGCAGTGACCACTCCTGGCTGGGTTTTGAATGCGCATTCTGGGTGTCTGCAGCATCAGCAAAAGCAGAGGTGCACATTTGCTGGTTTTTTTTTTGTTTTTCTTTGTTTTTTTACATGTATGTTCATATGTCTGCAGGTGTGAAGCATCCTTGAAGTACAATTCCAGTCTTAGGTACTCATGTTTATGAATCAGATTTTTTTTGCATCTTGGACATTTTTGTTTAATGCATCTATTTTCTGAAATGGTGTCCTTGTTTGGTTTCATCTCTGCTGTAATTTTCCTTCAGTTAGTCAGGGAATTTTTGGGATCTTTGCAAAGTTCAGTCTCTGTATGGAGTTGTAACACTGTAACAGCACATGTAACTGCTGGAGAAAAAGTAGTAGTCCTTGATCTGTAACAGTAAGGCCCAGTGTAGCATTGATGTGTTATATACTGTGCGTTGTATGTGTCTTGTTTGAAAAGAATGAGTTGCACTTTTGCTGAAAGACGCAGTATCAAACGAATAATTTGTGTACAGAACACACCATTTGTGTTCTTAAGTTATCTTAGTTTCTTCTTTCATTTCAAGAATGGCAAGCAGGATAATGTAAAATAGAATCATAGAATGGTTAGGGTTGGAAAAGACCTTAAGATCATCTACTTCCAACCCCCTGCCATGGGCAGGGAATAGAATCATAGAATAAATAGTCCTCCCTCCCTCCATCTTTCTTGCTGTTGCTATTGTTCAGGCCTGGTACCAGTATAAGGACAGCAGCTTCACACCTGCAGCTTTGTCTAGTAATAATGAAGATGACACTAACGCTATAAAGCTGTCAGCAGCACTCTAAGCTGACCTCTGTACCTCTCTGGAGAAAGGAACTTTAAGATATGGAACATTTAAATATTTTGGGTAATGTTTAGACATTACAAAGAGGTAGAACCTTATTTTTCCAGCGCTGTAGATTGCTGGTGGGTTATGGTTCTACGAGGCAGCTCTTACCAGACTAGATGCACATCAGATCTCTCATTTAAAAAAAAAAAAAAAAAAAAATCCTAAATAGTTTTCACTGGTTTTAACTGTAGAGTGTTAATATGGGGCTGTTACGTTTTTTTATCTATGTGGAACTTAATTTTGCGCTCTTATATTATTTCCTCTTCAAGTAGTTTTAATGTTTTAGAGGCTTTAGTATATTTTTTCTTTAAATTCCTTTTTCTACAGAATGGTGCCTTTGTACTAGAGAAAAGATTAGTTTTTCTCTACTTAGTCTGTGCACTTGCTTAGCATGAAAATTGGTATATGAAGCTACATCTTGCTCTGAGATGCCTAACTGTGTAGCATTGCTGAAGGATCACCTATGGAGGTTTATTTTTAACTCGTCTGCTGCATGATGCTTTCACTTGCATTTGCAACTTCAACTGTGTTTAATGTTTCATTTCAAACAATGTGGTTTTTTTCGTTCCAAAGATCTTGGAGGACTAAAAAATTGCATGCCTCTATCTAAAAGGCAGTTAACAGTAGTAATAGCAGTGGACTGCTGTATTTATATGGAGGCCATCACTGATTAGTAGATCCCTACACTCAGTGTATCTAGATGCTACTGATAATTTTATTGTCTTCCTAATTACTGAAATTACGGAACTAAATTATTATCATTTTAATAAAATAGTACTATTTTTTGTCTTCGTATTTCATGTAAACTTAATAAATTTTTGTGCTTTCCTGCACTCTCTGAAAGCATTTCCATTAACAGCTCTGTGTTTTTATATAGTACTTGTTTTTGTGTGTCATAAACTTGCTAAATTTTACATAAATCATGTAGTCTTGAAATCAGATTGTGCCAAATCAATTAAATATTTTGATAGCAGTTAAATGGGATGTTTTCTATCTGTAACAAATGGCCAGTGCTTTTTGGATGCTATAGCACTGCATCCCCACTATAAATCTGTATCTTAAATTTTAAAAAGCTTTTTTTGTTTGTTTTGTTTTGTTTCTGAATGAATAAATAACCAAGGGAGTTTTTTTAGATGCTGGAACAGATTATGTCCTTGTGGTATTTCGTAGCTAACATGTTTTAAATCAAGAGTGGTAACCTGTTGGTAGATTCTGGTTATATGGATTAAAACTAACTTTATATAGTTTCAGCTTCTGCAAATTTGGGAGCTTTAGTAATGACTTTTTAATGAACAAGCTTTTTAGTTTTGCATAATAAGAGAATTCATCATGCCACATTAAATCTATCCATATTCAATCTGTGTAGTAAAGTTGTGTGATGAAACTGCTCCAAACAACATACATGAGCACTTATTTTTTTGCCTCTTAAAAAAAACCCCAACCTCAGATTGAAGGGTAAAAATGCAGACTGTCTCAGTACTAAAGAAAGATGCGATGTCTGGGAACAGAGTCATGGCTGAGAGATTTGCAAGAACTGAATAACCTGAAATTCAAAAGGCAATGCAGAAGGGAGGGCATACGAGAGCCTATGCAAGTAAAGAAGGTACTTTGAATAGGTAAGGCCAATGTTGGAAAGGCCAAGGCTCAGAAAACAATGTAACAGGGAACAAAAGCTTATTATTTTTTCCTTAAGAATTCTGTTAGTATGAAGCAGAATAAAAGAATTATCATCAAGGATAATTATTTAATGGCTGATGCTGGGAAAGATAGTGTTTTAAACCTCTTCTTATTCTGATAGTTTCAATAAGCTGTGTTAACAAATGTCTAAGTACTTGGCTCAGGTAAATGGGTTAGAGAAGTATCTAGACAAGTTACATATTTTTGCCTGCTCTAGACCTAATAAAGTTATATTTCAGTACCCAAAGAAATGATTAAAGTAATGACAGTTATCTCTGAGAAGTGAAGTGACGCTGAGGTTTCCAAACAGGATGAGAGATCAGCTCTTTCACCATGTTGCTATTTTCTTTTGACTGGGTCTAAATAACTTTTTCATTCCGTGTCATGGTCAGACCTTCTATATTGTCCTTTTAAATACTTAATTCTCAGTTGACTTGGCACACCTATTTATTAGGTAATGTCTCAAGCATATCTTACTTAACACAACTTGTTATTTGAATAGCTGGTGTCTCTTAGGGGGAAGCTATGTTAGTAGGATGGTACAGGCAGATAATTGACACAAATATGTGAGCACACAAGCACTTTTTTAATTTATTTTTTATGGCTACACCTATTATAATAAACATGACTACTTTTGCATGCAGTGTTCAGATATAGCAGAGCAAGTATATAGTAGGTGCAATCTGTCCCCTACATAGTAACAATTTGAATTTATTGAGGAATGAAGAATATCTAGTACTTTGTGCTGTCTTTCGTGACCTATTTTACAGTAGATGTCAATAGAGCAGGTATTTGGCAGGCACTGTCATCCTCAAAAACTTGGAGCTTGTCTCCAGAAGGTGTTCTTAAAGAGGAAAGAATTAAGAACACAAACAAAAGGCAAAAGCAGCAATTTGTATGAAGTAACCAAAGGGGTTCAGAAGCTGGTAACACTGTTGCTAAAAAGCAGAATTATGTTAAAATGCGTGAGTGGGCGTCCTGGTTCAGCTGTAGCAGTTATTTTTCTCCTTTTTAGTAGCTGGTGCAGTGCTGAGTTTTTGACTTAAGTCTGAGGACAGTGCTGGTAACACCGATGTTTTTAGTTCTTGCTAAGTAATGTTTACTCTGATCAATGACTTTCAGTCTCATGTTCTGCCAATGAAGAGGGGCTTTCTGGGAGAAAGCAGAGACAGGACACCTGACCCTAACTAGCCAAAGGGTTATTCCATACTGCAGCACGTAACGCCCAGTATATAAACTGGAGGGAGTTACCTGAAAGGCCCAGATCACTCACTGAGCATGTCAGGCTGGCTATTGGTCGTGAGCAGCTGTATTGTGCATCGCTTGTGTTTTTTGTTTCTTTCCTTTTCCCCTTTTAGTTTTGTATTCTCTCCCCTTGTTATTTCCCTTATCATTATTATTAGTAGTAATAGTTCGGTATTATACCTGGACTGTTCTTATCTCAACCCATGGGATTTACATTCTTTCAATTCTCCTTCCTATCCTTCTGGGAGCGAGGGGGAAGGAAAGGGGGGAGTGAGCGAGCGGCAGCATGATTCTGAGTTACCAGCTGGGCTTAAACCATGACAGTGGAAGTGTTTGGTACTGGTCAAATACCAGCTGAGGTATTTCCAGTTTCTGATGCCTGTCATCTTTCTTCTCTCTCTTGACTGCTTTCTCTGCTCCCTCACTCTTTCTGCCTTGTTCTTATTTACAAGACAGCAGAGATGGGATTAATACATAGGTTAAATCTGCAGGTTTGTATGTAGATTAATATTCTTCCCTCTTTTCAGCTCTTGTTGACATCTGTAGCAATTTCAGTTAAGCCTCTTTGGTCAAATGGTTTACTGAGTGTTATTTTATTTCATAGATATGTTCTTGTCAGACAAGTCCTTGGTAATAGATGTTTAGTTCATGCAATCTAATTTCATCTAAAATTGAAACTACAAACCTGTTTGTTCCACAATTTTGACAAATATTTGATTTTGTTCAATTATTTACAGTGTCCAGAGAACACTAAGAATTTGCTTTATAACATAGCCTACATAATTCCTAGACTGTGCTATAGGTGTTTATAAACATTCTGGGTTTTATTATTGATTTGGCTGCATGTTTAATCCTAGATATTTATACCACTCCATACAGTTTTCAAGGTTGCTTAGTTGGGCATTTTTTAATCCATCAAATGGGCTTTTATCTGGCTGCATTTACGTTGTCAAAATAAGGAAAGAACCAATTGCCCCCAAGGGGGAACGACATCCCTCTACCCCAAACCCCACAAAGCCAAACAACCACATCTTAATGCATTTTGAAATTCTTGCAATTAAAATTTATTGGCAGTGCTCCAAGACAGTAAAATTGTAGTAAAAAAAGTAGCTGTGTTATGTCCTGTAACAGCCCTTTGTTCCCTGATATTTTCCGCTTCTATTTGCGAGGGTTAAATTTTGGCAATGAAAGAAGATACTGACATGGTCAGTTACTGCATTTCAAATAGTGAGTGTTAGAATTGGTTGCCAGTGAGGTATGTTAACTTTGCAAATAGTTCATGTTTGTTTGCAGGAATGTTTAGTCAATCATTTTTGCATTCCATCTCAAGTATAGGAAAAGGAAGGGTTGCATGCGTATATAAAATATAGTGCTTCAGTAGGAGCCTTTGATGTGTTTTTATAATCTATTCACTGTGGTTAGTCTCGCAATCAAGGTTTTTGTAAGTAAACCCTGATATTTTATTGAATGTGTTTCAGTAGTTCTATATGAAAATTAAGATGATTGAAGTTTTCCTGATTTCTACCTCTTCTAATGATTTTAGCTGAAACCTTTAAACTTACTAATTGTAAAACCATAAGTATAGGAAAAATGTTGAATAGTTGTTTACCCAACTTCCCACTCCCAGCATTTCATGTAGAATTGTCAAAGCTGCCTTGTTTGAAACACTATTGATACTGCGTTTATTCTCTGCCATTAACAATGTGCTCAGCTAAAATGAGCTGTAGTTCTCTACTACAAAATGTTGTTTGTAAATGCTTGAGATAATAATCCTTACTCATTTTACAGTACCTTGTTTTCAGAAACATTAGGGTTGCCAAATTATTGCAGCTTAAGTTACAGTGCCTCAGCTGAAATGTGGCATGTGCCAAACCCTTGATAAATAAGGTGATGTTTGCTTACCTGACGATGAAAGTGAAGAAACCAAACCCAGTTAAACTGCTTTGTGTGTCATGTTTAGAGTTTGCCTGTGAACTTTTTTTTACCGTGTCTCTACTGATGTGCAAAAATTGTATGCTATGCATGGTAACTTGGTTACAAACCTGAACATTTGCTCTACATACAATTAGAATTATTTGCCATGAATACAATTACAATTAGTGATGTCATCTTAGAGAAGCAAATGGCTTTTTTTTTTTCTCCCCCTTTTTTTGGTGTTTCCCATATAATGAAACTTTCTCTAATGAGTGTTAAGATCAACTTTGTCAAGGAGTAAGTTTAGAGTTGAACCCAATGGTATATAAAACTTGTCATCTTGTTATTACCTACAAACTACGTAGGCTAGTTACAGTTACTAGGGTAGTTACAGACTACTGCTGGAAATCCTTTGTGGAAATCCTTTGATTTTTTTTTTTTTTTTTTTCTTTTTTTTCCCCCTTATGTTCTTGTACAGCATAGGTGTGTTGTAAGGCTTAATAGCAGAACCACTAGCTCTCAAAAATTACCTTCTGCATATAGTATTTGTCTGGAGATGCTGCTGGTACCAAGTGCCAGATGTATAGAATTCTGCTGTAAAGTGATAATAGATTGTTGCAATGAATAAATTAAATAATTAAAAACTTTATAGTATTTTATGAGTACTACAAGATGGATAGATTACTTTACCTGATCAGCGATTCCACAGCAGTTCAACAACTTGAGCCAGCTGTTCTAATAAATGTGTATTTGAGATTAGGGTCTGGTTTCACAAAATTGGTGGTACTTTGAACATTAGTCTAATGCCATCAACACTGTACAATGGCAAGGATATTCCTTGCAGTTGGAGCTCCTGTCTGCCCCTATGTTTGGCTATTTCTGACTTGTGTCCCTCAACGGAAAGCATTATTGGGTCAATCAAATCTTCTTTTGCAATCTCAAACTGTATTCATTTCCAGGGCTGTAATCTGCTTCTGGTTTCCTGAATCTTATTTATGCCACTGCTAAGCTGTATAAGGTGTCTGTTCCATGTTCATGTGTTAACATTATACAACTAATTTGAAGGTAACCATTGCAGGTGTTCCATCCTTCTTGTAGAATTTGCAGAAGACATTGCTTTGGAGTGTGTGCATGCCATGAGTTTCCTGGTCCCTTCTAATGTTCCTTTTGTATGGCAAGTGTCTGATGCCAAGTATGTTGTAAAATCAAATCATACAAATTCAAATTTTCTGTGTTTACAGGGTATGGAATTATTGTTATCTATAGACATTTAAAAAATTGGATTTACTGAAATGCTTCCTGTGCACTTTTATAAGCCTATAAATACATCTTGCAAATATAAGATCTTTTGAGAGCTAAAAATTCACTCTAAATTTCATGTTGCTAGATTTCCACAAGCACAGGGAGCAGATGGTTGAGGAAAAAGAAGCAAACTTTTAATTTAAAAATGTGTACTTACAAAATCTGGCAGTAATTTCCAACGTTTCTAAGAATCTTAGATTTTTTTTTTTTTTTCCCGTGGACATGCAAACTCCATCAGAAAATAGCAGATACTGTTTTATAGCATGAATGAGCAGTGTGTTCTTAATAACCTTTCATGGGTATTTGAGGTGCAGGTTGTGGGTATCTTTTAAAGCAAATAGTTGAAGTAGCACAGGTCAGGGACTAATGACTCAGGCTTTGGGATATTTAGCGAGGACCACAACTACTTTGCTTATTATAGTTTTACTTATTGGCTTCTTGTTTTTTAGGAGCTGTAGCACTTAAGAATCTTGAAATAAAAGAAAATGCACTGGTAAGTTAGTGAAAATAAAATTATTGCAAAAATGATTCTTGAACTTCTGGGCTTTATGTGTTTTTTTGGCTCATATTTAAGGTACACTGTATTTTAAGTGTAAACTTACTGGTTTTTTTTTTCCTCTCCACTTGTCTGGATTACCTAATTAATTTGAGATTAAATTTAAAGGTGAAGGTGTATGCTGGCTTCATTTAGCTTTATTTTTTTTCAAAAGCAAACCCTGAAAAGCTGAAAGAATGTATTGAGGTCAAAAGCAAACATATGGCTTACTTGTCCCATTATATTGTTTTTTTTCAGTGGTTGAAAGGTAAACTCGTTAGCTTTAAGGTTATCATCTTTTTTTTTTTCTAACATGGGACCATTTCACAAGTTGCTGAAATGAGCTTTAATGTCCTAAACCACTTTTTTTCAGAGTCAGCTGGATGTGCCATTTAAAGTTATAGCGGGACATATTGGTAAGTTACATTTCACCATACACTCATGCAGGAGTTATTAAACATACTGCATTTCCTTGCAAGTCACCCTAGGCATGCTGAGCAAGTAATTTACCACGTTTCCTTGATTTGAATGCTTTGTACACTCTGAAGTTTGTTTCTTCTGAAGAAAAAAGCGTTTGAAGCAGCTCATTTCCTTAAGCTGAGGTGGCGAAGTTAAAATATACTGGAGTCTGTCTAATCAGCTTAATATTGATAAGAACCCAACACAGCAAAGACGAGCAACTGATCAGGGCTAGTTCTCATCCCTCAGAAGGATTTTGCCTTCCACGTCCTTTTCTATCCTCCTTCCCTGTTTTTGTTAATATGGGAAGTTCTCTCATTGCATGTTGGTTGTTTTGTAGAAGTTAGTGGTTTCTTAAAGCAAACTAAGTTTAAAGCCGTTATATTTCCCTTAATCTACCCTGGAAGTATGTGTTTTCTCTGACTGACTTCATAGTTTATTAAAATTAGTACTTTTGTGAAGAGTCAGAGACTCTGTAACCTGACACTCCCCATGTTTACAAAACATACACACTACTTGAAGACTCTCTTCCACAGAAAAATAAAGAAAAATATGTATTGGGGAGTATTTAGCTGGCTGATCATATAGAAGCTGCCCATGCTTTGCTTGTTTATGAGGATGCTGCATTAGGTTTGCAAGGAGGGAGAGATTGCTGTTAGGAGTAAGAAATGTAATTCGAGGGGGGAAAAAAGAGAGGACCTGTATACTTCATAATTCTGCTCATGGAGAAACTTGCCACATGTTCATTTGTGTCCTGTGTAAAACAAATAACCTAAAGGACATGTGCCTCAATTGCACTGTTTTTTTTTCTGTCTGATAAAGTAATTGTTCAGAGGTTTTGTGGTTAAATGTCAATTACCTTTTAAATATTTTTATTTTCCAGTCAACTATTTAACTGTATATCTCAACCTTTTTCTTTTGTGTTTATAGGTCAACTTAACTTACAGATTCCATGGCAAAACCTTTATACTCAGCCTGTTGAGGCAGTTCTTGATGGAGTTTATTTGCTTATTGTGCCTACAGCCAGTAAGTTAATGTAGAGGAAAAAGCAAATATAGATTGATGTGGTTTCAAAGGAATCTGGAATGGGTTGATCCTGCTTTCATGAACTTTTTGTCTGATAAATAGTCCTAGCAAATGCAATTAGATAATGGGAATGGGGTGTCTTTGAGTAGTTTACATTTAGTCACCTTATTTTTTTGATCTTATGCAGCTATTAACAAACCATGAAAATTACTGCTTTTGAAACAGCATCTTCTAAAAATATATTTATTTTTTTGTATCATAACCTTTTTACATTGTCTATTTAGGTGTAAAATATGATGCTGAAAAAGAAGCCAGGCAGTTCTTGGAAGCAAGACAAAGGGAATTACAAAGAATAGAGGAAGCAAAGCAGAAAATAGCCGACCAAGGTAAGAGTGGGAAAAGGTAATAAAAATAATGCTATTTCTTTCAATTTGTCACTTAAAGTGTTTTAGATTCCTGTTTTCCTCTTGATACTTAAAAATCTGTTAGTCATAGATTTTTAGTTGTTGCTGCCATCAATACAAGAGCAAGCATCCTGAAAATCAAAAGGTTCAAGCTTTGACGTGATCTGATGTAAATAAGGCTTTTGAACTATTGTTTATGTCATATGTTGCCTGATGTTATTTTCCTGTTCTTTCATAAGAAACAATTTAACTTCGTTTCTAATAGTAAAGAATTACACCTTTTTAAAGATTCTGTTTAATTTGTTCTTTGATACGTGTAAAGTCTCATAATCTTGAATTTAACTTCTGGTACTTTCAAGAAATATGTATTGGCCACCTTGAGTATCAGTGGGTACAAGTCATATTTTTGAACAACCTGATTCTTCAGGCTGGAAGTAGTAAAGCTGAAACTGTCTAGTCTGACTATAATTTTTATGGATTATACTGAAAAGACATTTCTATACAACTAGAGTACAGTGTGTTAGAAAATTTAAATATCATACAAACTCTTATGTTTTTGTTTTCTCTAATGTAATTTTTAAAGTACTTTAATGCAAACAAAATATTATTTTCCTTTAACTTAGATAAAGCAAAAGAAGAGAAACAAGACACTTTTGTGGAAAAACTAGTCACTCAGGTTATCAAAAATCTTCAGGTGAAGATTTCCAACATCCATATTCGCTATGAAGATGATGTAAGTATTTTGTATGTCTCAGCATAAGAGGTTCTGCACTCTAACATGAAATTAGGAACCCATCTGATTTCATTTCTTCTAGTTGCTTTCCCTGTCAGGGGAATTCTAGTAAAGTTCTGGGAATTTCATAGTTTTAAAAAAACCCCCAGAACACCTTATAAATGAAGACTGATTAAAAGCTTGCGCAGAAGCATGAAGATATTTACAAGCATGTGTCAGGCAAAATAAGATATAATTGTCAGATCTGTGATATATATATATATTTAATTGTTGTCTGTTTACTTCCAAATCTAAACTTGGAGCATAAGGTAATCCTTTTTTGGTATTTTCCCCCTGCTCTGCTAGATCACAAATAGGAATAACCCCTTGTCATTTGGGATTTCACTTCAGAACCTAAGTTTGCAGGTAATTTTATTTTTCATCTTAAAAGCATGTTGAAAGTTATGTTTTTGTGTACTGTTGTGGTGTCATAATATGTAATGAAAGTTTGCCTATAATCATGAGCAATCCACAACAGTAACTACTTGGTTTATCAAGTCCAGCATAAATGTTGTGGTGGGGTGCCATTAAAGGTTGAATGCTAGCATTAAAACAGACTTTTGGGAATAAATTAATATATTTCTGCCTGCTGCACTTTATTTTTGCCAAATACCAGGTTTGGGGTTTTTCAATATCTATGAATATTTTACTGAAACTGCCTTGAGCACTGTGAAAGGAAGTCATTACTTGAGATTGGTTAAGGGAGAAAAAGGAGAAAGGGGGTGGCATCTTGTTTCAAACTGGAGCTCAGTTCTTTGATCTGCAAGCTCCACTTTGAAGTGCTAATAGTAGTCATCATAGACTATATACTTTTTTTTTTCTAGAAGACTACCTTGTAGCAGCAGTATGCTTATTCTGCCGAGTTGCTCTGATTCAGTAGTTTTTACTATGTAACTGATAAAATGTCTTAAGTAAATGTTACTTTCTTGAACTAAATAGTTGTCTTATGAGTGCTTGTTCCCAGCACATTAAGAGGTATTTGCCCTTCCTTTAAACAGTTTTGCATAGTGAATAAAAAAAAATATTATTTCACTCTTGAAAAACTATACTAGCACATAGTGTTTCTTTTGGGCTCACGCTAAAATGCTACTTCTAGAATTACAAAAAACTTATAGTCAATTGTTTATCTCTTTCCGAAGAACCTGCCAAAAAATAATATTGGTGTAAAGGAAAAGAATTGCACTACTGAAAACAGAACTTTTAAAGAATCTTTTGGTTCTTATGTGTAGCCTAGCAGTCATGGTGGTTAGGTGTGTGTGTTTGGGGGGGTAAGTAGCCTTATCAAGTTTCCACTTAAAAGAATGACCCATTATTTTCAGAGCGGTTTAATTATGATGATGTTCCTCTCTTTTTCTGGTTTGTTTTTGGTGATGATAATATGTTGATGTGTTACAGGTACTGGAATAACTTTTTTTTAAATTTCATTCCAGACTTCAGATCAGAATTGGAATCCATGTTTACATGATGAAACTGCCAAGTTGTTCTACAAGGTACAATATAAACTGTGTGATAAAGAATTGTTACTAAAATAAGCTAAATTACAGTTCCTTCCATGGAAAGTAAGATCAAGAAAACACTGTATGGGCTCTAAAATAAAAGAATGTGGAGTGTTCAGGGGATGTTCTGAATATTTAATTCATCAACACTTTATGAAATCCATATTATGAATCTAAAATTTGTAGGTATTAATACATAAGTTCTGTTTTATTTTCAGCTTGTACGACTGGATAACCTTTTTGCTTACTGGAATGTGAAATCGGAGATGTTCTACCATGGTGGTAGTGACGAATCGTTGGTAAGGAAAGCATGAGATAATGTATCTAGTATTCTAGTTCATACTGTGAAGCATAGAGAATGCTTTACATTCATTTCTGCTTCTATTTATGTTAATCAATGTCCTCAAGAATTGTCTTGTTACTAATAGCTTTTTTAGGAAAACCAGTGAATTTTAAGATTTTTACATGATGGAAGTACACCACCTATCTGAGGAAGTTAAAAAAAAAAAAAAAAGTCCGTTGCCAGTTACAAAAATTACACACAATACGTGGTAATCTCACTGTTTAGTGATTTTTATCAGCTAAAAATAGAAGTCTCATGCCGTTTAAAACATAGATGAGTATTTTGATTTAGACTATCAGAGGGATTATCTGAAACCTGTATTAAAAGGCTAACATTTTATGTTTTAAAACTTTATAATGAAATAAAAACACAACTTGTTTTTAACTCCATGGTGTATGTAGGTTAACTTAAAACATGGAGTTGCCAGCCACAATGTGATTCCAGAAGGTTATGATTTTGGTAAGTGGTACTTTATTTGTAATAATGCATGTATACCTTGCTTCTAATTTTTAATGCCTCTCAGAGGTTGCTACTTTGGCTGTTACTCGGGAATCTTAGTAAGGAGTGCAGTTTAGTTCTTTGGCAGGAATATCCGTCTCTCTGACAGTGAATACTGTACCCTATATGTAGCCTCAGAAGGGCTTTGATTAAAATATGAGTCTTGAGTCATATATCATTCTAATGAAATATCATACATAAATCCTCCTTGTTCACATTCACTGGTAATTCATTATTTTAAGAAGTTTAGCAATAATATGTGCATCATTTATGTCTTTTGAATCAGATTGGTTTGAGTAATAGATTAATATTTTTGAGGTCACCTGCCTTATGTGAAGTGTATCTTTTTTCATTAGAGGTGGAAACAGTAATCACAAAACTTTGAAACATCAACATTATTTTATTTTTTACAGTTGCTATATTGCACATTATATTGCTTTGAGTGTTGCTTACTTTAGTCCCAAAGTTGCATTGGGTCCACTCAAACATGGTGATTATTTACTTTTCATTGTGTGGAAAATACATGGGTTTTATTTTTCATGTGCATCTGTGTGATTGTTAGTAACTGTTTACAAGGCAGAATGGCCATTGAAGTGCCTTGTTCTTTAGCAAGCAAGTCCTCAGTTCACTATAGCCAGGGTTTAAAAGGGCACTGTTAGGTTCATTGGCTTTTCTTGCTGCCTTTGCCTGAAAGGGAAACCTTCTGTGTCTCTTGCTTAGACAGAGACCTGCTTTGCCAGGGAACTATTTAATAATTTCTTCTGATTTCTTACCTGTTTTTTTTCAGTTGTTAGTTTTGACTCTTTATTTTACAAGAAAATAAGTTAAAACATCATCAGTTGTCTAAAGTTTTTGTAATTTGATCCAAATGCAAACATAATGCTTACACATAGGAAGGATGAAAAATTAAGATTAGTAAATTAATATAGGGAGAAAATTAATAGAAATGCTACCATAGAAAATGTGCAGCTAAAAGTAAATAAGCGTCAAGAAATACAGGGCTTAAAATGAAACAGAAGTAATTGTTGTAAACATAGTTTCATCTTGCAAAAATGTCTGTTTCCATTTGTATGAACCCCTTGGTGAATTTAGAATATTTGCTATGTAGATGGTCTATCAGTATTTCTGTTGAAATCAAAGATATTTTATTTGATAAAAATAGGATTTATGCAAATTCATGTAATTATACATGAATTATTATTCTTAGATCAGTTGTTGAAACAGTGGAAATGCTGATCTAGACATGGCTTTGAATGCCTGATATTACTGAATTGAGGAACAGATGAAAACTTTCTGCTCTCAGTATTTTTTCATGTGATGTAATTTGCTTTATCTGGGATCTGTATTAATTTTTTTTCATGCTTACTTGGGCTTGGATTTATTCTACAGATGTTGCCAGAATGAAACTGGAAATTGAGTGTAGATTGTATTACATTTAAAGATATGTTGATGAAGTCTAGGATTTCAAAATTAATAATCTGTCATAACTTTAGCTCTGATAAGCATTATGTATCATTTATAGCAGTCTTAAATAATTTAATTGCACTTTTAATGTCAATTTATGTTTTTTAGTATTCCGCCCAATTTCAGCTAGAGCCAAACTCCTTATGAATCCTCGATCTGATGTTGACTTTTCCTCACCAAAAATGGATTTAAATGTAAATTTACAGGATATAACTGTTGAATTCAACAAGCCACAGGTATAAACTATTTTTCTGAAGTTAGATGTAATGTGGTAAAAATGTTAGTTTGCAAGAATAAGAAAAGCAGTCTGAGATTTTCTAATAAACAGAGAATCGATTTACTTAGTCTTGTTTTTCTTTGTAAATTATTTTCTTTTTAAAGAAAAGCTTGATTCACATTGTTCTCAGAAAGATAACAGTTTGATTTTTTGTTGTTTTTTGTTTTTTTTAGTACTTCAGTGTTATGGAGCTTCTTGAGTCTATTGATATGATGACTCGAAATCTGCCATATAGGAAGTACAGACCTGATGCTCCATTGCACAACAATGCCAAGACATGGTAGGCTACCTCAGACTTTGTAAACAATTTGTTAGTTATTAATTTGAAATAATTGCCAAGTGATTGTTTCTCACCAGAGGAGATTAGAGCTCACTTCCTTCTGAAACTAAGGGTTTTCTTTGTTTTTCTGAAACTAAGAGTGTTTAAAAAAAAAAAAATGGTGAGGATCTCAAACCAAGGGTGGGGACATGATATTTGAAAGCCTTCCTTAAAGATCATTATCAGAAACTGAAGTCAATTGGATTTTAATATCCTAACTCTGTTTTAATGAAGGACACTGTGTTATATGTTAGGTACTATTACAAGTATATAGCTGTTATCTGCAAATAGACAAACATTGTCAACACAGATGGCAGAGATTTGATTCTTTTCAGAAAATTCCTTACAAATATGCTTTAATTATTCACACACACATATTTGTGGCCATTTTTTGTAGAAGGTTGCTTTTTAATTTCATGAAATAGAAATCAAGTCAACTTTGTGGAGAAAAATAAAATCTTTGGGTTCCTCTGTTGATCAGAAGTGTGATTATTAGAAAAGGGATTTTACTTTCTACAACTTGAAGTTGTATTTAGTGGGAGTCTCCATAGCTCTAGGTGTCTGTTCAATACACAAAAATAAATGCGAGCTATACTTCATTTGTCTTTGCTTTAGGTGGAAATATGTTATTTATGGCATCCTTGAAGTAAATGTTCAACCTAAGCTCCAAATGTGGTCATGGGAACATATTCGGCATCATAGGAAACAAGTGAAGAGCTATAAAGAGATGTATAAAACAAAGATAACATCAAAAAAACCTAATGAAGAAATCCTAAAATTATTAGAGGTTAGCCTTTTTTCCATTAAAGGCATAAATACTGTTCTCCTTGCTGTTTCCTTAGACTTAAATGTTTATATGTTCATAAAAGTCAGTGCTAAGTTAAACTTTCAGTGCCCAAACTTGCAACTTCATCAGTACCTTTTCCTGTGAATAGTATTAATAAACATACTAGATAATTTTTTAAATTAGTAACTGCAGTGAAGGAAAACTTAAGCTGATGTGCTTTTCCAGATTTAAGTTTTCAGCTTGAGCAAATTAACTTGCACTGAAAGTTGTTTACTGTCATTCCCTGTAAAACTGAGCCATAAAACGTAACCAAATGAAATTGTAAAAAAGTAATCTCTCACCTTCTTTCTAGGAATTTGAAAAGGCCTTGGATATTTTTAACATCACTCTAGCAAGGCAACAAGCAGAAGTTGAGGTAAAATGTCATCATTTAAGTGAATCTAAGAATAACTGCAGCACAAGGTTGTGGAGATTTTAGGCAGATGCATTTGAGTTTTAGTGATAGAGTTGTGCATCATAAGGTCTATTTTCTTTGTGTTTCCCATTTGTTATTGGAAGGCATAGTAAGTTTCAGCTTGTAATTAAGAAAAAAATAAATAGCTGCATATTCTGCTTCCTCAGAATAACTGATCTGGGATAAATTTCTTTCCACTTTTGGTGAGGAACATCTACTGTGGAAAATACGGTCAAAGTATGATGGCGTAAGTCAAATTGGAAGCAATTATACTCAAAGCTTCAGGCTTCCCCCCCCCAACTCTCCAACCCAGACTGTTAGTATATTTCTTTCTTCCTGATACCTTGTTATGTAGGCTGAACACCTCTATGTGTAGTATGTGGACCTTTTGTTACTGTTTGCAAATAATTCGGAATACAGCAAATGCAGAATACATTTAAGTTGATAATCGCAATTAGACAAGACAATGTGACTTGAGTAGTTACAATTGTTAGCCTTGTTTTTCCTAGGTTAATATACTGCTTAATTTTCAGTGCAGTACTAGCCTGAGCATCATTCCAGGAGACTGAAGTAAAAATCTGTATAAGCTTTCTGAAACCTGCAGAGTCACCTTTCTCCATTAATTATCAATGTGACTAAAAGTAAACAAAATACGATATTTAGAATCTGAAATAGTGTACTGATAATTAAACTTCGTGATTGTCAATAATTTCTTAATGGCAGTGCTTGATTTTTTTTTTTTTTCCCTTCTCTGTGTGTGTGGAGTATATTAAGTATGGCATGAAAGCTGTAGTGATAGATATGGTGGTTCTAAACCAAAACTCTAAACAGCAATATATGAATATGATTTTTCCTTCTAGTTGTCTGTATATACAACCACATTTGGATGCTTGTATGATTTTAATTCAGACTTTTACAGAACCAGAAGACAGGTTCATGTCTCTCCCTTTCAGATGCTTGGCTGACCTGGTGTGCTTTTCACCAGAAGTTTTTGGGATTCTCTTTTTTTTTGTTTGCTTGTTTTAGTTCTTGCTTGATTTTTGTATGTTTTTTATGTTGTGACACATAGTTTCTTTGGTTTTATCTTCTTCCTCCTACTTTTTGCAAGGTGACAGAGATCCCAGAGTATTTCCTGTCTAGTTTTATTTGTCTTTTCTCCAGTGTGACCATGCTGCATTCCCGACTGCTTTCCAGTCCTGAGTTTTAAGATAGGTTTCTGTAATGCTTATGATAGGTTGCAAGCAAATGTATTTTCATTTGTTTGGGCTTTTAAAAAAGCCTTGTATTTGAAAAGTGTTAGAAAAGCATCTTACAGGGTCTGCTAGCTAACTCTGAATTTATTTCCAAGTATTGAAATCAGTCAGTGATTCTAAACTGTGTTCTACCTCAATCTATCAGTCAGAAGCCCTCTCATTGTTACCAGGTCTCAGAGGACTTGTAAGAGGCAAATCTGCTACTAGCTTGGTATCCTGACAGCTAGCCTTGAGTCTACTAGAAAATTAAAGGAGCACCCTTTAGACATGGGCCGAGTAAAGACAGATAAAGGATCCTACTGTTGAGCATTTTTATTTTCTTAAAAACATACCTTACAGTTGAATTTCTAAGGCTTTCTTTTCTGTAGACTTCGAAATTAAGATGCCTACAGCTCACACTTGCGAACACCGTACCATCTGATTTTCTGGGACCTTTGTAGCAAGAGCATTATATTCCATTCCATATATATTCCATTCCATATTATATTCCTTATATATCCCATTCCATATTACATTAGGCCACTTTATAATCTTTATCACTAGTACCACACACCAACTTCAGTGAGCCAAGTGTCAAGTCTGTGTTGGAGAAATTTTGTGCTTTCAATCTAGAGAAGACTTTACAGATGATTCACCTTAATTGGAATACAGGGTGATGTTCTCCCTTTCTTTTATTGAAAACAGTTTACCTCGCTGAATAATTCCACAGACTGTGACTGTATCCATTACTAAACTGTTGTAAATGGAGGACAGGGAAAGCTCATCAAGATTTCTTAAGGAAATATCTTTAGTTCCAGTACTACACAAATGTTTTCTTCATCCTTGCAGAAGTACAGTTGCCCTCCCTTCTCTATGTAGCCTCTGTTACCTTAGACTCTAGTGTCAGCTGCTGCCTCAGACACAATGAGAATCATAGATTTGAGCGTCACTACTTTTTTTCCATGGTAGTAGTTCTTCAACGCCAGCTCTTTGGTGTCCTAGAAACCTCTGATTTCAAGGGTTTAACAGTCATTGTTTCTAACGCTCTGTCCATTCTTTCCTTGAACTGTTCACTGTAACATCTGCTTAATGACTTGGTATCCTGGATAAAGAGGACTTTGTAGAATTTTGTTCAAATTTTTTGAGGCCTTGTGTTGTTTAAATGACATCTGCATCATCTCTCTGGGCTGAATCAACAGCATCAGTTCAGAAGCCTTTACTTTTTTATGGTGATTTCCATTGGCCTGTAGGTGGATAGATGTGACAAGTCCCTTTAAAATTCTGATTTATAGCCAGCTGTTTTCCCTAGTTGTGCTGCAGAAAGGTCTTGGGCTTTTTCAATGCTGAGAAGGGATCTCTGTCTCACTCACTTTGGGTATCACAATTACTAGAGCATCTCTAAATTCAGGGCTTATCTGCAAGTGTTTGTCTTTCTGGATCATAGTAGTCATGAAGAAAAAATTGGTTTGTTTAGTCCACTACAGTTTGAGGACTCCTCTGTCTCTTAGATCAGTTGATGGTCATTTGCTGTCCCTTTTGCCAAGCTTTCAGTGCTCAAGTCTGGATGTAGTTTGCACTTCTTGGAGGACCCAGTATTGGAATAATCATTGGCATCAGACAGGATGTCCCTGGTTGTTGAAATAGTGGATGTGGGAGGAGGGAGTGCTTCGTTGCTGTTACAGCTACATATATCAGGTCCAGAAGCAGTTTTCTGTATTCCTTAGAGTAAGTACTGTATTACAAGAGTAATTTTTTTATTTTTTTTTTATTATTGCTTTGGACATCTATCTTGAAATGAAAAATAAAGGGATCATTTAAAATTTGGCCTGTGCTGGCTTTTTAATTGCTTATGTATGTATTTTTAATGATTCCTTATAATTGCACTGTTGTAGTGTAGAGCACAGTCTAATATTGTGGACTTTTTCCTTTTTTTTTGTGTGGTAAGAGCTAAAGAGAAAATCTGCTATGTAAGAAACATTTATTGACTATAAATCAGCTGCTGCTTTTTGCTTGCTTTTTTTGTTAATAAAGGTGGTTGGTTGGTTTTAGGCGAGTGAGAATTAGTATGATGATGCACTGTGTACTTGAAAAAGTTATTAAACAAAAAATAAAAAATAAGATGTTGCTTTTCTTAATGATTGTCTGATGATGTTTTCATGTGTTAGAGCAAGTCTTGAGTCTATAATTTTCTTACGAAAATTACTTGTTTGAAAATTTCTTAATTTTCAGGCAACTAAGGCTGGATTAAAAATCTACAGACCAGGAGTGAAACAAGATGATGAAAACTCTGGTGGCTGGTTTAGTTGGATATGGAACTGGTCAGGTGAAAAAAAGCAGGAACAAAAGCAAGAAGTAAAAGGTTCAAGTATGTTCACTTAGTGTTGTTTTTTTTTTTTTTTGGTGTCCCCCCCTCCCCCCCCCCCAGCTAGAAATTACCTTTAGAATAATGTGTCCCTAGCAATGGAACATTGCATTTGTTTAATATTTGGGCTGTCATATTATTGACATTTGCATTTACTCTTTGCCTTTTTTTCGCTGATAAAGTTGTTAATTGCATGTTACAGAGCTACCTTACAGTTCCTTCAAAAGTCTCTCTGAGCTGTCTTTGTGCATTCTTCTGCCGCAGTTTTCGCATTTGTCTGCATAGGGTAGTGTGTATGGGTACTTGAAGAAAGTGCTATAAAACAGTAGCAGTTAGTGCAACATAATTTTACTTCCATTTGTTTTGTAATTTGGTTATTTCATGTGGTGTATTAGAGTTTGAATCACTTAAGTACATACTGGACACCTAGTGAAGGTTGTGAAACACAAAGTAAATCAAAAAAGTTGCTTCTGTTGTTTAGCAGGCTTGGAAATAGTGTAGGTCACAATAAAAGTATAGCTGCATTTTAAAGCATGCTTTAGGACACTCAGGTAATTTAAACTGCAGAGATTTTGCTTGGATTTAGGACAATATTAATGGTATCTGCTGTAAGTTACAGAGCTACTGGAAAGTATATAACAGTATTTTCATTTTTGAGATACCTGTGCTGAGTTTAACTAACCTCATGCAATATGACAGGTCTTGAAGAGCTGATGACACTTGAAGAGAAGGCTAAACTTTATGCAGCAATTGGATATAGTGAAACAGCTGTGGATCCAACCCTTCCAAAATCGGTGAGTCAAAACCAGCTGTGATCCCAAACAATTGGTAGCTTTGTCTGCTAACAAAAGTGTACAGAAATAATCACCCTTAAAATTACTTAAAGCTGTCTTTATATTTGAATACTAATCTGACACTTCTTACCTAAGTTACTGCAGTCTGGCTTTGTGTAGTTTTTGGAAGGTGGTTGTATAGCTTACTTTGGATATTATGAGAAAGTTCAGAAAGAAATTTTGCTTACTAAAGTTAAATAAAATCATATAAAGTAATATATTGGTATTTAAGTTATGAAATGCTTCATACCCTCTTACAATTTTGAGGGATTTTTTTGTTTGTTTTTTTTTTTTTAAGATATCACGCCGAGAGATTCTCCGGAATCTTAAATATGAGTGATAGTACATGAGGTAGAGTAGATTAGTTATGAGGTAGAGTAGGTTATATAAGAGAAGAGGTGACTAAAGGACTGTAGTGAGTAAGAGCAAGAGTTTGAACCATTCAGAAACAGTCTAAGTAGTTTTTATGTGAGGTACCATGTATGGTACAGTGGACACCTTCCAGGTCTACATCAGAGGCCTTTTAACTCAAAATGTGGTGTAGAGACACCAGTCATGTTTGTAAGCATAATAAACTCTTCTATAACCCTGCCTTTTCATAATAACTAATTTGGAATGACTTTTATACCAGCTATAAGTTATTTATAGCACTAGAAACATAGTATCAAACTGGTATTTATGGTTTTCATCTCTTCATAAACTGTATTTGTGATCCACTGTTGTTTTTCCTTCATATCTAGTATGAAGCCATGAAGTTTTCTGTGAAGTTACTAAGCATGTCTATATCAATAAGGGAAAGCAAGCAAAGTCCCGAGCTGGTAGAATTTGCATTAGCTGGCTTGAGTACAGTATTTACCCAGCGACCAGGCGCACAAGCAATAAGGTGAACTTTCTTTGTCAGACTGGTTTTGCTCTCTATGAAATGTTGATGATGGCTAATAAACATTTTAAGGCTCTGCTATGATTTTTAACTTCCATATTTCACTGTCTTTTCTTGTGCAGTTTAGCAGCAGAATCATTCTGCAACTGATGGATGAAGTATATGCAGATGGATACAGTTTCTATGATTTAAAGTTCTCTCTGGCTTCAGACTATTTTGTGCCACTACAGATTTTCTCCTTTTTTTCAGTTTAGCATTGTTTCATACAAGAAAGCCATTTACTAACTCATTTCTTGCTTTGAAAAGTGACTGTTAACTCCTTTTGAAACTTTATGTGAGTATCTGATCTTGTAACCACTTGTATAGTAAGGTGATCTTGTACATGTATATAGGCATTTAACATGATTGAAGGTTCTTGAGCTTTAAGTTGAGCCTTTAGATTTGCAGAAGAAGGCTGTAACAGATGATTTTGGCTTGTTTTTGTGCTCACAGTAGATGATGAAAAGCAGCAGTATGTAATATTTTACTTTCATTTCAAATTTAATGACTTAAAAATTTAGCTTTCCTGCTTTAAACCTTGTCCCTTCTCTTTTGGTATTAAGTTACTATTGGTCTTATGGAGTTCTATGCCTAATTTAAATCTTGCTTGCAGCTTTTCTGTTTATTCCCCTGCTCATCTAAATAGTCCTAATAATGCATTATACTAAGAAAAAGGAAAGAGAATATTATAATTTTACATTGAAACTTTCTTTTAAGTGTTGGGAGATGAAGATCTTTTGTTGAAAGCTGTTAGAGGTAAGCATGATAGTGAAAGAACATAAATCCAGCACCTAACTAATACTTCCTCAGAGTAATGAGACTGTTAATGTTGTGTGCTCGTGGTGTTTCTTTTATTTCTCTGCACTGGAACCCTTCTCTCTGTGCTCTATTTCTGTTCCACAGAATAAGCTGTGGCATCTAATTCTGAAGCTGATAATACAGAATTCCAGTTTGCATAGAGGCAGGTGTCCTGTGCTGACACCTGTCCTAATGAAAAGTGTATGAAGTGAACAACTTGGTCCCCTTTTCTTAGCAGTGGCTAATAGACACAGAAGATAATGAAATGAAAGACAGTTAGCACATGGGTATATGTCTTATATGCTTAGAAATGCTATTTATATTTGAAGTAGGGTAGCGATACATTTTTTTTTTGTTCGGTTTTTGCCCTTTTTGTTTTTTTCCCAGCTTATTCCTTATACTCTTGTCATCTAATTGTATCTAGCCAGATGGATATTATATACGATCATGCTGCTTACCTTTCTTTACAGATTCGAAACAAAAGTTACCTCACTTGAAGTTACAGGCATGTCCCGAGAAAAGTGTACACCCTGCCTCCTATCTTCTCGAACGGTGTATTCAGATGAGAGTACCTCACTCTTAAGCATAATGTTTGAGACTAATCCTTTGGATGAGAAAGCAGATCAGAGGCTTAGAATAGAATCACAGCCACTGGAAATAGTGTATGATGCTGTAAGTAAATATTTAAATAAGGTATAAATATAAAAAAAATCTTAAAAGTAAATATTACGTGTATTTTTTTTGTTTTAACAGATGACAATAAATAGCTTAGTGGATTTCTTCAGGCCTCCAAAAGATGTCCATTTAGAGCAGTTGACATCAGCAACTCTGATGAAGCTTGAAGAGTTTCGTGAAAAGACATCAACAGGCAAGTGCTGCATGCTCTTCTGATTGCACATTCACACAAATGTTATGTTTTAGGGGTATGAAAATATTACATGTTTACACATGGGGATGCATGGATCCAAGTCATAGCTTTCTAACACAATACCTAAGTAAGTTGAATTCTTCAGTCTCGTTACAAAACATTTGTTCTAGGTATTTGGATAATTTTATGTCTTCATCTTTTTCAACTTCAGCTTCCTTTGTAAAATACACTTAAAACCCTGAGATAGTATTTCACTATCTATTCTGTTCTACTCCCTACAGGGTTGAAAATGGTTTGTTACTTCTAACTTTTCTGTATTGTTCATCTGAGTATCTAAATGGTCTTAATTGTTTCATACTTTAAAAAAACTGATTTGTATTGATATATGACTAATATATTCAGAGATACTGGTCCTCTAATGAAACCTCTAAATCCTTTCCAGAGTTGTTGCTTTTCATCTGCCTCTATACAGGTGTTACCACATTACTTATTCTGCAATAAATATTGATTATATTCATCTGTTTTCCAGTTACTTGGCATTAAAACCGTTACTCAAGTTTAATTTCATTCTAGCTGTTTATCTCTAGAGATCTTATATTTTGATATATGAACGAAAGTGGTGGATACTTTTAAGACTTAATACTGAGATCAACACTAGTAGTTTGTCCAGTATAGTTGGATACTTCCAGTAAGAACTTCTAGAACAATTAAGTTTTTGAATCTATGGAGCATAGTGGGTTACCCCAGCAATTCCAAGTTTCAGTACAAATTCCAGTTCTTCTTTCATCTGTTGTTCAGTATGAAACTGCTTTGGATTTGTGTTGTGATGTTGTCTCTACTTGTCTATTAGCATTGTTTGCTATCACAGTTTCATCTACTTCTTGCTTCTTTAAAGGCTGACGGTAATTATTGGTTCAGAAGAAAACTGAAGAGCATGTGTACCTCTAGTTAAACTCAGTTATCTAGCATTCACAGCTCATTTAAAGTTAGACTTGGATTTCTTTTTCTATCATCTTTTAATTCTGTAGCTTCTGCATGGATTTCTTGGCTTGTATTTACTAATTACATTATTTTTCAGGTTTGTTGTATATTATTGAAACCCAGAAAGTTCTTGACCTCAAAATCAACCTCATGGCTTCATACATCATTGTTCCACAAAAAGGATTCTATGACCATACATCAAATTTACTACTCCTGGATCTTGGTAGTCTTAAGGTATATATTTACTTAGTGAAGTAACTTACTGAAAATGACAGCTCAGCTTCTATGTGATTTCCAGTTTCTTAGTATGTGTTTTTTGGTAGTGGTTAAGTAAAAGTTCCTCTTGCAGTTTACATATTAGACATTTATTTTAAACTGCTTTCCAGTTAAGTTAGAAATTACTGAACACTTCTCAGTAGATTCTTTAAACCCAAAAGAATTTTTAGGAAATAATCCTCCCCTGGAATGAAACTACAGTTGATGCTTTGAACTCTTAAGTGGAAAATAACTAGTAATGTTTTACCTTAGAATATAAAAGAGTAAGCTTTGTAGTTATATGATTAAATGGTCGTCTTATTTTTACTATTACTATTATTCTTGTTATCAGTTACCTTTCAGGCGTTCAGTTGACTTTAAAATGAGAAAAGTAAACATTGGCACTTTTTAACTTTGATGAAACTGGAGATATGTTTGAGATACTTTATGCAAGGGAAAAGCTAAAAAGGTAGTTTGTGTTTAAAATTACAATTTAGCACTATAAAATCATAAAGAGACTGTTTTTGCATATTATTAGTGATCTTTTTACTCATTGGTGAACTTGTGTTCTTTCAGGACAAATGATCTTACATGCATGCAGGCAATGAAATTTTCCTTTTTTTTTTTTTTTTACTTTAGGTAGGAGTGATTCTTCCACTTACTATCAGTGTAGATTGCTTTACCTGCTTTTTTAGCAGGTAAAACTTTTTAATAACCTGTTTCAAAGCTTAAAATCTTGTGAAAGTGAAGTAAGATTTTTATATCTCTGCCACAGACTGACTTTTTGAACATGCGAGTGTCAGCTAGAATCATAGAATAGTATGGGTTTGAAGGGACCTTCAAAGATCATCAAGCCAAAACTACCTGCAATGAGCAGGGACACCTTTAACTAGACCAGGTTGCTCAGAGCGCTGTCCAGCCTTGCCTTGAATATGAGACATCCCCTTGTCCAGGGACAGGCCTCGCTAAAAGGTCTCTCTCCACCTTAGAAGCCCCCTTTAATATACTGAAAAATCTCCCCAGAGCCTTCTCCAGGCTAAACAACCGCAAATCTCTCAGCCTTTCATCCCACTGATCATCTCTGTGGCCTTTCTCTGGACCTGCTTCAACAGGTCCATGTCTGTCTGGTACTGGGGAATCCAGAGCTGAACCCATTATTCCATGTGGGGTCTCATAAGAGTGGAGTAAAGGAATAGAATCACCTCCTTTGATCTGCTGGCCATGTTCCTTTTTATGCAGCCCAGGGTACAGGTGGCTTTCTGGACTCTGAACACACATTGCTGGCTTATACCCAGCTTTTCATCCTCCAGTACCCTCAAGTCCTTCTCCGTAGGGCTGCTCTCAATCCCTTCATCCAACAGCCTGTATAGATCACAGAATCATATGGGTTGAAAGACCTTGAAGATGAGGTCCAACCATTAACTAGCACTGCCAAATCCACCACTAAACCATGTCTCTAATGCACCACATCTACAAGTCTTGTAAGTACCTCCAGGGATGGGGACTCAACAGCTTCCTCAGGCAGCCTGTTCCATTGCTTGACAATTTTTTTGGTGAAGAAATTTTCCCTAATATTCAATCTAAACCTCCCCTGGCACAGCTCGAGGCCGTTTCCTCTTGTTCTATCACTTGTTACTTGAGAGAAGAGACTGACCCACACCTCACTACAACCTCCTTTCAGGTAACTGTAGAGAGTGATAAGGTCACTCCTGAGCCTTCTTTTCTCCAGACTAAACACTGCGAGGTCCTTCAGCCACTCCTCAGAAAACTTATGCTCTACACCCTTCACCAGCTTCACTGCATGCTCCATCTCCTCAGTGTCTTTCTGCATGGTGTTATTGTGGCCTAAGTGTAGGACCCAAGTGCAATTGTTGAACATCATATCATTGGCCTTGGCCCATCAGTCCAGCCTGTCCAGGTCCCTTGGTAGAACCTTACTTCCTTCAAGCAGATCAACACTATGCCCAACCTGGTATTGACTGCAAACTTACTGAGGGTGCACTCGATCCCCTCATCCAGATCACTGATAAAGGTACTAAACAGAATTGGCCCCAGTACTGAACACTGGGTAATGCCACTTGTGACTGGCTGCCAGTGACACCAGGCTCAGAGCCCGGTAATGGCATGGAACAGCCCACCTCCTCCACTCTGCGTATAGGATATTACTTTCAGAATAATATACAGAAGAATATGTTTCCAAGTCAGACTCCAGTAAATGTTCAATATTACTTTTTTTCCTGAAATGCATGAGTAATTTTCATAGTGCATGTGACTCTTGAATTGGTTCCTGTCCTTTAGTAGAACCTCAGCAATACCAAAAGAGAAAAGTTAGATGCCTCTCAGGATATGATGAATAATTCTGTATTCACTTCGAGAGGCATATGCTTAAGAGAGATACAGGTTATTTGTTGAATTGGTATGTTTAATACAAAACAATATCTTTCCCTCAGTTATGTATTGGATAAGGTCAAGTCCAAATGGAGAAAATGGCATATAAAATTAAAACTGTATCTCAATGCTGATGCATAAGTGCACTTAATTAAGGTTGCACAGGCAGTATTAATCTGATAATTCTGAATAATCAATCTGCAAGTTTTTTAATGTAAAAGTAGTCATAGTTCAGTACCACTGGAAGAAGAAATGCTATGTCTTAGACACTAGTATTTGAGCCTGTTTCACTGTTAACCTTGAATATTACCTGGGTCTGGCAAAAGCAGGTGGGGATCCAAAACCATTCAACATTTAAGGATGAGACGAGCCACATTTCATCAGAGATGAAAAGCAGAGAGAGCATGTGGAAAGTATGGGCATCCCAAAGCTGAGTGAACATAAATGATGAACAGTCCAAACTCCCTTTTGCCTTTTACTCAGGATAATACCACAACTAAGTTCAACAAGATTCAGAAATAGATTTTATGTTTTTGAGGTGATTAATAGAGTAATATTTTTATATATAAAAAAACTTCAACAGTTATTCCATCGATTGCAAAAGGTTTGAAATTTTAAACTTTGGGGTATGAGTCATTGGTGTTGGGACTGGTCTTGTTCAACATCTTAGTTGATGACAGGGACAGTGGGATTGAGTGCACCCTCAGCAAGTTTGCCAATGACACCAAGCTGTGTGGTTCGGTTGATATGCTGGAGGGAAGGAATGCCATCCAGAGGGACCTTGACACGCTTGTGAGGTGGGCTGATGCCAACCTTATGAAGTTTAACCATGCCAAGTGCAAGATCCTACACCTGAGTCGCATCAATCCCAGGCACAGCTACAGGCTGGGCAGAGAAGAGATTCAGAGCAGCCCTGTGGAGAAGGACTTGGGGGTATTAGTCGATGAGAAAATGAACATGAGCTGGCTTCATTGTGCCCTTGCAGCCCAGAAAGCCAACCGTATCCTGGGCTGCATCAAAAGGAGCGTGACCAGCAGGTCGAAGAAGGTGATCCTGCCCCTCTACTCTGATCTCGTGAGACCTCATCTGGAGTATTGTGTGCAGTTCTGATGTCCTCAACATAAAAAAGACATGGAACTGTTGGAACAAGTCCAGAGGAGGGCCACGAGGATGATCAGGGCACTGGAGCACCTCCTGTGTGAAGATAGGCTGAGGAAGTTGGGGCTGTTCATCCTGGAGAAGAGAAGGCTGCATGGAGACCTCATAGCAGCCTTCCAGTATCTGAAGGGGGCCTATAAAGACGCTGGGGAGTCCTATCACTATAGTCCCTTCATTAGGGACTATAGTGATAGGACAAGGGGTAACAGATTAAACCTTAAACAGGGGAAGTTTAGATTGGATATAAGGAAGAAGTTCTTTACTGTGAGGGTGGTGAGGCACTAGAATGGGCTGCCCAGGGAAGTTGTGAATGCTCCATCCCTGGCGTTGTTCAAGGCCAGGTTGGACAGAGCCTTGGGTGACATGGTTTAGTGTGAGGAGTCCCTGCTCATGGCAAGGGGTTTTGGAACTAGATGATGTTAAGGTCCTTTCCAACCCTAACTATTCTATGATTCTGTGATTCTATATCTATTAAAGAAAATTAGTCTACACAAAATATATTGTATAAAACTTCATAGTTTTTTATTTGTATTTTGCTTCTCTCCTCGAAGGAGAAATGGAGTTTAATACTCTCCATTTTTTGTTTTGATACAGGATATTAAGTTTAGATATCTCCTCTGCTGTGACAGTGGTAACACAGAAGCCCTTATAATGAGGACTTTAAATTTAATCTCTTGTTGTGATAGGGTCAACTATTTGTAGAACTAGTGCTTTGGATGTTTTTGAAATTCATTTATACTTTTTTGTGATTCTTTTTAAGATGGAAAGCAAAAGTCGTTCTGATTTATCAAAACTCGCAGTACGACAAAGCACTATTGAAGAGATAATGTCAAGAGCTTATGACAGTTTTGATATCCAGCTCAGCAGTATACAGTTACTGTACAGCAAACATGGTAAGTATTCATGAAAGTAATCTTTTTCTCTAAAAACATTTTGAGGGTTGATGTGCCTTTTATACTTTTAATGTAGCAGTAGAGAATCTTTGAAACATACTTCTTTAAACTATTATTCTAAATTCAGTCCTATGAACATGTAATGAATTTCCAAAACATACCTTCAGGCCTTAGGTTCCAACCTTAATGTTTGCTAAATAGATAAACTTAGAATAAATCACTTATTTTTGAAGATGTCTCACTTGATTTGTTGCATAATAAATGTAAGTGTAATTAATTTATGAAATTTTTCTTCAGTGGCTTTTCTTTGTATCCTTCCACTTTTAAAGCAGAATCCATGAGTAGTTGTAGCTTTGATCCTTTTTTGAGAGTAAAGAAAGGATCAGAATCCCTTTGCTAGTAATTTTGGAACTTAAACTGCAGACAGAGTCAGAACCAGGGAAGTCTTAAGCATTTTATTCTTAACCCTCTGATTCCAGAGGGGAATGCAGAGCCTAAATTTTGTGTCATGCATATGAAAAACTGGTCCTTAGAAAATCTGCAGTATGGATGGGTTAGCTCTTCAGATGTGAACAGTGGAAATTAAGTAGTCTTGTTTGTCTGAAATTTGGATCTTGCGTTATATACGTGCATTGACAGAGTTGTAGAAGAGATTTTGTCACCTGAATTTTTAGCAGTATATACTAACTAATATCAGATACTTTAATTCTGTGATATGTGTAATGGGAAAGAATCTCAGTGTTTAAAACGTAGGTTTTCTTTGCTCTTACAGATGAGAAGTGGCAAGAGGCTCGGAAGTTGAAATATTCATCTCAACATATCTTGCAGCCCTTGGATGTAAACCTCGAATTTAGCAGGGCTATGGTCGTTACTGATGCAAGAATGCCCAAGTATGTGTGTTTTCCTATTTTGAAATTTTCATAGTAAACCACTTTCTTTTATTTATAAAAAGGATAATCTGATTATACTTGTGCTATTTTACATTATGAATTGTGGAAGTAAAATACTTTAATTGAGAAAAATAGAGAATAAACCCAAGAAGTTGGGAGTATTGAGGAGGTGATAGAACATTACAGTGATATTAAAAATAGAAGTCTGTATAATGTATTTTAAGATTGTTGTTAAAGATACTAATAGGTGTTCTAATTAGGTCTAACAGCTGTATTTCAGTCCTCTTTGAAAATACTGAGGAACTGAAAACGTCACAAAAATAATCTGAGAAGTGGTCTGCTCTCATATTCCCTCTGTCTTACATAAGTTACTCATTGTGTTTATTTACCTACTAGAGACCATTTCTCCGGGAAACAGCTCATAATACATTAAGTTTGGATTTCGGTTAAAAAACCTGATTATGGAAATTGTGCTCAGAAGAAAATGTGCATTACTATTAGTGATGAAACTTCGATGTTGAAGATCACTGAGTACCAGTGGCAAAGATTTATATTCACACATATTCTGGAAAGTGCATCTTCACTAATATATCTGAAGGACGCCACTAATTAAAAAAATCTGATCAGTTTGAAGTACTTGCAAACTACTGCATTAATGCCTTGTGTAATTTGCTTGAGTCATTATTAAGAATCCCTTAGCTACAACAAGCTAGCATATACTTTCTTAACTGTTGGAAATTTGTTTTTTAGCTACACGCTTCAGAAAATTAATGGCATAAAAATAGACATAGTCTGTTGCAGAAAATTGTTTAGTACAATCAAAAAAATCAAGAGGTAGTTTATGAAATAAAAGAATTACTTTTAATTTCCTCTGTTATAAAAGGATTTGCTTAGTCAGGAAAGAAAAGCCTTAAAAACAATGTACCTCACTAGTGCAGTGTATTGTGAGCCGAGATCAATGATTGCATGGTACAGTGGTGCCACCTTCTGGAAAGCTGGTGGGCCAGATTCTGAATTTTGATGCTTTACGAAACATCTTACTCTTTCCCTCTTTACTTTTTCTCTGTTAGGTGGTGAAAGTGAGATAATAAGGGAAATACAACTCATGGGAATCAGTCTTTTTATGTTATAAAGTCCAGTTAGGGAAAATGAGATTTCTCTTCTATGGTTGTATAACATAATGTCATTTTAATGTAGGTTTGTAATCAACATATCTCCAAGTGATGCTAGTATGACCTGGATTAAAGAATGTTGTTAATGAGAACACCTATTGCAGTATTGTAGTGCCACCTGTCTGTCTTAGCTAACAGAAGTGTTTCTCTTTTTGGCCATTTGTATCAAGAGTGATGCTGAAAAATTTTTCCCTAATGGATATTATTTCTGTATTCTAAATTCTCATACTTACTTGACAGTGAATAATTTCTGCCTGTGTCTAGAAATAGACAGGTTTTTCTTCCACTGAGATAGTAATATTTCTTGGGAATCAGCTGCTCTTCTTTCTCAGTGCCTGTACTGTCTAAAAGTATTAGGAATGCCACAAACAGCAGTTTGGTACTAGATAAGCATATACCACAGTAAGTTAGTAAGCATAACTAATACTTTAAATTGCACCAAGAGCAAGTAACTGTTTCAAATCTAACATGTTGATACCATGACTGAACAACAGCTGAACTTGTTCGTTTTGTACCTTATTCAGTCTCCAAATGCTTCCAGAATGTATTCTGCAGATGATATTATAATACTCTAGAGTCGCCTACCAGTCTTGAAATGAGACATATAGCAGCTTTTCATCCAATGGTGGAGATTTGCCCTTTTCTGCATAATCTCTTTTTGCTTTGTAATGGTCAGCTAATATGTTTATGTACAGATAGTTAAATACAAATAATTTGGCTCTTGTGATCTGTAGATGACAATGTGTACAAATGATAAAAATGAACTGATAGCTTTTACGTCAGTAAAAATCTGCTAAACTGTAAATTTTAGTAATTATAGGTGGCTAGGGCATTATGCATCGGTATTGCTCACATCAGTTACACATCTCTGAATGTATTTTTAGTATACATGTAGCTATTCTTTAATATTCTAGTTTTTATGAATATATATGAAGTCAGCATTATATTTTTCCTGAGTTTTTTTTTCTGTTAATGTTTGGAACTGTGCTGTAGAACAGAATAGTTCTGTGGAGGAAGGTGAATGGAAAGATGTTTATTCTACAATAAAAATTAGTACCAGAACTTCTTTGTTTAAAACAATGTAGTATATTTTAATGAATGAGTCCCTTAGTTTAGAGGGCATCTATTTTACTTAAGTTAGATAAAAAGCAGGTAATTGGGTTGTCTGTATTTTTTTGATTCTTTAATACTTGTACTTCCTTGGGTGACCATTGAATCCAGTTGAATTCCTTATTATTATTTTTGAAGAATGAAATCACCAGGACTTTGTACTGGCTTTATTTAGGAAGGCACATTTCTGTGTTGCTGCCTTGAAAAGAATACAAATTAATGTAATTTTCATTTTTCGAAGACTACCACATCAGTTGAAGTGAGGATTGCTAAGTGTCCTAGCTTAGTGGAGCACTCAAGTGGTACATACATAAGTCCTTTCCCGGCCCTTCTCTGTTAAAATAAAAGAACAAACAAAAACAAAAGGTCAAAATTTCTCTGTAACAGAACTGGAAGTAAGAATAAAAGTCAGAACTAGTTGGGAATTGATTACTTTAGAATTTAAGGATGTGAAGAAATTAAATGAACTGTAGAAAACAAGGTATTTACTGTTTGACATGTACAACTCTGTGCTTGGCTTGCTCAGGTATAAGGAGCTGGTTTTCCAGTTATCCTTGTATTCTCGAAGTTAGTTGAGGGTGATTGAAAATTTTGGGGGTTTTGTCCTTGTATCTTCTCCATATATTTTATGTTTCTTAGAATATTGAGTTGTTAGTCAAGCCCAGCAAAACTGGGAGGGAATAATAGGTTCTGTTCCTTACACCTTCCATGCTGCTGCCTATTGTAGGAGACAGTTAGCTTGTTGAATACACCCCTTTAATCTGTTCCAACTAGAGGTTGTAATAAAAGTATAATCATGTTCTTGGTGCCAGTTTTCTGCTTACTTGTGTTCTGCTCAATTCTATGAGAAATCAGGATGGGTTTTAGTTCTTTAAAAAGTCAGCATCTACATTTGAAGTGATTTAATTTCTTTTTGTGAAAGCCTATTCAAACAAGCTTAAAATATCTTCTACTGCTCTCAGTTTTAAAGACTGTTATTTTATTATTTGAGGTCATTTATTCCTATGGCATTTATTTTTTTGATAAATACCTTGACTATTTCTAGAGTAAGCTTAAATATATGTAGCTATATACATAACTAGGAAGCATTTTCTATACTTCATTTGAAGTTTTGGGTTGTAAACATTCTTATGCATAGAAAGTCCACACCTTTTGTTATGTAAAATACTGTGCAAAGGATCATCTATGTGATTTATTACAAGTTATTAAATATACAAACAAGAGTAGACAGTTTCTGATTGTGAGGAAGACGCTTTACGTAGCCAAAACTGAAGTGGTTATTAGTAAAATTTGCAGTTGTGATCTGCAAGGCATTATATCAAAAGCAACCTGGTCTAGCGGAAGGTGTCCCTATTGCTGGTTAAGTAACTCCTCTGTGTGCAACAGAGTTTACATATATGTATGTGTGTGTATGTATTGGAGTATTGTGTATGCTTCTGGTGTCCTCAACATAAAAAGGACATGGAACTGTTGGAACAAGTCCAGAGGAGGGCTGCGAGGATAATCAGGGGACTGGAGCACCTCCCGTATGAAGACAGGCTGAGAAAGTTGGGACTGTTCAGCCTGGAGAAGAGAAGGCTGCATGGAGACCTCATAGCAGCCTTCCAGTATCTGATGGGGGCCTATAGGGATGCTGGGGAGGGACTCTTCATTAGGGACTGTAGTGATAGAACAAGGGGTAATGGGTTAAAACTGAGGGCAAGTTTAGATTGAATATAAGGAGGAAGCTCTTTACTGTGAGGGTGGTGAGGCACTGGAATGGGTTGCACATGGAAGTTGTGAATGCTTCATCCCTGGCAGTGTTCAAGGCCAGGTTGGACAGAGCCTTGGGTGACATGGTGTAGTGTGAGGTGTCCCTGCCCATGGCAGGGGGTTTGGAACTAGATGATATTAAGGTCCTTTCTAACCCTAACTATTCTATGATTATAGGTAATATATTAAAACCCACAAAATGGCTAGATGAGTGATTTTCTGACCAGTAAGGAAACTGATGCGAAGTTGGAATGAAATAGTTTTGAGATAACTTTCATTGTTTATGAAACAGGTTCAAATTGTCTGGACAGCTGCCTTTACTCTCTATCCAGATATCAGACCAGAACCTGACACGCATCTTGGAGCTAATTGATAGCATTCCTAAGCCAGAAAGTGCTCCTGCTACCAGTACACTTCCAAAAATAACTGAGGTAAGGTTTTTAAAAAATAATTACAGTTATCAGAAAGATACTTTCTTGTTGTTAGCTGCTATTTGCAGTTTTTAAAGGAGTACCAGAAAGTTGAGAAAAAGCATTTCCTGAGTACTTTTTGAAAAAACTTGGGTATTCTTCAAAGTATAGAAATTTCACTTGTTAGTTAATCTCCAAATTTCTACTACTCTGGGTATTACTTTGTAGTACATATAGTTCTTGATTAACAAACGTATTCACTTTTGTTGAGGATTAGTTTAATAGTACCTTCAAATTTATACACATATCCGAGTGCTGCAGAACTTGGGTTCAGCTCTTTTGTTTAGCAAAGAAAAGTTTGAAACCTTGTAATTTTGAAAGTTGAAGTTGCAAATGGATTAGCCTGGCGTTTAAGAAACCCCACAACCCAACAACAAAGAACAAAACCTGCAAAATATTCCCTGTCTGTGGCTAATGTTGGCTACACATTGCCTGGCTGGCAGAAATGGCAGCTTCATTTCAGCTGATTTCACTGTTCTTCCCAGCTTTCTCAGTGATAACAACATGCCTGAGTGGGCAGCAGTTTTGCCTTGCAATTTAAGGCTTAGGGTTGTGGCATGTGTTCTCTCCCTACTTCCCCATCCCCTTTCCTTAGTAAAAATGGTTTGGGTCACTGTTCTATGCTTTTTTTGGGATAGAGGATTCGCACTTTCTTGTTTCTATTCCTGAAGAGTGTGTTTTACCATGTGATATGAGCTGTTTTTAACAAAACCAAGAAATTAATTCTGAGTTGCTAATTTTTAACATGGCTCTAGTCTGTGTGATCTGGCTGTGTTTTATATAGATTTAAAGTAGTCTTCTCATTTGAACATATGTGAAATCTCAAGGTCAAAGATAAAATTTGCTGTCCATTTTTGTCATTTGTAAATGCTTCTAATTATCTGTTACTTAACCCTTTGTATACTTTATTCTAAAGGAAGGATGGTCATCTCTCATTTTTGTTTCGTTTTAAAGATTACTTGATTATTATCTTTCCATTGTTACACTAATTATTCTGTTGTGTCACTGATGGCTATTGCTGCAGTTTTGGTGGTGTTGTCTGTTGATTATGTTAGCATAATATTCGATAACTGTAAACGCACATGACTAGACATGCATACTTATTCAAAGTATATATAGACTGAAGATTGTTCCACTTCAAGATGTAGTTCCTACCATCTCTTTAGTGGTCATGTTATGATCTGCTTTTTCACTCCTCATGCACTAATATTAGTATTCCTAGCCAAATGCTGCCCTAGTCTCTGTTGTTTTGACAAATAATTACAGACAAACTTTCCTCGAGAATAAGTAATGGGATTTTAGTTTTACATAAATAAAATGTGCATAAATAAGATGATTATCCTGTACTTCATAACATTACCTGTACTCAAATTTAATTATAGTATTCAGCAATTACAGTTAAAATAATACAACTTTGTGCTTAGTATTACCTTGTACATGTACAAGATGAGGTGAGGAAAGACTGTTGAGCCAGTATGAATGTATTCAAATTGCATGCAGCATCCGTATTAAAACCTGTGGTTAACTCTGTCTGCTCAAGCTTCTGTCTGTGGCAGAGCTTGAAAGACACTAATTGCTGGTGATAAATTCAGTTAATTTGAGAGGGTTTGCTGCTGTGCTGGTTGCAGATACACTCCCATGCTTTCATCCTTGTAGCTGAAATTCTGAGCTTTGTTGCCATCACATCACTTCTGAACCAAAAAGGATGTGAAGTCCTTTTTCAGAGCTCCACATGTGAACTTTATGCTTTACATTTTGAGTTAGTGGAGGAATTGTTCTTGGGCTGTGAAAACAGAAGACTCTTCAGAACAGATAACCTGTAGTTTTTTGCACACTGCAGTTTCCTATACTTTAGTATGAGAAGGCTCTTCAATGTGGAAGGCTTTATTTCTAATGATTTCATACTGTAAAATCAAGTCTCACAGTTTCTTCTCCTTGTCTTCTTAGAACAGGAAAGTGTTACAGATGAGACGCTTTCACAGCTACAAGACTCTTAGAGATTTGGTGTAATTATTACTCATAGGCATGGATATATTCAGTAAGGTCAAATTATGTAGGCTGGAGACTGAGAAGGGAGAGTGGTGAAATGTGAAGACTGAGATGAAAGTGGAGCATTGGAAGCAATGTACAAATATGAATGTTTCTTTGTTGCCATAATACTTAGGTTTCTGTAGGATACAATGAATTACTGTATAATTGCCCCCAACTGGGCTTTGAAAGTAGCAGTCAGGGGTTGGCTGGAGGGGAAAGAACAACTGTTGTTTGTGCAGTTTGAAGCCAGAGGCGCTTGAGAAGAATGGAGCACACAGACAATGTACACGTCTCTCCTTGCTTTAGAACTCTGTGCAAGGCACACACATTCTACATGCGTGTGAGGACGCAAGTGAGAATTGTTTACAAAATTAAACCACTGAGACTGCTTTCTGAGGCTTGATGGGAGATCTGGCTTCAGTTACCTTCACAAAGACAATTTAATTGTTATATATGATATCATATGGAGTGAGGTTTTTTGTCCTTTTCTCCACTCCAGTGGCAAAACTGTGACATTTCATACATTCCAGTTACCTGTCTGCATTGTGCATAGCTGTGTCTCACAATTAAAGACTTCACTAGCATCTGTTTTTCCAGATACATGAAGAAATGAGATTGACAAGGGTCAGTGCTGGGTCCTGCACTTGGGCCACAACAACCCCATGCAATGCTACAGGCTTGGGGAAGAATGGCTGGAAAGATTCTCTGCGGAAAAGAACCTGGATCTATTGGTTGACAGCCAGCTGAACATGAGCCAGCTTGTGTCCAAGAAGGCCAGTGGCATCCTGGCTTGTATCAGAAATAGTGTGGCCAGCAGTGCTAGGAAATTGACTGTCCCCCTGTTCTCAGTACTAGTGAAACTGCACCTCAAATACTGAGTTCTGTTTTGGGCCCCTCACTACAAGAAATACACTGAGGTCCTGGAACATGTCCAGAGAAGGGCAGTGAAGCTGGTGAAGGGTCTAGAGCATAAGTTTTCTGAGGAGTGGCTGAGCGAACTGGGGTTGTTTAGTCTGGAGAAAAGGAGGCTCAGGCCACGAGGATGGTAAGGGGGCTACAGTACCTTTCATATGAAGACAGGCTGAGAAAGTTAGGGCTGTTCAGCCTGAAGAAGAGAAGGCTTCATGGAGACTTCGTAGCAGCCTTTCAGTATCTGAAGGCAATTTACAAGGATGCTGGAGAGGGGCTCTTCATTAGGGACTATAGTGATAGGACAAGGGGTAATGGGTTTAAGTTAAACAGTGAAAGTTCAGATTAGATATAAGGAAGAAGTTCTTTATTGTGAGGGTGGTGAGGCACTGGAATAGGCTGCTCAAAGAAGTTGTGAATGCTCCATTCCTGGCAGTGTTCAAGGCCAGGTTGGACAGAGCCTCGGGCATCATAGTCTAGTGTGAGGTGTCCCTGCCCATGGCACGGGGGGTTGGAACTTGATGATCTTAAGGTCCTTTCCAACCTAAATCATTTTATGATTCTATTAGGGAAAATTTCTTCACCAAAAGGGTTGTCAAGCATTGGAACAGGCTGCCCGGGGAAGTGGTTGAGTCCCCATCCCTGGAGGTACTTACAAGACGTGTATATGTGGTGCTTAGAGACATGGTTTACTGGTGGACTTGTCAGTGTTAGGTTAATGGTTGGACTCTGATCTTCAAGGTCTTTTCAACCTAAATGGTTCTATGATTCTGTGAAATTTAGATATATAAACATCTGTTTGCTCTAAAGTTATTTCTTGCTCTTTTTAATTTCTTTTTCTTCACCTGTCACTAGTGTTATGTGATTTTTATAAGGAACTCTTGATCTTTTACTATGTTTGCTGATGTAGCCATGCTGTAGTCCTGTGAGGGACTAGAGTTTGTCTTTCCAGAGTTTTCATATGATGTGCTGTTTCTGTCTGTCTTTCTATCTGTGATGTTCAGTGTTTGAATCTGTTTGAGTGTTTCCTGGTGTACTCTGTCTGTAGTGGAATGAATATGCAATATCTGATTTAGGCTTCACTTCTCCCCATGTTTTTGATTTTTGGTAACGTAATTGTTTAACAATAGTGATTTGCACTTAAAAATAAGTCCAATTTCCTAATGTTGTAAGTCTTCTATGCAGCATATGTATATGCAATAGCACATATTTAAGCAAAAAATAAAAATAATGGTATCTTCTGTTTCAGTCTATGCTATCGCCCGTGCTTTCAGCAACACATTTGTCACAAAGTGTGTTTCCTGGTTTGGATCTTTATTCATTTACTGAGTCAGGTAATACTATCTATTTTGAAGTCTGATATTATACACAGGTCAAGTTTTTGAGTTCATTGAATGAATTTGTTTCTCTTGGACCGAGTGACCATTTGTGGCTTTGTTTTAAGTTCTGGAGATTTAGTAGTGTTGCAGTGGGTGCAGCTTATTATAATTTTTTGTAATACAAAATATTTGTATATTTTCTCATAGAAGTAAAATTCTGTGTGTTCCTTTTCTGAAGGCAAAGCAGTAAATTGTTTGGTAGGATAGGTTTGTTTATTTTTGTCTTTGCATATCTTACTACAAATCTCTATTTGAAGTAGTATGTATGCCATTTTTTGCTTCACTATGTACTTAGTCATCTGACAGCGGTTTAAATTATTTTCTTCTGGTGAAGGATTCTTCTCCTACTTAGCTGGATTTATGTAAGTTACAAAATACTGAAATGATGACAGTTGGAAATTACTGTGTTGTTATAAAAACCCATCACTTCAACTTCTGCAGGATCAAACAGAAGATTGGCCGTGGAGAAATTGGTCATGCTTAATAATGCCTTGCTGTTCAAACAGCTTAGATTGTAACATTCCATCTAGCAGTTACATATGAAAAATACAAAAATATACAAGTGTTATTTCAGTGTCAATCACCTTTTGAGGCCAAAATACTCAGCTGGAGAAGTAGAGAACAATACTACCTTTCTTCTCTCATGTTAATAATATATGCGGTTTGCAAACACTAGCAAAGTAAATCTTTACATCTGCTTCATCACTTTAAATTCAGTGTGTGTATACAGTATTGATATAAATATGTATCTGTGTATCTTCATGTATTTTTTGGAACTATGAGTTCCTTTAAGTGGCCAAAGCAAGAGAGAAAGTGTCTTGGTTCTTAAATACTGGGGTGACATGAGGGCAAGCAGTGACTAAAATTGATTTGAGAAAGTAATAATTAGGTTTAGATTGAATCAGGTCTGGTGTTCAATTTGTACTGTGCATACAACTGTGCAGTAATTTTAAGTGATTCATGTTCTTTCTCTGTCTCCACACCCCCAGATGGAAGGGTGCTTTTAAGCTGCAGGAAATCCTTGTTACTGTCATTTGTTCAATTTTGTCAGAAGAAGGATACTTCTTCCTCAGTTACCTCCTTTAATTTTTCTGCTTATGGTTTTAGGTGAACAAGAAGAGCCTTACAGGATCGTGCCATTCTTGGTTAGACATCTGTAGTTGGTCGATTAAAACCTTGATAGCACTTAGGAATCTCCCCTGAAATGTGAGATCCTTAGGAGGGAGTGATCCAAAGTAGTGCCACTAATAGTGGCGCAAAGGCATTTGTATGGTCAGCAGCAGTCACACCAGGATAAGACAATTTAAGATATTAGTACGAACTGAAGGCAAGATGAGGCATGGTTTGTGCTGTCTGTTGCATACATAATAGTGAGAGACTGTTGATGAAGGAATTAGTTGATAAGAACTGATTTAGAGGGAGATGTAGGTGTGGTGAGAAGATGTGGAGCCAGGAGCAGATACGATAGAAGCAGACTTTACTGTTTGCTAATTACCAGCTAGGTAATCTTCCCATACTTGTACATTTAAGATTTTATAGATGTAGTCATGAAAATTCTAGGTCAGAGTATTGCAAAACACTGGCTGTCTGAAATATATATGTAATGTTGTTAATTAATCCTTAGAATCAGAAGAAGAATTTTATGATGCTCTAAGCAGTCCTGTGGAAGACATGCCGTTTTTTGAAACTCCATCTGGTTCCCTGAAGAGAACTAGCAGTACAAGGCAAAAAACCCTATGTAAACAAGAATCTTTGAAAACCATGACAAAATTCCAGCTAAGGTTTGAAGTGGCTGAGGTAAAGTGACATTTTAAGATTTCTCTGAATCACACCTGAATGGTAATTTTTCCGTGTCTGTTGTGTCATGAATCCATGTCTACAGAAGTATGAATTCCCAAGTTCTTGTTGAAACTACTCTAGGTTTTTTCCCAAGGCACAGTTTTGCTTCTCCATCCTTGTTGTCACTGAAATGCTTTGGTTTATCTCCTTTGTTTTATCCTAGTTTTATTGCTGAATTTCTTTTATCTGACTATCACTCAGAAGTCATGTTACATATTTTTGGCTTAAGATGTAGCTTCTGGCATTTTCTTCAGGATACTAACGTGGTCACTAGGAAAGCTTCGTGCATGTTTCATCTTGTAACAGGCACTGTATTTTTCAGCTCCAGTTTTTCCCAGACTCTGTTGACTTCACACCTAAATCTGTAACATGTTCAGTATGAAATGTTTCATATGTTATTTTTGCTGTTCCAGACTTGGGAGAAGGCTGGGGAAGGGTATTGTATCCAAACGCAAGATCCTAACTCCATCAGTTAGCCTAGTAAAAGAGATGGCCTTTTACCACTATCATTACCTTTATCATTAGGCTATCACATCTATGACAGTGTTAGTGCTACTGCTCTCCTTTTAGCTTTACCATTAAACCATAAAAACCCAGTTAACTTTACAAATTCTGTTTTAGGGTAGGGCTTACAAAATGGCTTCAACACATCATAACTAGCTTGCAGCATGCTATATACTATACCATATAGAAAATACATAAATAAAACTGAAATTTTCTGGGGTTTGAGTGATGACAAGACCTTGTTTAAGAATCGTAGAATAGTGTGGGTTGGAGAGGACCTTAGGATCATCTAGTCCCAGCCCCCCTGCTGTGGCAAGGACACCTCTGACTAGAGCAGGTTGCTCAAGGCCCTGTCCAGCCTGGCCTCAAACAACTGCTAGTCTAAAGATAAATGCTGTGTTTTACGTTATTCACTAATGGAAACTATCTTAAAAACTATTAAAAAAAATAATCAATTGAGAATCTATGAAGAGTCACCTTTCAGCTTGGTAATTTAAAATGACTTACTGGGTTTGGTTTTGATTTTCTGTCTTTGTGGAGAGTATTATGAGGAACAGAAGAATGCATATATATTTATTTCGTCTTGTTTGAGAAAGACATAAAACCAGCTCATCTAGAAATTTATTTAAAAAGATCTTTGTCATACATGGATGAAAAAGTAGGAAATCCTTTGGGCTGATACTCAGCTTGGGAATCTAATTCTTACAAGGAGAGTTCAAAGAAATTCCAGTGAAGGCAGTAAATTCTTTATTCTGACTGAAAATCTGGTTTTGACAGGGTTGAACATTACTAAATGCCTTACAGAGATTTAAAAAAACAAGTTAGTTCATGTGGGTGTAGCTTTGGTACTACACATATGTATGTTTGAAGTTTTTGTTAAAATAGCAGCAAATGGTATTCCAACATTTTGGTTGTTGAACTGTTTATATTTTTCAGGGCATGTGCTCTGTAAAGTCAAATGATCAGCAGATGTCAACCAGTAAAATATGCCTAAATAAATAATGCTATATAAAAACTAAGAGGATAATCCAGTACCTTTTTTTAATTTTTCTGTTTGCTTGGGATTTTTTAGGTCTTAATTAAACTATGCCGTCTTACTGATAATACTGAGACACCTGTGCTGGAGCTTGATATCATTAAGTTAGGCACTGAACTGAAGTTAAGAAGATTTGACGTGACTGCAAGTGCTTTCCTTCGTGAAGTTTCTCTGCTGTGCCCAGAGTATATGGGTAAGTATTTATAATCTGATAAAAAATAATTCACTAATAACACTATGAATTTGTCTTTAAAAAGCCTGTGGGGCTTTCTTTTGTCAACTGAGGAAGATTTGTTCCCTGAATTAAATGGAGGGGGTGGATGGGGAAGGCAAAAGGAATTAGGGAATTCCTTCTCTTAGAAGGGCTTTGGTAAATGTGTTTTAGTGCTTATGACTTTAGTAGATATCTAACTATTTTAGTTCTACAGAAGAGATTTTGTGATTAAGTAGTAATGGTAGCTAGTAGTCTAGTTTGTAGGCTATAGATGATTAAGAGTTGTACAAAACCTGTCTTTTTTCCTTATAAAAAGTAATTCTTTTTTTTTCCCTGCTGGGTTTTTTTAAGATGATAATGACAAGCCAGTTTTCATAATTACTACCTTGGATAATGTAGATGATGATCTTCTTACTCTGGAGTACATAAAGGTGAGAAAAAAACTTTAGTTCTTTACATTGGGGCTGGCAGAGTACTCTAACGGACTGCCAGAGGGGTTGTGGAGTCTCCTCCGGAAATATTCAAAACCCACTAGAGGTCCCGACCAGCCCTAATGGTTCTGTGATCCTGTGAAATTAGTAACCTCCTGATTTATTTGTTTTACATGTGCTTTTGGTGGAATAGGCTGATATTAATGGACCAGAACTAAAAGCTATTTATCAGAATGTTCTACAGAAAATAAAGGTATGATTTTTTTTTTTCCTTAACATAAATCTCTCACTTTGGGGAGATAGGATTATTGGACAAATATAATTTGGTTTTTTAGGTGAACTTTTCATCTCTAGATGTTCAATTGCATTCTGAAGCTCTGCTGAATGCTATGAACTATCTGAATAATATTCTACCCAAACAAGAAACTAAAGGTGCAGAAGAACCGGTCTGTGAAAAAATAGAGGAGAAGAAGGATGTTCTTAAGAAATTAAGTAAGTTTCTTTTTTTTCTCTCTCTGCCTCTCTTTTAATTCCTCTCTCTTATTTGTGCAAGGAAGAAAACAAATATTTTCTGTTTTTGTGAGCCTGTCAGTGACTTTTGAAATGATAAATTTGCTTCAGGGTATATATACTTCACAGCTTTTATTACTATAAAGTGTATTTCCTGCAGTTAATAAAATAATCATGTTGATTACCACGTTTTTTTGAGTACATAAGGACTCCTATATATACAATTCTGTGTATATACTTCCCTTGTGTTGTACTTGCTAGTATGAGTGCAGTGCATTTTCCCAGTGCTGCAGGCTTGATTCAAACAAAGCTCTGGGAAAGGGATCCTAAAATATTACATCTTCTCCTTGAAGAATTCTGACTTTATAATTTTATATTTCCCACAGCATCAAAAAAATCGAAGTATGAAGATGTTATTGACCTCAATATTTGTGCGGATTTATCTTGTTTACGTATCTTTATTAGTGAGAAAAAACATAGAATAGCTGAAATTCACATTGAAGGTAGGAACAAAACTTCAATCACAAAGACACAAAAATTTGTAACAATAATTATCTCTAGATTTTGCAATCCTTTTTTTTTTTTTAAGGTCTGGATAGCCAAGTGATCATGAAAAAATCAGCAACAGAAGTAACTGCAAAATTGAAGAACATCATTATTGTGGATTCTGATGAGACAGCGTTGTACAAAAAGGTATGCATTTTCATGTATAATTGATTTCTGAATGGCATATAGGTGTTCAATTGACTTTCCTTTCTGGACTTGTGCCCTTCAGCTGTGATTAATTTTTTTTCCTTTATAATAATATTTTATGTGTTTGGTGGGAGCATTATTCTCTATATAGGCAGAGTCATTGTGCCCCTACACCCAGCAATTGTTAGGCTGACATTGATTTTTGTGGAACTGAGCTCCCAACTACTACTTACACTCCTTATTTTGTTGACATAATGGACATAATTATTCAGGCTGAGATTCTAATGGAATATTTTAATCAATTTAAAGGATTTTTGTTTATTTATTTAATTTATTGTTGAAATATTTGAGGTAAAAATGTTTTGGAAATGTGAAGTACTGAAATGGAAGTACTACATTTCACTTTGGAATTCAGTTTCTCCACTGGCTTTTTTACAGCAGATACTTGGTTTTGTTTTGTTTTTTTTCCTAAGGCTCTTTATATCACCGGAAAAGAAGTCTTCAACTTTAGAATGATATCATATGTGAATGCTACAGATGGCATTGCATATACAAATATGAATGTTGTTGACAATCGTATTTACCTGACTGTTGGGTGTATTCAAGTAGTTTTTGTCAACAAGTTTGTTTCATCTATTTTGGTAAGTTAAATTTTCCAGATACTGTTCTAAACCATTCAGATAACACTGTCAGACCTAGAAAAAGATAAAACATCCCATATGGGGTGGTGCCCATTTATGTAAGAACTCTTACATACTATTGTAAAAAGTTTACTTGGATTGGTGGTTGGGCTATTTACTTTTCTTCTCCATATGCTTCTCATTGTGGACAGGTGGCTAAGCAACAGTATTTGCTATTATTGTTAGTAATTTTCTGTTCATTGTTTTTAACACTGAAATACAGGTAGTAAACCAAGAAGATTAATGCCTTTTCCATGAATTCTAAATAAATATATCTTTTACTTTCCATATGAGTAAGTAAAACATAATTCATACAAGTCATATTACAGGGTCATTGCTGTTAATACCTCATTTACCAAATATATAGTATGGAAATTTGTTTTTATCTGTATGCAGTGTTTCTCATATTTTGGGAGGAGATCATCCTATTAACGAATTCAGGCAAAGTGCATAGCAAAAAGAGTATCTCAGGATGGTTTGCTGTTTAAAAAACTATGATTCTGAAGTGCTTTTGAAGTAGTGTAATTCTTAATCCCAGGATCTGTTTTCCTTTACTAGGCTTTTGTAAATAACTTTCAAGCAGCCAAGGAAGCTCTTACTGAGGCAACAGTTCAAGCAGCAGAGAAAGCAGCTACAGGTGTAAAAGAACTAGCAGAGCGTAGTTCCCGTTTGGCACTAGATATCAATATTAAAGCACCTGTTGTGATAGTTCCACAGTCGGCAATGTCTACGAATGTCCTGGTGGCTGATCTTGGTCTAATCACTGTGAAGAACCGGTTCTTTATCTCTAAAACAAAAACACAGTATAATCTCCCACCTGTTGTTGACTCTATGACAGTGAAATTGAGTGAACTAAAGTTATACAGGTAATGTATTGTTAAGATTTTTTTTAAACTCATGTTTTTTTTAAACTCATGTTTAAAAAAACATGGGGCACTTAAGTTGGAGAGCTTTGAGAGATTGTTATCAAAATGATTAGCTGATGTTGATGGATACACTATTATCTTGAAATACAACTACAAATTAATAAAGAATGTGTAAAAGCAGTTAATATATATGATTTTGGTGAAGTGCAATCTACAAATCTTTAAATAGAAGCGAATGTTTGTTTAGGGAATATTATGGAGAATAATAGGCTTATGCATCCGTCACTACTTGGAACAGGTTATGCCAGTTTGTGAAGGCTATTTTGATGGAGTTTTCAAGGTGCTTAGGGATATGAGCTAGTGATAGACATGGCAGTGTTAGGTAAACAGTTGGAGTCGATTAATTAAAGATATTTTTCCAACCTAAATGATTTTATGATTCTGTACATAGCAGAAAAGGTACCAAGTAACACAGCCATAAAAAGTGTTTGAAAATGGGCAGGATATTTGGAGAGGGAGAGGGAAGGGGATTTTCAAACACAGTTGAAGAATACTGAAGAAAGACGCAGTTGCTCTCCAGTGGAGAAGAAGTAAGAGGTCCTAACTTGCAAGAAGTTAGTGTGTTGTGTGTCTGAAGTATCTCCTCCCTGCTAAGGAAAGATACCTAGTTGGTTGCTTAAGTCTTTAGCTAGAGATACTAGGACTATGTGGCTGAAGTGTCTCCTCTGCCAAAAAAAAGTAAAGTATCTAGTTGGTGGAGTGAGGCTTTAGCTAGAGATACTAGGAGTAGTATGAAGACTGTTTTACAGTACTGTTCAAAAAAGATGAGGAAAAGACAGAAGTTTGTTAGAATGTGTAAATGAAGTATGTCAGGTTGGGAGCATTTTCTTTCTTTTCACAGGTCATGCTATGAGCAAGGTTTATTACAAACTGAAGTACAGTTACTGCAGCCACTCAACCTGGAAGTAGTTGTTGAGCGAAATTTAGCTGCTGCATGGTATAACGAAGTTCCTGATATTGAAATATCTGGTCTACTCAAGCCTATGAATGTAAGCAGTCATTTCTGAAAGCAGGTGTTAAAATATCCGTGGAAAATTGGTTTGGTTTTCTGTCCATAAAAATCCAAGTTCCCTGGAGTATTTTTTGATTTTGAGATGTAGAACAGATTTTGTCATTTCATGGGGAAAAGGGAAGTCAATAGCTTTCTGTTCTAATCTGAGCTCTCTATTTCATCTGTGATACTGCAAGGAGACCTTGTACTGTCTCTTACTGTTGCTAGTTAGAACTGAATATAATGTTAAAGCCTTCTTTTACCAGTCAGTATTTTTCAAAGAAGGATTGGGAAAAGTGGGGGTTTATTGGCCTGTTCATTAGCAGCATGATCACCTGCTGAATTCAGACTTGTCACAAGTTCCAAGTTAGTACATGTACTCATTTAAATTTCACTTAAAAAAATAAAATGTTTGTCAGTCATATGAGTAAAACCAATTTGCCAAATTTTGAAATAGAACTAGTAACTAATACTGTAAAGTACCCTGTGACTTAACTGTGGATGATTTTGGGCGACTGTAAGTCATACCATATGAGTACAACTTTTAACATTCAATTCCTAAATTGTAGGTTTGTAAAGAAAGTTCATAGATCAAAGCAAAAAGGGGCTGTGTGGATTTGAGAAATAAATTTTACTTGGTTCTGTAGTTTCCTAAACAGAGACTCAGATGAAATTAATTTGGTTTATCTGTTTATTTGTAAATTTAATTTTAGTTACCAAAAGTTTAATGAACTGATTTGTTCTGAGTTTAATAACAACTTTTTTTTAATTATTTTTTTTAAGCTAATTCTCAGTCAGGAAGATATTACGACAATATTGAGGACACTAAATGAAAATATAGGTGGAAGCTCCGGTGCATCAACATCTTTACCAGAGCCGAAAGATACGACTAGCCAATGTAGTGATTTTCATAGTACTTCACAGCACTCTGCAGGTAATGTTTTCCAAAATTACGTGTGGTCTAGCATTTTTAGGTATTACTGTCAATTTATTATTTCTGTTAGAATTGCCTTTATGAAAGGATGCCAGATTCAGTTATTTTTAACAGTATGCCTCTGTTATCTTGATGTTGTGGTTTGAACTGTACCAGACAATAACGATAACGAATAGAAGCAACTGGACTATTGAAGTGAGTTTTACAGCATGATGTGTTTTAATGTAATGACTGTCTTGTTCCACTGGCAGTAATGTAGTGGAACCTAAAAGTCTGTCAGCTGGATTTGGTAACATCCCAGTTTAGGAAAGGTGGTATGTTACTCTCTTTCTTGTGCATGCTGGTTCTGTTGCTGTTCAGTTTTAGATCTGTTCATCTTGTCATAATGATGTTATCCCTGGAAGTTGTTTCTATTCAGTAGAGAGCCATGAACTATTTAGCAGAGACTAAAAAAAAAAGCAAGTAAAGTTAAGAAAAGAATCTTTTATTGAACTGTGCTATTAAATGTGAAAACCAGCAAAAATGTGGCGAGATGAACAAATAAGGATATCAGTAAAGTTGTATTTTTTGTAACATTCTTGCACACAGAACTGTAATGTTAAGGAAAATTGTACATTTATGTCTTTCAAAGATGGTAAAAATTGCATATAGAATATATGAGTGGAGTATTTTATCTTCTCAAACATTGTGTGCTTTTTGCCAAAAGTAATTGCAGAGAGCACAATAAACATATCCTTATTGTGGATGGATTTACATGTGAAAGCAAGGGGAAGGTGGTGTCTTTATAGTGTCATTAGTGAGGATGTAGGTTTTAGTTTTTCCTTGTTTGCAGTCAGGTAATTTTCTTTAATATTAAGTGTTTTTCTAATTTTCAAAAGGTGTAACTGTTGTGACATCAGCTGTGGTGGAATTACATTCATCTATGAAAATAAAAACAACACTAAAACTGGACTTCAGATTCGACTCTCTGACTTTAGTATTGTATAGTCCAGATTCAAAACAGGTAAATATAATTTTGGTTACAAAGAGAAAGAAACAACTTCGAGGCTGCATAGAGTGCTGGAAATTCTGAACAGGAATTGTTTAATGTAAGAGCAGAGGAAATAATTTCTAACAATAGTAACAGACATGATGGAAATGATAAATAGCTATTTTAACTAAATATTGTGTCAAATATTATGGAAAGAGTGTAATCAGTGGTAGCACATAATATATGGCATTTTCTGTGATCTTACTAAAAATTCGCTGAAAACTTGCCTTAGCTTAAAGTACAGTTTGGAAAGAAGAAAGTGCAGAGGGATGCAACCTATTCTTTAGTTAGACGTATGGACACGAACACGTATATAAATGTAATCGTGGAGTGAGATTTTAAATTTGTGTTACAGTATGAATATGTTATTATTACTCTTAGTTTAAATTTACAAAGCTTGTCAACAGATTTCTGACTAAAAGTTTAGTAATACTTTATTTTTAATTTTTATTTTGCTATTCTAGATTTTGAACAACTTTCCAGTATCTGGCTGAGCACTACATAGTTGCAAGAGACAAAACTTAATTTCTTATTTGGTGTTTTTGCATACACAGTGTAGGTTTTAAACAGCAAACAAATCGAAATTGCATGTTGACAGTTTTACTTTCTTTCAGACATTGTCTCCCTTTCACTAATATAAGCTTGCTTTAGCAAGCTGTTAGAAGTGTAAAGCTTTGCATTTTTTTTATTTGGTTTGTTTTTTTTTTTTTTTCTCTGTATGTTAATGCCTTTTGAATTCTTGTGTTTTGAATTACTGGTGGGTTTAATATATTATTATTAGAAATTTTACCAGTTAGAAGAAAGCTGTATCTCACAACTGTGTATTATTTCCATTACCTGTAAGCAAGTCTACAAACATATTTTCATTTGATTTAAGCAGGTTTCAAATTTGGATCAGAGAGATGACCTTTTGAAGCTTGCAGAGTTTAAATTAGGTTTGATGTCGGCTGCTGTCAAAATGTTATCAGATGGTTCAATGAATGCTTCAGTCAAGCTGGCAAACTGCACATTGGATGATAAAAGACAGTCAATCCAGATGGCTACACCAAGGTCTGTGTTTTGACATAAAGTCCTGCTTATTGAAATTTGACAAAGAGTTCCAGATGTTTCCATTAAAACTGCAATTGTTTTGGTGTAGGTGATTCTTAAAGTACATATCACAGTATACTGACTTGTGTGTTTTACGTGCCTTTTGTTTATGTTGTTGCTTATAAGACCAGTATAAGTGCTAGAAACCAACAAAATAGGAATTAAACAAAACATTAGATATAAAATTAATAAATGCATGGAGAAACAAATTTCATTTTTAGCTTTAATAAACTGCAAAGTAAGACTTAAGATTGTTCCTCCCCATGAAAAAAAAAAGTCAGTAAACTATACTTCTGATATGTAAACACAGAATTGTGATGGTATGACTTGTTAAAATTATGAACACCTTTAGTTGCCAATGTATGGGAATCTACTTAGTTTTGAAGTTGTACATAATGTATAGAATTACAGAATCGTAGAATAGTTAGGGTTGGAAAGGACCTTAAGATCATCTAGTTCCAACGCCCCTGCTATGGGCAGGGACACCTCACGCTAAATCATATCTCCCAAGACCTCATCCAACCTGGCCTTGGACACTGCCAGGGATGGAGCATTCACGAACTCCCTGGGCAACCTATTCCAGTGCCTCACCACCCTAACAGGAAGGAATTTCCTCCTTATATCCAATCTAAACTTCCCCTGTTTAAGTTTTAACCCGTTACCCTTGTCCTGTCATTACAGTCCCTAATGAAGAGTTCCTCCCCAGCATCCCTATAGGCCCCCTTCAGGTACTGGAAGGCTGCTATGAGGTCTCCACGCAGCCTTCTCTTCTCCAGGCTGAACAGCCCCAACTTTCTCAGCCTGTCTTCATATGGGAGGTGCTCCAGTCCCCTGATCATCCTCGTGGCCCTCGTCTGGACTTGTTCCAACAGTCCCATGTCCTTTTTATGTTGAGGACACCAGAACTGCACACAATACTGCGAGTGAGGTCTCACAAGAGCAGAATAGAGGGGCAGGATCACCTCCTTTGACCTGCTGGTCACGCTCCTTTTGATGCAGCCCAGGATACGGTTAGCTTTCTGGGCTGCGAGCGCACACTGCCGGCTCACGTTCATTTTGTCATCAACCAACCCCCCCAAGTCCTTCTCCACAGGGCTGCTCTGAATCTCTTCTTTGCCCAACCTGTAGCTGTTGATGTTTATATATCAGTCAATTTTAGTAATTGTTGGTGTTCCATTTTAAACTCGCTCTTGTTAATGTATTTTTGGGTGAGACTCTTGAGTGTGTTTCAGAACTCATAGCTGGTTTTTATTGTGTCATTAAATTCTACCTTAATGATCTTTCAGAATGGTGGAAATGAAACATGGATTTGACAAGAAAGTTATGATGGATATAAGCTATAAGCAGGGGAGAGATGGCACTGTTCTTGATGTGATTGTTCAAGAGATATACCTTTGTGCAAGCATGGAGTTTCTACTTACTGTTGCAGATATATTTTTAAAGGCTAATGCAGAAAGTGCTGCTGCACAGAAAAGTCTCAAACAGTCAATACCTTCAAAGGAGCAAGGTAATATACTGGAAATATTTTTCAATTTCTATTTAAATGTCCACGTATTTTTGGTATTATAATCCTATTTTAAAAATTATAATACTCCTTTTATGCTATTTCCTATGTTCATGCATATAGAACAAATTCTTTCAAAAATAGATATTTCATTCTTTGCATCCTGGAAATTGGTTCATGTCACTTGGTCTTTATTTCTAAATGAAGCTTTGTCTTACCAGGCAAAGGAAATACCTAAAAATGTGTGTCCAAAATAAAACTAAAATGGAAGAGGACAATTACAGCTGGCACTCACTATCTTTGCAGTTTCAACAAAGTTTATAATGATGATTACCGCTATCATCATTTTCATCCTTCCAGAGAAAGATGGAGCATATTTATATTAGGCTTACATATGAACTCAGCCTGCCTGATGTTGCTGCCTAGAAGTGTTGTCATTTCAGTTGTCCCCTCATGTGTGTTTCTCTCTACACCAGTAAGCATGCTTTTAGCTTGAGTGCCCAAGGTCTTTCTAGTGCTGGACCCTATACCTGTCAACAGGAATTAGCCCATTAGAACATCAAAGCAGGAAATGAGCTATTTAAGCTTCCAGGCCATTGTGGCTCACATGAGATCTGCAAAGCAAGTCTTCCTTTTTATTTGTTTGTTTGTGTTTTGTCTTTGTTTTGTTTTGTGAGGTTTTTTGTGGGTTTGTTGTTGTTTATTTGTTTTCTTGTACGCTGATTATCTTAGTTGTGTCCACCTTATGTAGGCCTGCTGTGGTTGTTTAATAGATGATCAAAATCTAAACATAGGGAGCCTTACATACATTAGAACTGCAAATGGCTAGATCAAGTACTACAAAATGCTGCATTACTGTCTTATGGAAAAATGTGTTTTGCCACTCCGGAGGGCAGAAATTATGTCCAGTATTTCGGCATTTTTATAAGACCCTGTTGTAGCTGGCTGATGTAGATATTTATAGTGAAGCTTATAATAGAGGTAGCAATAGTGGTGATACTGATTGACAAAGAAGCTTTGTGGAATCTTTCATTGTATCTGAAAGTGTATTAAAGCTTTAATGGTTTTGTATCTCCAGTGAAGAGCCTAGAAATATTTCAGTCACTGGGATCTAGAGGTTTTCTGACACCAGTAATGCTAGATCTTTAAAATATCTGTAAATTGAGAGATGTAAATAGTGACCATTTAATCGTGAAAAAATAATCTAATTTAATTTATATTTTTGAAGCACCTGTGCAGCCTGTATCTACAATGGAAATGAACATTGTTGTTAAAAATCCAGAGATTGTGTTTGTGGCCGACTTAACAAGAAGCGATGCTCCTGCATTGGTGGTTACAACACAATGTGAGGTCTTCATTAAGAATAGTCCTGAAAGGTATAGCATGACAGCTGCTGTTAAGGAGTTACAAATGAAAGCATGCCCATTTCTTCCAGAAGAAAGGAAAGGGAACATTACTACGGTGAGTTTGCAAACATACACTTTGTATTCAACAAGTGCTGTGTAATTTATATCATGAGAATGCAAGTTATTTCCGAAGCTTTAACCATTAGAATGTGTGTTACAGACATATCAGTAAAATTTTTGGCTAACTTATTTTGTTGATTTTATTCTGTTTTCTCTGATATGCCAAAAGCACCATCTTGATCTGCGGCTTTGAGGTTTGCTTAGTAAGTCAAGCTAAAATAAAAGCCCAGAAGAGTAAGAAGTTAATAATCTTTTGCATTCTGTATAAGCAAAATGATAGAATTTTATGAGTGTGCACTGTTTCAAATGCAACATCATAAATTTGGAATACTTCCAGTCTAAAACTTTGTGTTAAATAGCAATGTGAGTTACAGAAGGTCACAGACCAAATGGGAAGTATGTATTATGAAATATATTACTTACTGTATGCCATAGATCCATTATATTAAAACTGCCTGTTTATAATTTGGCAACAGAATTAGACTTTTTAGTTTTAATGACCAGGTGACATGTATTGACTTCTGGAGCTTCTTGGAGCTTTTCTGCCTCTACAGCTAAACACGCTATACCTAATGAAGTCAGAGAAAAAAAGCAATTTGACAGTATAGCCAACTGTTATCTCTGTCCTCAAAAGACAGATGAATTTTGAAGAATGAGTCTTTGCAGCTCTGGATTAATGCCTACTTACTCTGTGGAACTACGTAGGAAAGACCAAAGCTATAAGTACAAAGGATTAGGACTTCCATTTACCATAGCAGCTTAGTTTACTCCTTGGGTAGACAGATTTTTTGACTGTATCAATTTGTTGACAGTCTAATTATTGAGAAAGTGATGTAGTTTCACTGATAGCTGCAACGCAATGCAAAGCTGCTTCCATTTCTGCAGCTGGGGAGCATGGCACAAATGTGTCTAGCTTTGTAAAAAGCAATTAAAAGGCTTCACACCAAGCTTTCCATCTTACAGGAAGATCTTCTGCCAGAATCTCGTGTCTCAGACTGTAGAAACAAAGACTTGTACTTAGCAGGATGCTTGTGATATAAAGAAGGAAAAGACTTCAGAGGGCTTTAGTTTTGATGCTTAAAATGGTACCACCTTCGAAAATTTGAAAAAGATACTTGAATAGCAAGAGTAGAGGTCAAAAATGAAGACATTCTCTGCTGGAAGCGGCATAACTGCCTCTTTTGAAAACCCGTACATAAGGAAATATTTGAACCCAGGTTTTCTGTAAACGATAACTATTTCAGTCTGGGAAAATAGTTGGATAAATAGAAATTCAGATTATATTCTATGCCTTCCTTTAGTGAAGAAAGAAAATATATGGTATTATATGAAGATCACAAGATTGCTGAAGGCTGATACTGATGTGAAGGTTTTGTATTGCCCAAATTTTGTGAAAGACGTATCCTAGGTAGGGACTGGAGAACAAATTTTCCAGTCAATACAATCTCAGTAGAGTCTTAACTACATCTGAGTGCTTTATTAATTACATAGCACTATTTTTATTTATTTATGTATTTATATATAATGTGCTGTAGATTAGATTGTCATAACACTTGGCAAGTGAGAGTATGCAAGGACTGACTGTAAAATAAAGCTGGAACTGAGTGATTATGATTCAGTGATGTTTTTATTCAGGAAAACTGTAACTGTTGTTGCTGTGTTGCCCTTAACTGAAAAGTCTGCTTCTCAGACGTCACGGGCATGATGATATGGTGTATCTGAAGACATCAGCAGACCTTACCTAAAGAACAGATTTACTGAAGTATAATGCATTTTATTGTAGTGTTTGAATCTTTAATGATTTAATTATGAGTGGCTGAGGTGATGCTTCTGATACTTTTTTTCGTGTACTTTTCCTTTCATAACCTTAGATACATAGTATTTAAAAAGTATATGATTTTAGAAAGATTTTTACTCTATTTGTTTTTATTTTTTTGTATAGGTATTACAGCCTTGTGACTTCTTCTTTGAAATGAAACAGTCAAGTACTAATCCACAGACAGCTGATCTAACGATTAGATCTCTAACAATAAAAGTAGGTACACTTTCGTTATGTTTTTAGTTCTCTACTGCTTTCTACTTTGAAGGCTTTGAAGTTGCTTGTGATATATGTTTCTGTCGTGGTTTAAACCCAGTCAGGTAACTTGTTCACTCACTCCCAGTGAGTGGTGCCGAGCTGACAACAATCGAGGTCCGTGTCCGTCTCCCCCCCCCCCCCCCCCCCGCACCGGGGCTCTCCCCTTCCCCGCTCCCGGAGGAACGGGGAGGAGGATCGAGAGAGTGCAACTCCTACGGGTTGAGACAAGAACAGTCCAGCAACAAATCACCACCGCTACTATCAGTTAAAACAATGATAAGGGAAAATAACAAGAGAAGAGAATACGATACCACCGGCCAAGAAACGAGTTCCACCCGGAAGCCCCTGTCCTTCCGGGTAACTCCCAGTTACCCCCCACCCCGGGCATGACGTGCTGTGGTATGGAATACCTCCCCGGCTAGCCCGGGTCAGGCGCCCCATCTCTGCTTCCTCACAGCTTCCCCTCCTCCCTGGCAGAGCATGAGCCTCACAGAGTCCTTGGTCAGGGTAAACATCACTTAGCAACAACTGAAAACATCGGCTTCACCAACACTGTTCTCAAGCTAGAAGTCAAAACACAGCACTGCACCAGTTAACACAAAGGAAAAAAACATGACTGCTACTGCTGAACCCAGGACAGTTTCTTAGGAAACAAAAAAAAAAAACATAAGGAATGACTGAAGAGGGGAGTTGTTTCTGTTCTTTATCGGTTCAGCTGTCTGTTTAGCATGTGAAAACAAACAAAATTGAAAATTAGCAGTTGTGTCACAGTGTTTTGGTTTTGGAATCTGTGTTTTATAAAATGGCCTGGTCTGCAGAGATGAGTTTTGAAGTGTTCAAATAGAGCATTGAATAATGTAGTTTAGAAAGCTTCCACCTGGAAGAAAGGCAGGGGCTGAAAATCTGTATAGTTTGAACTGTATTTTGTAGAAAGTAATGAGTTGTCAAATATAGAAGTCCTGTAGAGAACAGAAGTGTTTTGTTAGTGTTAACATATTCATTATAATGTTGTTTCTGAAAGAAGTTTTTGCCTTTAAAAGTTTCTCATTTCAAATTATTCCAATATTTAATTGTAGGTTTCACCAATAATCATAAACACAGTAATTACTATTACATCAGCCCTTTATCAAACTGCAGAAACAACAGAAGAAGAGGTCAGTCCAATTCCTCCAGATCTGTGGAACAAGAAAGATATAAAAAATCTAAAAATGTGGTTTCTTGAAGAGTCAAATGAAAATGAAGATACAAATCCAACTGCTGAACTGGTTCCCACAGGAGAGTCATTGAAAATGAATGTAGAATCTGTTTTTATAACACTTGAAGCTGGTGTTGGGCACCGAACTGTACCGATGCTTTTGGCTAAGTCCTCATTTCTCGGGGAAGTCAAAAACTGGAGTACTTTAATCAACCTACGTTCTCGTCTGGAGCTAGAGGTGGGGAATCCTACATAAGAAATGAAAGTTTCTTAGACTATTAAACATGTTATGTTACTTAGACAGTAGAGGAAAAATAATCCATATATTTGATGACTAAACACCTACAGATACGTGTTATGGGAGCAGGATGGGAATGAGAAGGGTTAAGATAGTTAAAATCTAAATTATTAGATGTATTAATGGCAGTAATTCACGTCATACAATCTCACATTTATATTCTGTACAAACTTCTCAAAAGCCTGTGGCATCAGTATTAGATTTTGGAGTATCAGCTGGCTAAGATGCTGTGACAATCTTTATTTAAGATTATAATAGAATATATTCACGTGTCATTTCTGTAAAATACTGTGCGGTTCCAATATTGTATATAAAATGTTCACAGTGGCTCATATTTGGAAATTAGTGGCATAAAATTCAGTGGTTGTTGTAGGTAGATTCTTTTTTATAGTCACTTCCAGTGCCTAAGCCTACAGCTTAGGTCAAAATTATATTTTAAGTGACATACCTTATACCGCTTATTTGGAAGTGGGTCTTTGCAGTATAGACTCAGCTCTAAGTGCAATCTGATTATAAATCTTTCATGTTACCAAAGTAACTAATATCCTTGTAAACCAGAATTTTAAGTCTTTAAAACCTGTAGAGCTTCCACTGATGTAACAGTTGAATTTATCTTCCTAATTGACTTCTGTATTTTGACAGGTACACTATTTTAATGAGATGTTTGGGGTGTGGGAACCTTTGCTTGAACCACTAGAAGTTGAGAAGACTGATTTATTCAAACCGTGGGTTCTTGAAATTAAGGTATATATTCCAAATTGTAACTCAAATCTTCCATTTCGCTACCTTAGTAAAGACAAATGCTCTGCATCTTTCATAGCTGAGGCTAATCTAAGTATCTTGTTCCTTCTTGTTGGTTACCAAGACTTTTTTTCCCAATTAGTGAATGAAAACTGCTTTTGCACAAGTGAAGATCTGGACTCACAGATGTGTTAAATAATACTGTCTTTCAGGTGGTGAGAGAATTTGATTCCAGTTGCACTAGATAATCATAATGGCTTTAAATCATTTTCTCTGAAACTAGGTTGTATGCGGATGATGCCCTCAGTGACTTCAGGAAGGTCTCATTCCACAGTAGTACCTGTAGTGGAAATCTGTTGGAAAAATTGATACCCATTACTGACTAGCACAAAGTGTGCTCTGGGGATAGTGCTCTTACCAATTAAGTTTCATCCTTTGTAGGGAAAAAAGTCTAGATTCTGGTCTCAAAGTAGATAAGCATATATCTAAGGAAGAGTGATACTTCTCCCACTCTCCTTTTTCTTTTTCAAAAGTTTTCAAGTATTTTTAGCCCAAGAGGTTGCTCAGAATAGAAAACTTGCACTTTTCTTAGGACTGTCATTATCAAACAACTTTCTGAAGTGATGGGCTCACAAGGGTAAAGATTATTGACTGAGATATTGCAATCAAGAAATTGCTATTAAAAATATTCCAAAGAATTTTTCAAGAAGGTGTGAGATCTAATGCAGAAGAAAGGTAGAAGACAGTGAGTCAAACCTTCTATCTTCTTGCCCAGATTTGAAATACAACATTTGGAAATACATATAATTTCCAGAATGTTGACGGTCAGGAAAATGTGTTTGGTTTGGAAATGTAAAAGACTAAATTTGGTGTTACTCCTCTAAGAAGAGGAAATCGGTTACATATAACAGTTTTTACAGTGTTATTAGATGTTACAATGACTGTTTTCACACAGCGTTTACTGGATATGTTAGTGGCTATATATAGCTGTATATTGTTAATTCTTGAATAATCATAAATTTAGCTAATGTTATTGACTTCTGAACTACTTCTTCTGCTTCTTGCCTTTATTCTCTTCTTCTGTATTCAAAAATAAAAACATGAACAGAAAAAGGAAAGCCATGACAGGTCATAGAAGTGGGAAGGGGAGACAGAAGGCATTTTGAGGTGAAACTTGCTTCTACAGAAGAAGTGGTCAGATAAGAATGCTTTAAAAATCTCCTTTCAGATGAAGAAGAAGCCTAAAAAAGCATTGGTTGAATCGGATGCAGAAGAAGAAGAAGAACACTTCAAAATTCCAGAATATAAAACAGTAATAAATATTTCTTCAAAAGACCAGCTGAACATTACATTATCCAAATGTGGACTACAAATGTTGAGTAACCTGGGCACGGTACGTAAGATTGCTTAACTATGCAGTGTCAGAAATGTTAAATGAATGTTTGTGCAGATCATCTTGATGAAATCTTATTCAATATATTTGTGTTTTGTATCTATACTTCGTTTTCTAGGCGTTTGCTGAAGCAGCTAGTCGAACTTCAGACATCTTCAAAAAAGATCGAGCACCATTTGTAATAATAAATTCTTTAGGACTTCCCATCACTGTCTTACCTAGTGATTCCTTTAGTGTCCTTAATGTTGAATTTGGAGCAAAAACATTTATTCTAAGAGATGAAGAGAATTTAAATATGGAATTTGTCAGAACTAAAAATGAGAGTGACCAATTCACAGCAATGACAACTCTTTGCAGCAAGAGGTTTTACATTCAGATCTGTAAGTTCCAAAGTTCATATATCTTCTGTTATTGTAAATAGTGCATCATACATAATACTACATCTTGCACATGTCAGTAAGTATTGGGGAACTACGTAACATGAAAAGAGTGTCTATATTCTCTGTGAATGGCAGTATTTGAAATCCTGCTTTAGTCTTCGCAGCTGAAAGTTAACATGTATCATGTTAATTTTCATAGCATAATTTTTCTACTATGATAAATTATTTGGGTAACCGATCTTTACTCATGAGTTTACTGCAGTGAAGTATTTGTTTGCATTCAAAAGTTAATGCAAAATTAAGCTACCTCAGTTTTTATTTTTTGTAGAATTGAGGCCTTGTATGGATATATGAGTGTTCATAAGGTTACTTTTAAAGGGGATCTTTAGAAGAAAAGATTTTTTTTTTTTAAATTCAAGTAAAACACAGTTAAAAAAGTAACATCTAGTTTTAATGTAAATGTGTTAAATATTTTAAGTTGGTTTATCGTAATAATTGACAGGTTTTTCAAAACTGATTTTCACAAATGGTCTTGACCGTATTATGTATTAGTTGAATTGTTTGCACAGTGTGTCTGAACTGTACCTTGTTAAAAACCCATTACATCTTGTAAACATTTCTTTTTAGGCACTACTTTTATTTGTAGTGACAAAACCCACTTGACTCTTTTTTTCCTCTGGTGAAAAAAAGTCTTTGCTGTTTCTTAGGAGCACTGCAAAATTGGCATATTAAAAGTGGTGATTGTACATTTTCATTTGCTTTACTTTTTTTAATAGATTGATACAGAAAATTCTACTGAATGTGCATTTCTGGCTTTCAGATGTATGTTATGCTTCTTTTGAGTCTTTTATTTCTCATCTTATAAATTCTAGGTCCACATAATCATTCCACTGTGGAAAAGATTCCATTGACAAAAGTGGGTCGATGTATTTACAGAGTGAGACATGACGAATCGGGTGTTGAAAGGGCCATTGTCTGTCAAATTGATACTGTTGAAGGAAGCAAGATGATAACTATACGTTCTCCTATTCAGGTTATTATATTTACATACATCATAATTTTGTTATTATTCTAATTTTTAATGAATAAAAATGATCCTGTAGTCATTAAATAAACATTAAAAAGTGCTTCAAAAGCTTACTTAAACAATTCCTGTAACATAGCTCTTGTGTATTATAAGGTAGTTCAGAAGAGATTTTCAAGAATAAAAAGCTTTTCCAAAGTGACAAAGGCAGGGGCTGGGGTGGGAGTGAAAATGGACCTGATTTTAGATCAGGATAATTCATCAGTTATGTCTTAAAATGCTAGCTGTGATTGCAGTCTTGTTGACCTATTTGCTTTGTATGAAGTGATCAAACTTCTCTTAACCTTACGTTGATTCTGCAACATAAGGTTAGTCTGTCAGATTTTTTTTTTCTTCATTCTCTATGATTGAGACATGAATTTCAAATGAGGAACAAGTCAGCTAAGAGTGTGTGTGTCTGTTTTTGATTCAGTAGTGTTAGATACATGGTTTGTATGTAGTTTACAAGTACAGGGAGGATCCAGGTATTAGTGCTTTATAGTGGTAGTGTCCCTGTTTTGTATCACTTACAGCTTTTGCCTGGAGTGGTTTATGACTTGGTTAATAATCAGGTTTACTGTTTTATACTTACCTAAATTAATATTTTTTCCCCAGAGCTAATAATACCATTAAAATAACCATAAAGTAAAAACCCTAATGTTTGCAAAGAACAAGAGCACTCTGTACCCCCTGAATTATGATTGCTGATGGTTTAACCTTGAAGTACAGACTTTACTTACCTTGTGGATTTTTGACCCGCCACAGCCTTGTATCTAATACAATTTTTAGGAGAAATTTCTTTGAAAATTTATGATATAGTTCAGATCTACTTGTATTTAGTTTTAAAGGGCTTTATGCTTCTCCTTAAAAAAATGTTACAGCTAACATATTCATTTTATAATTAAAATGTATTTATTTTATGATTAAAATATAGCATTAAACTGCACAACCAAATTATTAAGGAGATCTGCTGTTATTGGGGACAATTCTTTTGAAATACCTGATCTGGAATGGTAAATGGGTAAGAAGAAAAATAAGAGACTACTTATTCTGTCCTCTGTTAGGTTTAAACCACTTATCCTTCCAGTTTTTCCTAATGCATGTTGCTGGATTTTTATTTCATTTAGATAAGGAATCATTTTTCAATCCCGTTAAATATTTTTGAGGAAGGAAGATGTATAGGGACTGCTTCACCAGAAAATGAATTCAACATACCGTTGTCCTCTTACAGGTACTTTGTTGCATTGTTCTTTTATCATGGAATATGTTTATAGATTGTTGATTATTGTATCGATACAATTACACTAAAAAAGTTTTCTGTTTGGTACCTAATACTGTAATTGTATTGTCATTGTTAGCTATGATCTTCTCGAAGCATCTCTATATAATTCTTGAATTGGAAGTCTTTTGAAATCCGTTTTACTGGACAACTTAAATTAACCAAGTTACTTTAAGTATCCAAGCCCAGGTGCTGCTTGTGATTGTTACTCACACAGTACAGACTTTTTTCTTAGAGGAGTGATGTCTAGCGATGCATTACAGCTTCTTTTTTAAAAAAAAAACCACAACGGACTTCTTTTGTTATTTGTGATTCTGAAGTAAAAAATTGAAACTAATACACAAACTCTATCACAGTTGTGAAAAAAGACTTGTCAACCTTAGAAAGACTTGGCTTCCAGAACATCTACACTATTAGCACCTTCAAGCTAATACCCACTTGGAACTGCAGTGAGTTTGTGTGTACAATTTAGCTGAACTGTCACCAACTTTTAGGCACATAAGTTTGCTTTGATTTTTTTTTTTTTTTAATGATTATGGAGACTTTCTTTCTGTTTTCCCACAAATACTTTCCCTCCCTTTTTTTTTTTTTTAAGATGACAGCTGTTTGTCTTTTTTTTTAAATAACCTGCACTTTACTGTGGATAATATAAGTTAGTAAGTATCTCTGATTACCTGTATTTTATTTAATAAGGGTTAGTGACCTTCTAAATTCATTGCACAGATATATAGACGAGTTCAACTAGGCGCATGTAAACATTTCTCATAGTAAACTTTTCATTCAGGAAATGTTTACTAACAAAATGAATTACTGTCAGAAATCTTCCAAAATCCAAATAATCATAGAATGTATGTTGCATAGGACTTTTTCTTAAATGAAAAATTCAATGTCAAGTGTTTAAAAACCATTTTCATTTACAGATCCATACTGAGTTTGCAACCACAAGCCAATGAAAATGGAGTGGATGGAGAATATGATATGTGTGAAGGAATTACATTTGATGAAATTATGAAAAATGTTGACAGTTTATTACAAAGGAAATGTCAGTCTGTGAGGTCAAGTAATCACTCACTTATCATCAATATTGTTCCTGTAAAAGACATGTTGACAACTTCATTATGCACAGATCAGTGGGATTTTCCATATGTTGTTCATTTATGGCCTTCTCTTCTTCTCCGCAATCTTCTTCCTTATCAAATAACTTACTCTCTAGAGGTAATTCTTTAATATTTATTTTTTTTGTGATGCTTCCCACCTGTGATATGAAAGCTCACAAGGTGGTTGAAATGTGTTTATAAATTTATATGAAAAGATAGGGCTTCTGGTAGAGTAGTTGTGAAGCAAGTTTACAGATCTTGTAAGGGCAAGTCTCTATTACAGAAACGAAACAGTGCCAGAATGTGAAAAGTGGTGGTATTAATCATTAGTAATAAGTATTATTTTAAATACGTATGTGAAGTAAAACTTACGCTGTACAAATTTAGTCCTGTGAGTCACTTCCTGTTGCTCAAGTGCAGCTTGAACCTAATTAAACAGTATAGTTTTTACTTTGAATTATGACTGCATCAAGTGACATAAGTGGGTCAGCCTAAAGTAGCATTTTACATGCTGTCACTGAATTTTAGCAGTAGTATGCTTTTAGCAAATTCTCAAAGGCGTGCCTTTTTGCCAGGTTTCTGGCTTGAATTGCAGCCTACTGCCAGACTTTGTTCTTTTCAGACAAAATTAAATTATTAGATGCACTTTTGACTGTTAATAGTCATTCATTCCAGGTGAGAAGCCAGTCCCAAGTAAAACGCTTAAAACATTTACAGTGTGGACATTGGTTCCTCAGCATTAAATATGTCGTTCTGTGGATCTGCTATGGTTGTATCCCACTACCTGCTGGTCTAGACATAGGATAATAGAGATATAGGTGGAAGACAGTGAACCACCTTTTTTTTTTTTCTCCAAGATGGTCATAATATTTAGTATATGGACTCAAATAGTAGAATTTAATAAAGAATTTTGCTGCAAATACACAATTACTAGAGCTAGAGACTGTGGTCTCTGCCAAATGTGTGGTAGTAACAGGCTCTTTTCTGTCTCAAGGTATCTCTCTTACAAATGTAAATTTAGGGAAAGAAATACTGAGTTGAGGAAATTATGTTAGTATTTAAGCATGTTTATGTATTTGAGTTTGGTGACTCTGTTGTGTGTTAAATTTTGAGGACTATGCATCAGATTGTTTTGGTGGTTTTTTTTTTTTTTTTTGCTTTTTTTCAGTGTCAGGGTAGCTGTTTAATTGTGTGTCCTGGTTTTCGGACATAGTATGTATCATAATTAAATAGTGTAATAAGCATTTTAAAAATTTGCTTAAGTATATTGTGTTTCAGTTTTCAAAGCCAGCTAGAAAGTAAAAGTTGATATGAATTTTGAGTGACTCATTTAAATGTACACTGTTGTTTTTTGTTTGTTTTTTTTTTAAAAAAAGGGAAATGGGAACAAGTATGACACTCTACAAGAGGGATGTTCAGCTCAGATACATAATGCAGTCTTGGATCAAACAAAACTAGATTTACAGTTACTTAACTATCTTGATCAAAATTGGAAAAGTGAGTACCATATAAAAAGCAATCTACCTGAAATCAGCTTTACGACGTTTTACTGCATCACGGAGTTGGATAAAACTGAACTGGATATTGCTGTCCACGTGATCTACACAACTGGGCAGATGGTTATAGAGATTCACAGTCCGTACTGGATGGTGAATAAAACTGGTCGAATGCTGCAGTACAAAGCTGATGGTATTCACCGCAAGCATCCTCCAGATTACAAAAAGCCACTCCTTTTCTCTTTCCAGCCCAAAAACTTCTTCCAAAATAACAAGGTATTATATTTTTTAAAACCTGACAGCTCCGTAGTACCATGTTGTTGTATGAAAGCATTTTTACACTTTGGAAGTTATCTACACTATGCTGTGATCTCTAAAGATCATGAAAGCTACCGTATCTGTCTAAACTCGTATTTTAAATAAGCGTGTTGTCAGATATACTAAAGATGGGAAATGTGCATTATCAAAGGCATTGTTAAGAAGGAGACTGTCGTCTTTGAGAGTAACAAAATTAACTTTATTCCATTTAAACTGTGTCAAGAAGTGATCCTCATTCCACATAAGACTTTAGAAGTTGTGTAAGAAATGTAAAGCTGTGGTACTTGAAAATGGATCCTTGCAATGTGGTTGTTAGATTTGGTCAAAGTTGGTAGTAAGCTAAGGTTAAGATGCAGTTTACCATTTGAGTTCGCTATGTGAGTTTTTTAATGCTGATTACTGATGGATGAATGATACAAGAAAGATTACATGACCGAGATTTTCATTGTGAATAGGTTTTGGAAAGGATAGTTACGTGGTTGTTTCCTCAGCAGTATCTTACAGTTTTAATTCTTATTCCACATAGGTTGTAACTAGGGGTGGTAGAAAATCTTGGATTTACTCAATAGAGTATCTTTGTGAGACTATACTGACAGTTGTTGCGTCTTGAATAGGAACACCAGTATTTCCAGGATTCACTTATATTTGTGTTTATATACACACTTACTTTGTGTATGATTTTAAATGTTAGTGTCTGTAAATTGAAAATTAATTCAGGGTGCTTCTTCCTAGGTGCAACTTATGGTAACTGACAGTGAACTGTCTGATCAGTTTTCACTGGACACAGTTGGAAGCCATGGTTCTGTGAAATGCAAGAGTCATAAAAAAGATTATCATGTGAGTTAAATTCATCTTTCAAATTCATTAGTCTCAGAAGATATAAATGAGATAAGAAAAGGACAGCATACTTCTAACAATGTCTTTCTGTTTACAGGTTGGTGTCACCATAGACAACAGCAGTTTTAATATTACTAGAATTGTAACTTTCACCCCATTTTTTATGATCTCAAATAGAAGCAAATACACTTTGGAAGTAGCTGAAGAAGGAAAGGAAAAGTGGATTCCTATTGTTTTACAACAGGTAAACTTATAAAGGAACCTATTAAAAAAATGAATTGGATTGAATACTCACTGATGGAGAATTAGCCATACAGTGTTCAATGAGTGTCTGAATATATTGTATTTATTCAGTGAATTACCTGTGTCCTGTTACTTTTTTTCAATGTTGATTTTGGACATACTGTAAAGCTGGTTTACATTGTAATTGGAATGTTTCTGTTACCTGCATTATAAGTAATAAGAGAAAAAGACCTATACTGTCAGGTTATTATCTCGCTCTGCACGGGAAGTTCTGTTCAGTTTTTGCAGTAGTGCCTGACAGAGTGGTTTGGTTGACGTCCTACATGTGATGCCACTTTTATGTAGCAAGAAAATTCCTCTTGTTGATCAGTTCAGATGCTCCAAACTGTTGTTCTGGGACTAGTCTCACTGTTGGTTTTTAATGCTTAATGCATACTTTCTAAAGATGTATCACTGGCCCCTAAGCCAAGTGGTGTGGAAATGGCTTTTGGGCTTTCATTTATCCCACAGAGGTCTGGAGTGTTTAAGACAGGGCATGCAGATTGGCTCTTTGCACTGGGGTGCAATTATGTTTTGTATGTGTGGTGAGTTTTGAGGCATCATGCCTTCCTTTTTGACGTGTAGGAAGAACAATGCATGTTTTGGGGTACTGTTGAAGGTCTATGAAAGCAGAAAGTGATCCATACTGCCTTCTGGGAAGAGTGATATCTCCCTCCTTTCCTTCCAATGTGTCTCGAAGAGAGTGTATCTAAAGCAGAGACAAAAGTTTAGCCTATCAGATGGTGCAGTTGGAGGTTTTCTTGCATTTCTGTAGTATTGTAGGTACTCCAAATGATTATCAAAAATGCTTTCAAACTAAAATACCAAAGTTAAAGGAGTATTTTAAATCAGATTCGTAATCAGATCTTTCTGTTACGTTTTTGATGCTTTCAACACATGGTCCTTGTGTATTTTGTATGTAATTATTATAGAAGAGAAATACTGTTTAAATATCATTATTTCAATTTATGATTTTGATACAACTTCACTTGCTTTCTGTAGTCATTTTTCCATTGTGATTTTTAAGTGTACACAGTGATGTTTAGATCTTGAAGGCTCTTAAGTCAGTTCAGCTTCCCGTAATATTTATAATTATTTTAAAATAAGATTCTTTGCTTTTACTCACAGATAGGCTGTTAGCCATAAGCCTACACATGTATTCTGTTTCTTCTGAACCAAACATTCATTTGACTGTACATAGTTTTTTGGGTTCCTTACATGCCTGATGACTCATATAGCTCATTGATAAAGCTGTGAAATGACGAAGGTTCTCATGTAGTGGGATGGGCCACTTCATATCTGATTTCTTATTTTTGAGAAAATATAGTCCGATTTTATTAGTTCTTGGGTTTGTGGTTTGTATTTGATGAAGAGCTGTTACCAGAATAAACTGAATTATTTTACAAGCACTTTTGAAATTTTGTGAAAAGAACTGTTCAGAGGTAATAGTTTTGAAAGTTTAAATACGTTGCTACATGTATAATCTGTGGTTTTTCTGTGTTGGTTGTTTTGTTAATATCCTTGCAAAATATCCTGATTTGTCCCACAAGCATCATTGTTTTTCAGGTGTTTCATAATTGTATTAATTGATTTTGGTCTCCTTTCAGTTATCAAGTATCAAAGGAGGACTTTGTAAATTTTAGGAGTGCTGATAAACTTTTGAAAGATTAGATGTGTTAATTTATCAAATGGAGTAGCAGAAGTCAACAGAGGAATCTGTATCCCCTCCTAAATGATTCCAGACTTCACTTCCAGAATTGCTTGCCTTTTCACATGGTGTAGATATTTTCCCTTTTGATAAACAGTCTAAAAACCTGTGTTAATGACAGTTAAGTCTGCCAGGGTTGTCCATTTGTAACCCAGTTGCTCAATCCAGTATATTTGTTATCTCTTCTAAAGTTAGGTAGAGTCTGGCCACTATTGCTCTATCTTGGAGCATCGAGGACAGATTTCCAGAAACCAAGTTACCATCTGATCTTCTTAAGATATGGAACTGCTATCCAGCTAGCCTAGATTTATTTATTTATTTATTTAATTCCTGTGAAATTTTTTGTGTGTTTCTCACATTATTCTATTACATTTGATTAATCTTCAAGAAAACCCAAGCTTGTTGAAATGTTAATTCGTATCTCAGTTTGCTACCTTTTCCCCTCCATTCTATTTTTGTCATTTTAAGCAGAGTATTTCCTTCTGCTATTACCTTTTATCCACTTTTCTTTCTTGGTGACAGGTAGACTGTCTTCTCGGGGTGGGGGTGGGGGTGGGGAAGCAATTATTACGTAGATCTCATTTGCTCGTGGACATATTCCATGTCTGGAAAACAGTCTATCAGAATCTTTAATTACTGTTTTTAGAAAAATTTGTTCTTCACAAGGCTGTAACAGAAGTCCTTGGATGGTGATTAGTATGAAATGACTTGCTAAGGATAGTCCTTTGAATTAGGTATAGTGCAAGTGAGTTGACCAGCATGAATCCTTAGAGAAAGAAAGAAAACATTGCCGAAGGCTTTACATGAGACTACTGTTAAATATAAACATCCTATTATGGAATGGAGGTTGTTGTAGAAATACAGTATCCAGTGAAGTGCTTAGCAGATAATGTGGTAAAACATTTGGAAACAGCATAATTTTGTGACACATTCTGTGGCTAAAGATCATTGCAAAAAAATATCGTTTAGTTCTCTCTGGTTGATTCTGTAACTTTTTATTTAGCCAATTCTTTTATTTTGGTTTTGATTATAAACTTTCGTTTACTGTTGACTGAATCTCCTTGAATTTTCTTTCGGCTCTCTAAATTTCTGTGTTGAGACTGACTTACTGTGTTTTATGCTAGTTTACAACAGAACTCTGAATTTCCTTTGTCTGTAGGATTACATGTTGGTGTAGATCATCTTCAATCTTGCTGTTTAACTATATTTTTTTCCTTTGTCTTCCTGCTTCCTGTGGTGTGAGAAACAATGGGAAAAGGAACTTAGTGGCATGGTAAGTTGGTGAACTAGTCTTTCACCACTGGAGATTGAATTCTAGGATTCAGATGCAGTTTAATATAAACATCACATTTCTTAAACTGTGTCTGAGAAAGATGCTCCTAAAGTGTTGGATGTTGCAGCTGAACAGTGTGTAATACAAGAAAAGTGGTCTACCTACTCAGAATTTGGCTCTTGCTGATTGAGAATTGTTGTTAATCATAGCTTGCTACTCTGGCAGAACCCTCATAATCAATAGGAAACTTTTCATTAGTTACAATTAAAACTTTTGTCTTCCCTGCCTCCTCATTTTATCCGCTTGTGTAAACTGTTTAAAAAGAGATTGTCTGAGGGATTTTTAAACCAAGAAGGGCTGTGACTTCAGTCAGATGTCACTAGCAGAATGTACTCTCTGATTTAGCTGCCTAATGCTTAGAATTATAGAATCATAGAATAGTTAGGGTTGGAAAGAACCTTAAGATCATCTAGTTCCAACCTCCCTGCCATGGGCAGGGACACCTCACACTAAACCATCTCACCCAAAGCTTTGTCCAGCCTGGCCTTGGACACTGCCAGGGATGGAGCATTCACAACTTCCCTGGGCAACCCATTCCAGTGTCTCACCCCCGTAACAAGAAAGAATTTCTTCCTTATATCCAGTCTAAACTTCCCCTGTTTAAGTTTGAGCCCGTTACCCCTTGTCCTGTCACTACAGTCCGTAATGGAGAGTTCCTCCCCAGCATCCCTATAGGCCCCCTTTAGATACTGGAAGGCTGCTATGAGGTCTCCATGCAGCCTTCTCTTCTCCAGGCTCAACAGCCCCAACTTTCTCAGCCTGTCTCATATGGGAGGTGCTCCAGCCCCCTGATCTTCCTCGTGGCCCTCCTCTGGACTTGTTCCAACACTTCCATGTCCTTTTTATGTTGAGGACACCAGAACTGCACACAATACTGCAAGTGAGGTCTTACAAGAGCAGAGTAGAGGGGCAGGATCACCTCCTTTGACCTGCTGGTCACGTTCCTTTTGATGCAGCCTGGGATACGGTTGGCTTTCTGGGCTGCAAGCGCACACTGAAGCTGGCTCATGTTCATTTTCTCATCAACCAACACCCCCAAGTCCTTCTCCACAGGGCTGCTCTGAATCGCTTCTCTGCCCAGCATCTGAATCCCAACTCTGCCTGGGATTCCTGCGACCCAGGTGTAGGACCTTGCACTTGTAATGGTTAAACTTCATGAGGTTGGCATCAGTGCACCTCTCAAGCATACCAAGTTCCCTCTGGATGGCATTTCTTTCCTCCAGCATTTCAACCGAACTACACAGCTTGGTGTCATCGGCAAACTTGCTGAGAGCGCACTCAATCCCATTGTCCATGTTGGCAACAAAGATGTTGAGCAGTATCTGTCCCAACACTGATCCCTGAGGGACACCACTCGTTACTGGTCTCCAGTTCGTCATTGAGCCATTGACTACAACTCTTTGCATGCAGCCATCCATGTTTCATACTTTATTTATATGTTTTATACCCATGTGTGTGTATATATGTGTGTATGGAGATATATATATACATATATATAGTATTTGAAAGAATAGCTGGTACACTGATGTCCTGCATACTCAAGTTATATGGTATATTATGCTGTTATCCCCTTTTGTCATTGATTGTCACTACAAGTTTGATACATAATTTATATTTATTTGGCAAGATGTTTTGTTGATTGCTGTTGCTGTTTGGTTTGGTTTTTGGAGCGTTTTTTGTTTGCCTTTTTGAACAAGTTTGTCTGTTTTGGTGGTGTAGCTATGCTCATCTTTATCCTCTGGTTTGCAAATACATTATCCATTTTAAATCTACTTCTTCACATGGATATGAAGTCTTACTGTTTTCATTTTTATCTCCTTAACTCTTTTGCATCTTCACTGTAGTCTGAATTAATTTTTACTTCCTTTCAATTTACTGTGTTCAGGTAAGTATTATTACCTTAGTGTTTTCAATAGTGTTTCTGATCCAACTCACTATACTTTTGGGTAGAATTTTAGTAGATAAACTTTGGGCTAAAGTGAATTTTGTTTAACATCTAGTTTATTTTCCCACTTACTTTAAAATACCTGTTTGGTTTTTTTTTAGTGCATTCCCTTTTGGCCTGAAAACGATGCCAACAAACTGCTTGTTAGAGTCGAAAATTCTAATGTCCTCCCAAAGAAGATAAATTTTGATAAGCAGGAAAACTGCCTGCTACTGCATTTGGACAACAAGGTAATGGTTGCTTTGAGAAATCAGATAAAACAACATAACTGCTTCATTTCTATTCTCAGAACTTTCTGTCTTCCCATACAATCAGCTATTGAAAAAAAATGCTGGGGAAAAGATTATGTATTTGCAGCTGTATTGTTGTCACCCTCATACTCACTTTCCGGAGTGTATACATATGGATACAAGTAGGCTAAGAAGTATTTCACATTAGTTCTAAAGTAACATGAAGTTACTTGTCAAAGAAACTGTAACTCAACTGAATTTACTTCTGTGTTGCATATGGTCTCATCTAGCAGTAATTCTAAAATATGTGAATGTTTTTAAAAGTAGAATGTTTTGGAATGAATGGTTGAAGATTCCTCTACTACCAGCCTAAATTTTGACAGTACAGAACTTATTTCTATTTAAATTACATTTGCTTTATTAGAAATGAATTCCATTGTTACTTACTTTATAATTTTTGTATCTGATAGCTTGGAGGAATTACAGTGGATGTTAACGTGACTGAACATTCTACGGTGATTACCTTTGCTAATTACCATGATGGTGCAGCTCCATTTCTGTTAATAAACCACACTAAAGAGGAAATCATTGAGTATGGACAAAGGTATGTAAGAATTTTAGAGTAGATGTCTGCAGAGAGCATTGTGAACTGTTATTTCATGTATTTTAAGTATGCCTATTTCTAAAGATGCCCTAAATTTATCAAAGCAGTAAAAAAATAAATCTGTTTTTCTAAATTGAAGAGAATGAATAGTTAACAGAGCAGTATTATTTAGTGCTAGATGTCTGTTTCTACAAGTAAAAAAGCTGTTTTGTGAACTAAGGAGCCTCTCTGTTCTCTTTTTATATGAATTTTTGGCCTTGTCCTTTACATTGATTTACATTCCTGATAGGGGCAACTACCTGGATTTTGGGCATCCCTAGTGTAAATTTAATAAGTAATTTATGTAATTTAAATAATTAAGTAATTTTTTAGTATATGTAACTTTTGTAATTAACTCTGAGGAATAGAATATTTTGGTTGGAAGGGGCCTATAGTGGTTATCTAGTCCAACTGCCTGACCAATTCAGGGCTGACCCAAAGTTATAGCATGTTGTTAAGGGCATTGTCCAAATGCCTCTGAAACCACTGACAGGTGTGGGCATTGACCACCTCTCTGTGGTGTATGAGGTTGGTCCACTCTTGGTAAAGAAGTGCTTCCTTATGTCCAGTCCTGGCACAGCTTCAAACCATTCCCACATGTGCTATCATTGGATCCCAGTGAGAAGAGATTAGCAGTTTGCTTTCCACTTCGCCTCCTGGGGTAGGCTTCTTTCAGAGAGATGTAGAAGCAGTTCTGACAGTTTTTAACTCTATGTGAGGGAGAATGGAGTTTAAAATCTGTCAGCAAACATCTCCTGCATCCATATACTAAACACTGCACTTTTTCCCTTCAGCAAATCATATAGGAGAAAAAATAATGAGTTTTCCTTTCAGCTTGTAAGCTCCACTGTCTTTTTTCTCTACTGTTTCCCTTGTTAATCACAAGTGGGGAAGAAAATAAGTAATTACAATCTACTGTGTATACTTTATTGATGAAGTATATATATGTATTTTGAAGTATAAATACTGGTTTTATTATTTATTACTGAGAATGATTTTGTGTGTGGTTTTTTATGCAGAATGTTTTAATTTTCATTATTTAAAAAAAAGCTGTTGAAATGCTAGAATATAGATATCACGGACACAGAAAAAGATTATTGACGTTTTAATTTTATGTTTAATTTTTAACTTTTGTTCTAGTTCCCTTAGTGAATTGGAAGACTGTCTTCAGCCAAATAAGGCAGTACTGTATACTTGGGTGGACCCAGCAGGATCTAGAAAATTGAAATGGAAATGTGGAAATAGAATTGAGGAAATCACCCCGAAAGAGGTACATTATCTAAATTGCCTTTTAATGCTAATTTAATATGTTTTTCATCAGTGTATGTATGAAATTCTATATACAATGAGTATGACAGTAACAACATTGTTTTCTGGACCTTGTGCCAGTATCGTCTTCAGTTCAAAAGTGTTTGTGTGTGAGACTGTTGTAAAACTTCCTAATTTAATTATTTCCCTGCACCTCTAAAAAAAAATATCACCTATTATCATGCTAAGACTTCTAGATTTGCTTGTGTAGTAGTAGAATGATGAATAGAGTTATAAAGAATTTTCTTCTCTTGTTCATAGGACAAAATGGAAACACTCAGCCTGGACTGTAGAAAAGTGGTCTATTTAGTGTCATTTTTTGAAGGTTTGCAGCGCATTGTCCTGATCACTGATAATGTGAATGTATTTAAATTGGCTTATGAAAGTGTAAAAGCAGAACTAGCAGAGCAAGAAATTGTTCTGTCTTTGCAAGATGTTGGAATTTCGTTAGTAAATAATTATACAAAGCAGGAGGTGTCATACATTGGAATTACAAGGTAACTTATTTTGTGTCTGTCTAAAATTTTTTAACTTCACAGAATTAAATTTTGAAATTTTGGATGTGATTGAAGAGGAAAAAGAGGTCTGGGTGAGGGTATTTAGAACTAAATAATCATGTTTTCTTGTTGTAAAGAGAAATATTTTCACTCTTTTATATTAATGTGTATGCTTTCTGTAACTGGATGTATGTGGTTTTGCTACACAGAATCGAAACTCTGGCAAAACTCCCAGTAGATTGAAAAGAAGTATTTCCTGTCCATGTATTTTGGGGAATCATAGTAGAGTTTTAAGAAATAAGGTCTGTGGGTAGTTTGTGTCAGTGGACTTTTAGGTCTTTATTAGAGAAACAAGTGCTGAATTCTGTGTTGAAAATTCTGATGCAGTAGCGGCTTGCAGCTCTTTTTAAGTTTGATTGAGAAACTATGGTGACTCCAAGGCTCTAATACTTTAGGTTTTTACTATAACATCTCAGAGGGAAGCAGAAAAGAAACTATGTAATGCTTGAGACATACTTCTATATATTCATAGCCATGAAGTTGCTAGAGTGAGGGTTTTTTTCCTCTTGATTCTTTGCGTCACACTTCAAAACAAGCAAAAATCTCCACATACATGTTTACTCATTCACATCTCTTATTTGCAACTAAAATCTCGATCCTTGCCCTCACCTGCGAAACTGAGCTCTGATAAATATCTAGACAGTTGAAACACTCCATTAAAAGTGGCAGCCAACTCCCTAGGTTCAAAGTAGTGTTGAGATTTCACTGAATCTGTTTTTGTAAGCAGTCATCCATAGTCAGTAGTCTAGCAGCACTTACTGTTTTCTTAAAACCTGAGTGGGTATCAAACTCCTGAAAGCTCTTTTTAAAGGCAAGAGATTATTCCCTGGTTTCAGTGAAGAAAACCCTGTATTTCAAAACGTTCCCATTTCTGACTGTGTTGTTACAGAAAGAACAGGTTTTGTTTGTATCAAACGATGCAGAAACAAGTTTCACATGGTAGTTCTGGCATCATATTGTGGGGTTGGGTGAAGAGGAAAATAAGGGAAAATTCCCAGCAATTTCAAGGTAGTACTCTATTTTGTAGCTGTTGTTTTGCCCTTTCGCTCATTTTTTTTTTTTTTTTTTTTTTTGGGGAATGGGTGGTGATTCTGCCATTGATGTATTGATGCAGACAGACATGTAGCTAAAAGCGATTGGATTAGGGAGCCGTGTCTGGACGTCTGTGTGTATGGGCTATAGAGTAACTTGTGGAAAGGGGAAACAGCCTGCACCTGTCTGATAGTGCTGGTTTGTGCCCTATTGTGTGCCTTTGGGTGAAATCAGACACGAGCTTCTTACAGCAGGAGTGGAATTAAGCAGAAAGAGTCTAGTGCCATCTAAGAATGGTTAATCTTTTTTATGATTTATTCATAATAGAATTAAGAGACAAAAAAACTGATTTTGGGGATACAGTTTAAAAAAAAAAAACCCAAAACCAAACAAAAAAGCCCACAAAAAAACAACAAACCCGCAAAGAATAAAAATAACCCAAAACACAAACCCATAGAATTGGTAGAGGATACATGTATACCAAAATCGCCATCTATTGATTTAGAGAGAAGAAGTGAAGGAGCTAGCCATCAAAAATAAGAGGCAGTTCAAGAGGCATTTCATCTCAACTTGTTCACAATTTCACAATTTTTACTATTCATTGTAGAAGAATAACGGCTGGCAGTGCTGTTGAAACTGAGCTTTCTGATTAAGTGTCCTTACATGCCCATTTTCATTAAAGCAGGGAGATATGCTATTAACTTTTGGGTTTTTGCATTGTATTGGAGAGACTGGCTTCCACTTAGTACCAAGAAGGCAGTGGGTGCCTTGAGTCACTTTTATCTACTACAGTAGTTCTTTATGATGTAGTTTCTCATTCTGAAGTTATAACCTATTAAAAGCTATGGTATGGTAGGTGAAACTTGTTTTGAAATAGCTAATCATTCTCTGTTGGTCCTTTGTTTTGTTTTCAAAGTTCTGATGTGGTTTGGGAAACAAAACCGAAGAAGAAGTCAAGATGGAGACCAATGAGTGTTAAGCAGACTGATAAATTAGAACAAGAATTCAAAGATTACAGTGAGCTAACTCCATCAGAAAATAAGATTATTGAGCTGGAATCAAATGTTTTGGTAATACTAATAGTTTTCTATTGTTTTTCATGTATACACAGAAAAAAGATAATGTGTCAGTTTTGCTATCTTTGAAGAAACTTCCAGTGAAAATTGAGATTTACCTAATCCATTTGAAAACCCTCTTTATCTCTGTGTAGAAAAAAAAATCTTTGGAAAAAAACTCCAGAAATGTTGGAAAGCTCATCATAGACTTTGTTGTTAGCATCTGTCTTTGAAGTTGAAGTGTAACATTTTTGCAGAGACTAAATATCCTTAAAGCTGTAGTAAAGAAGCTTTGCATTTGGTTCGTTATACTGGAAAGGCGGGCAGAATGCTAGTCTTAAGTCTGTTTGGTTTAGTGCAAAATCTTTTCAAGTGCGTTATTGTGGGATAAATCAACTGTGTCATTCAACTACATAAATATTAAAAGATCCCAGAAAATATTCTGTAATGTAGAAGCACGTTATGCTCCAAATGCTGCTGTCCTTATCTCTAGATAAGTTATAGAAACCTCCAACAGAATTCCAATGAGTAAATGGTAAATGAGCCATTTTTTATCTGTTGTTGACCATTATGTTATATTACTCTGCCTTTTCTCTAGAAAGCCATATATTAAACTGCAGTCCCCCAAATAATGCAGTATTTTGTAGTTTTATTTCTATTGAAATTTATGGCAAAATTAGATCATTGTAAATAAAGTTATGACATCGAACTTAAAAGCTGCAAAACTTTTTCTGCTATCTTTACAATGTTAATGAAATGAACAGTGCACACTTTACAGTATATTTTAAAAAGCAGTCTTTTGAAACACATAGCATTCTAAATTTTCTTCAATAATACAATAGGTGTGTTTAACTCCTAATGGAATGAATATGAAAATTCAACAACCACATGAGATTCCTATTAGAAGGAATTATCTGCCAGCTTTAAAAGTAGAATACAGCTCATCTGCACATCAGAAATCTGTCAGAATTCAGATCTACAGGATACAGGTGAGTTTTGTAGAAAAAAAAAAAGTGTCTTTTTTATTAAGAAAAAGCAACTTCCATGGAAACTTGGATTTGGCTTTAGAGTTGTTTGGATTTTTTTATGTTTTGGATTTAATTGTATTCATCGGCTTTTGCATCACTGCTTCTAAATCTTTGTAAATATTACTTACATGGTTTTGGGGAAAAAAAAATAGAGACAGCTGTGGCTGTTTAGGAAAAACATTTACCATTCATCTTCCATGCTTTTTCTTACGGCTTTTCTTTATAACCAGCAAAAAATAGAATCATAGAATCATAGGTATGATAGGTATGGTTTCTTGTTCTGCATATGTTAAGTTGTTAAAACCAAATCCTTCACAAAAATTCTGTGGAGCATTTATTATTACCACTGACTTATAGAGGCATTTCTAGATTGTTGGGATTGGATGATTCAATTTTTAAGAGATCTTTTGAACCACAACAGCAGCTTTTTTTGGTTTTCCTGGTTTTAAGTTGGTGGAATACTACAGGTAATGTTCGTAATTCTTGATTTTGAAATATTTCACTATTGAAAAGCTAACATGCTGCGACTTGTGCTGTCCTTACCCCCTATTAGATACAAAACCAGATTCCTGGAGCCATATTTCCCTTTGTGTTCTATCCTATTAAACCTCCAAAGTCCATCACCTTGGATTCAGGTTTGTTTCGAGTTTAACATAATCCATACTTATGAAATGACAAGATAACTTGCTTGTACTGAATTTGTCAGTTTTATCAGATGAAGTTTTTAAAAGCTTACTCACTACAGATAACAGATACTAACGTTAGAGATAGAGAAGCAGCTTGCTTTACAAAGAAGAGATACAGAAAACAGTCAGAAGAAAACAAATTTTTTTCTGTCCTTCTATATCATACCTTTTAAGCACATATTCTTGACACACTAATTCAGTTCTCTTGGAGAGTGTAATTTGAAAGTTTATCAACTTTAAAAGGGACTCTTACTGGTTGCATTCAGACCACAACTGAAACTTAATGCTGACTAATATGGAAGAGTTGCCTGTTGAAAACAAGTGATCAAATTTTTGCTTATCCTAATGGTAGTGAATCTGTTGCACCATTTCTGTATAACATGCCTTTGGAGTTCTGGGGCAATGAAGATTCACTTTTCATCTATAGTAATCTGATTTTCCCTACTGCCCTAAATAAATTGTTTACCTTAATTATGTTGGGGTTTGGGTATTTTGAGGTGTTTTTTTTTTTTGCTTGCATGCAGTAGACAACCTAGTAACCTATCTGAAATAATCTTAACTAATAAGAAATGTGTGCTGGTCTAAGCTGAGAATTGCTATGTGAAGCATCATTTATAAGCTCTGTACATGGCAAATTATATTTTGCCTATTTTGTATATAGCTTTAAGACTTCTCCATTGCTTGGAGCATAAAGCTTAATGTCAGTGTACTATGTGATCAGATACAATTTTTCATTAACTTGTTAAGTGCAAGGTCACTTGGAAAACCAGAGTAATGTCAAAAGGGATTATGAATTGCAACAGAATACTGCTATGAATTCTCTACAGAAGATAATAAACTGTTAGGTGTTTGTTCTAAATACAGTCAATTTCAAATTACAGTGCATAAATTTGCAGATTATTTATTTATTTTTAGTTCTTGTATCAGGCATTGCAAACTCTTATTCCATGACTAGGGAAAGGATATAAATCTAAGATCAATATTAGTTTTTAAATGCAAAATGGCACCTTTTCATAGATCAGTGAAATGCAGTTTTGATGTTTCATTTTATTCTTGTCTTCCTGTTTCTTTCTATTCCTGCTCTTTTCCTGTATTTGTTTGCCAATCATATCCATTATTATGATTCTACATTACAGGATTGAGAAAATCCTGAACATGTATGACATTTTCGTATTTTAAAAAAAATGAAGGTATTCTATCATATAAAAATCTATGCTGATCTCCTCTTGTTTTACAACTTTATAGCACCAAAACCATTTACTGATGTCAGTATTGTCATGAGAACTGCAGGACATTCAGAAATATCTCATATTAAGTAAGTGTTTTGACATGTTCCATCTTTTCTGCTATTGATTGTGTTTAATGAAGCTTTAAAATTAAAATTGTTACGAGGGTGAATGCAATGCTCGATACTTTTACACCAACTCTTTCTCAGAAAGATCAGAGCACTTAGAGATAAAAGTCAGCCCCCTCTATTATACACATAATTGCAGAGTAAAGCAAGGATTTTAAAGTGTCTTTTTAATGCAGATTTTTAGTCTTAATTTGATAAAAACAGTGTTATATACAGTTTTAAATGCTGCTACTTGACTAAAATAGTTCTGGTTATAGGAAATGCATTTATCTTACACCACTATGGGGAGCCTTCTTTCCACCATCAATGGTGAATCTCTCAAAAAAACCCCAACAACAAAACCAAACCAAACAAAAAAAAATCCACCCTAATAAACCAAAAAAACCTGAATTCAATATATGTGTCCTGAATACTTTAGATTAAGTTTTGTATGTTACACATTTTTGCAAAAGACCTTAACTAGGTTTTATTTCATGTGTAGGTATTTTAAGGTCCTGATTCAAGAGATGGATCTCAGATTAGACCTTGGCTTCCTATATGCCCTGGTTGAATTCTTTACACGCACTGATGTGCTGAGTGACCAACAGGTAGAAACATTTTGTTGTTTAAAGATTTCTAAAGTTTGTAATTATGAAACTTGTCTTTTAAAAAATTAAAAAAACCCTTAGTCTTCTGTGTTTATAATACTGATTATTTGCTGTATCTGGGGCCAGTAGGCACCTGGGAGTTTTTTAAGAGTTACAGTTGGCAGAGGCAAACAGCAAATTCTTTCTTGTATCTTCATTTTACATCATAGGCAAAGAAGGCTTCAGAACCTTCTGAAAAAAAAAATGAAACTAGTGCTGTAGATTACTTGGTCTTACTAATGCCTGAAGGAAGGATCAGGTAATTAAGATGGGAAAGAAGTGAAAATAATGCTTTTTTCCTTAATGTAGCTTATTCAAAAAAGTAAAAATTAAATCTTGGAAAATTCTGGCCAGGAAACTGAAACGTATCTGCCCATGAGACCAAGAGAATGTAAAAGTAATTGAGAGAGAGGTTGATCAGAAAATGAAAAGTGTCTGTGGCAGTTTTATGCAAAATTATTAACTTGGAAGATGAAATAGTTGACATGTTGATACTGAGAGGAAAGGGCAGTGGGAGTTTATTATTGTATAGGGATAATGGGAGGAGTTTGTGCATAGCAACAGTAGACATAAACTAAATAGAGTAATACAAATTGCAAGGTAGTCTGCTTGGGAAATAATAATAAAAACTCCAGGTACAACCATAAAGCAACAGAGGAGCCAGAGTTTCTTGGATTCACTAAAGAAAACCAAAAAGTCGATAAGCTGAATAGATGTAATGCAGTTATGATGTATATTGGGCTTGGTGTTCCTGTTAAGAGTGCTGAAATTTGAATGCCAGTACGCAACCAACATAATAAGTTATTTAGCAGAAAGTGTATTGGTTTTGTCTGTATCTCAGATATGGTGCGATTGAAAAATGACCCAGAAATATTTGCATAAAAGATCTGCCTGGATGAGTAGAACAGAAAAGGTCCTTTCTGATGGGGTGTTAAAAGCTAGTTTTAGTATGTCAGATGAAGGGTATGCTGGAAGCGTAACTTTGCTTGTATTTCCCCATATCTACACATTGGAGATTAAGAAAGTATTACTGCTCAGGGTTTATACTAAAATAAGGAGGAAACATTAAAAATTTGCTCCAGAAAATGAGAAGGAAGTGTGGAACAAGTGTGGAAATACGTAATCTAAACTGGTAGTTTCCAGCAGCGTTCTAGGACATTCAGTCTGTTAAATTTGCTTTACACCAGGTGTACCAGTGAATTCTAGATCATTGCGGTAGTTTGAAGAATTTACCTGAATTTTCAATGTATGGTTTTGTAGTGGAAAAGATACTTTTTTTTTTTTTTTATCCCCTCCCAGTGGAATGATAAGTTAAGCATTGTTAGCTGAACCACTGAATCCCGAAATTAGTGGAGGCCCTCCTCTGCACTTTGTTTTTAATGGATTTGCAAGGCATGGTTTTAGGATTTCATCCCTACTTAATATTTAGTGCTCTGTTTTGCTTGTTTAAGTAGAAAGGTGGTACCTGGATTTACTGTTCCGATAGGACCTGTCACATTACTTCAGATACAACTTCTTTGACTAGTTAAGTCTTTTCTGACTATAACTTCAGAATTGTTGTTATTTTAAAGTTGGTTTTTGGTTTTGTTTTTGTACATGATCAGTTCTTCAAAAGCTGTTCTAAAGGAGCGAGCTCTGTCTTTCGAAGGAAAGAAAAGAAAAGGGGCTACGTGGTGGTCTTCTGTGTCTGTAATAGTCTAATTTCTATATAATAGAAAGCAGTCTTTAGTCTATTTTTTTGTATTTAAAAACCTACACATTATGTGTTTAGAAGGGTATATATGTATGTCCTTTGCTTGACCCAGATAAAAAACAGACTTTACTAGAAAATATTTGGTATTTGAACTTTCATAAAAATATTTTTTTAACTTTTTTTTTTACTATTAAATACATGTATCTTGTCCCTTTATACGTATGTTTCCTCCTGTTTGTATAAAAAAAGTCCTCTAAAATGCTAGCTCCTTAAGTAAAAAAAATAAGATACGAGAGTATAAGTAGTACTGGTCAGTGAGTAGCATCTCAGTGACAGATACATATTTGTCATGGTAGTTTTATATAATCCAAATTTTAAATTAATGTTTTTTGAAAATGCATTCACAGCTAGAACTTTTCAGAAAGGATGTTGAATCTCTTCAAGAAGAACTGATGAGTGTATCATCAATGGATACGTCACAAATCAGCTTGTATGAATACTTTCATATCTCTCCAATTAAGGTATAACTTTTCACTGTACAGACTGTGTTTTCGCTCTTAACTAAAGCTTTAATTAAAGAAAACCGTATCCCGGGCTGCATCAAAAGGAGCATGACCAGCAGGTCCAAGGATATGATCCTGTCCCTCTACTCTGCTCTCGTGAGACCTCACTTGCAGTATTGTGTGCAGTTGTGGTGTCCTTAACATAAAAAGGACATGGAAGTGTTGGAACAAGTCCAGAGGAGGGCCACGAGGATGATCAGGGGACTGGAGCACTTCCTGTATGAAGATAGGCTGAGAAAGTTGGCTCTGTTCATCCTGGAGAAGAGAAGGCTGCGTGGAAACCTCATAGCAGCCTTCCAGTATCTGAAGGGGGCCTATAAGGATGCCTGGGAGGGACTCTTCATTAGGGACTGTAGTGATAGGACAAGGGGTAACGGGTTAAAACGGGAAGTTTAGACTGGATATAAGAGGAAGTTCTTTACTGTAAGGGTGGTGAGGCACTGGAATGGGTTGCCTAAGGAAGTTGTGAATGCTCCATCCCTGTCGGTGTTCAAGACCAGGTTGGACAGAGCCTTGGGTGTCATGGTTTAGTGTGAGGTGTCCCTCACATGGCAGGGTGATTGGAACTAGATGATCTTAAGGTCCTTTACAGCCCTAGCTATTCTGTGATTCTGTGATTTTTTTTTTTTTTTTGTCTCATGCAGGATAGTAGGCACTGGAAATGAAGAAACATTAGAGGGTGAACTATTTGAGCTTTTTAGGGTCCCTTCCAACCCAAACTATTCTATGGTTGATGATCAAAAATAAAACAAAACTGTTCTGGAGTAGCCCATCTATTGCTACCGTTTACTTATATGGTTAATAGTATTTATTAAATATTTACATGAGTAGTTCATTACTTCATTTCTATCCACAACTTTCTTCATATACAGTAATTCTTTTTATTATTTAAAATGATAGTTGCAAATTTATATTTATATTTGCAAAATGCTATAGTTTGTCTGGGCAGTGTGTTTTGGATTGGGTTATGAGGCAAATTCTAAAAGCTATATACAGCCAGAGTAACTGTGCAATGACTTTTTCTGATTTATTGTTACTGGAAAAGCAGTTTTGGGTAAAGTCTACTTTTGGATATTTCTCCATTCCTGTAAACACTCAGTCCAGCTGTTGATTAGTATGTGCATACTTACAGGGAAACCAGAGTCTTTTTGCCCAAATCTAGCTCTCATGCATTTTTTAGCTTACTTGTCCTCATTATTTTTTTTTATTCTTGTTAAAACTGTGATGGTACATTGTAGGCTTTATAGCACTTCTTAATAGAAGAATCTTCCTTCCATCCCATGGGAATGGGATCAAAGAATGATTTGGCTTTCACCTTTTTACAGTATTTATTGAGATGTTAGAATTGCTCTAGTAGTGGAACAGGAAAATGCTTGGGTAGCTTTACATAAATGGCTTAGCCTAATGCATTCCAAGTGTACTTAGTAGCTGTTTCATTGTATCTTCATTTAGGTGTTCACAGCTATGTCTCCAGTTGTTTTACTACAAAAACTGCTCAGAACTTGAGCAAAAGCAAAATGCCCTTTACGTCTTAAGATAACAAAGTGAACACTTTGTATCAAAGAAGATAAGCTTTTATCTTTGAATGTATTCTGTCACATTTAACAAAAAAGATGACAGGGAGGACACAGAATGGAATTAGTAGGCTTCAGGTTCTAATAAAATATTAGTCTTTAAAGGTTATAAAGTCAATATAGAGCTGTGAATTAAGTGCCAGTGATTCCGCAATATGAGCTATGTATCTTCAAGATGAGCTACAGTTAAGCTCTGTTATACTGTTAATGAATGACACATAGTGTTGTCTTCAGAGAAATGGAAACAGGTGTAACTTCTTTTCATCTGATTTTGAAAACTGCTGAATATGCTTGTGCACTATAGAGCCCTTTGAGAATTTTTTCTGAGTATTATTCTCTTTTGAGATTGTCCTCTTAATTCCTGTGAAACAAATACTTCAGTTACTTCAGGTCTGCACAGGTGGGTTTTTCTTGTATACATATCCCACTTGTATAGGTACCTCACAAGTAAAACTTATGTTAATATTGAATTCTTTTTAGGCTTTTGTTTCTCTTTCTTTCTTGGACACCATGCTACGTTATCGTTTTCAGCCTGCTTTGAATTTAGTTATTACTTATGAAAACAAAATATTTTGGAAACAAGCTAATATAACCTAAATTATAGCTGAAAGACTCTGGAGACCTTGTCTGAAAACATGAGTAAGCAATTTCAACTTGTTTTCTTAAAGGTAGTTCCAGTTATTCAGTTTGACTTTAAATATCAGTGGGGTTTTTTTTGTTTTGTTTTTTATTGCCCTACATGGTGTATTTCTGTTCTCTATTACAAAGTCAGTCTGGTTTCAGTTAACATTGAGATAAAATATTCCTATCTTTAAATTGCCTAAGAGATTATAAAGGTATAAATACAATACTTCTAATAACTAACCATATTATTTCCCAATCTCATTTTTATCCTTTAGTTACACTTAAGCTTTTCACTCAGTACGGGTGGCGAAGACAGTAACAAAGAAGAAAGAAAGAAAGAATTGATACCACTTCAGTCCTTGAATCTCCTGCTGAAGAGTATAGGGGCCACCCTCACAGATGTGCAAGATGTTGTCTTCAAGTAGGTTAAAAATATTATTATAAAGATTACTTCCAAAGACTAAATCAATATTACGTATGTTAGATTTTATTTTGCTCTGCTTAATAAGGACTTTTTGGTTTTGTTTTTTTTTTTTTTAGGTTGGCATTCTTTGAACTCAGCTATCACTTCTGTACTACACAACAGCTCCAATCAGCAGTTGTAAGGCATTATTCGAAACAGGTTAGCACAAGTAAATTTCAGTATGTCAGCATATTTGTTTTGAAAGTGCTGCTGTATGCTTTGGTTCTATGAAAATAAAATTACTTTCAGCCTTAAATGTTTGTCCAAAGGTTAAATGCACAAACACATAGAAAACAATCGCTCATGCATGAGTTGAATTCTATTACATTTACTTTGAGGGCAAGTACTTTTTCTGAATTATGACTAGGGGAAGAGTGGCATGGCTAACAAAACAACTTGGTGAAAAGGGAAGTGGAAGCAAACATAGTGCCACTCTGACAGAGTAGAATTGGCACCAAAACATTGATGCTTTTTCTTGGACATTAGTAGTCTATGAATTCTGATCCCTCTTTGGCCCTTGCATACTTTTCAGGTCCTGTCATCCAGTGGAGGCAATCTAGCAGAGAGATGCTTTTGTATAATGGAATTAGTCCTCTTCTATCCATCCATCAGTAATTATAAGGGATTCTTTGGATGTACTAGTTAGGTGCTCTGTCCATCTGTAAAGGAGAAAAAGACCTACAAAGGGCTTTAACTAGTGACCAAATTATCTGTTGTTCTCTGGCCCTTTCTTTTAGTGGACGGAATATTTGAAATCTTGAATTGCACTTCATATAGATACAGATGTGATGTTTTGCAGTGACAATCAAAATTTTCTCAGCATATCCAATCAGACCAAGCTTTGTCCGGTAGCATGAGAAAAGTCTAGGTAATGTGTTTGCTTTGTAAAATCTTGAGAACATTAATGTCAGTTATATGCTTGTGAGAAGTAATGTTTATTTGGCTGACTTAATATGATTTACTCACTGGAAGATACTTTCCAATGCAACTACTTTTTCCAAGTAAATTTTAGGGTTTCATAGTGTTTCGCTTTTCAAAAATCTCAGTATACATAGTTTGTCCTTGGTTTAATGTAATTTCTGAAATATTTTTATTGATCACCATTTTTATTACAGGCTATTAAACAGATGTATGTTCTTATTCTTGGCCTTGATGTCTTGGGTAATCCATTTGGATTCATAAGAGGCTTGTCTGAAGGAGTAGAAGCATTCTTCTATGAACCTTACCAGGTAAAAATCTCCTGCCTTATGAAATGTAAGACAAGGAAATAGATACGAAATAGATTGAAAATGTGGATATATTAATGCCTTTTCTGTTTTTAAGTTTAGATTAGAATTGATAACTTAAAGTGCCAGGAAAAGTTACTGGAATGCTCAAGTGAGATAAAAACAAGACAGTAGCCCATTTAACTTAATTCACAAAAGACTTATTTTAAAATAAATCTGCTCTTTTCAATTTGCCTTAAAATAAGTGGACATCAGGGAATGAATTAGTGTTCTAAAAAGTCTTTCTTTTTCTCACAGGTGCTCTTGTGGTCACTTTGACATTTTATCACTTTGTCTCATGTTTGTGCTGTCTTTGTTAGATATAATTACAATGAGAACATAATACGCATTACACACTTTCCAATATCATTTGAATCTTAACATAAATGCATCCTTTTTTCTCCTAGGGAGCCATCCAGGGTCCTGAAGAATTTGTAGAAGGAATGGCGCTAGGATTCAAAGCACTTGTAGGGGGAGCTGTTGGTAAGCTTCAGCATTATCATGGTAGTATACTTAATAGTAAGCAATCTAGGTGAGCTCTTGTAAATTGTATTGGCATTTTAATTTTTTTTTTGTTTTCCAATAGGTGGATTAGCTGGTGCTGCATCAAGAATCACTGGTGCTATGGCAAAAGGAGTAGCTGCGATAACTATGGATGAGGATTACCAGCAGAAAAGGAGAGAAGCCATGAATAAACAGCCCACTGGTCTGAGAGAGGGTATCACTCGTGGAGGAAAAGGATTAGTTTCTGTAAGAAGAAAAAGTTAAAAGATTAATGAATTTTATTCGGGCAAGAGTAACAAATACAGAGGCTGATATAGTTACCCTTTATTTTAATTCTTTTTTTGCAAATATATGACCACAATTAAGTGATAAATAAAAAGATGTGAGGACAGAAGAGAAGGTAAGAACTGTGAAGCAGCTGCTGCTCATTCTGTTAACTTGTAGTGAATTTTAGAATACGTCAAAAAATGTATTTTGAGGCTACTCAGTGAAGAAAAATGAAAACTATCATCTGAAAGCATATTTATAATGTCTTTCATTTCTCTTGGCAGGGTTTTGTCAGTGGCATAACAGGAATAGTTACGAAACCCATAAGAGGTAAGTTTAGGTCTTCTGATACATTATCTGTTCATGTTGTGGTAAATTCTTGACACTTGATGGGACATAAATCTTAAGTTATAAAACTCTGTCAAGGTTTACTTTTTTGTATTGACTTCTAGTTAAAATGTTGTTTACATGAAATTTGTGTGGAGGAGACTGTGATTGTATATTAAGTAATTAAATGGTAATTAAGTTTGCTAAGATTGTAATAAAACTTCAGTGCTTTATAATTATTTTCTGCATTTAATTGTTTTAGGAGCTCAGAAAGAAGGAGCAGCTGGTTTTTTCAAAGGTGTTGGAAAAGGCTTAGTGGGAGCAGTAGCTAGGCCTACTGGAGGAATCATAGACATGGCAAGCAGCACATTTCAGGGTATTAAGAAGTAAGTAAAATAAATGTGAAGAATGACATACAGCATGAAACAGACAATAGTCGTTGCAGCAGTGCATTATGTCTTTTTATCACTTTTGTGTCAGTGTTCCTGGATCTTTCAACTTCGTCATTAATAAAGATGAGTTAGGAAAAAACCTTAGCATATTCTTATTGATACAATAAATAGGTGGCTCTTTAAAAACACACAGTTGATAGCATTTAAAAAACACAGTATCAAATCTCAGGCATTTCTCTCATTACCAAAGAAACTAGTTTAAAATCTTCAACAATCAGACTTTCTTCAATTTCTGATTTTTCCTTTGCATCCCAAATACAGGGAGAAAAGGGTTTCCCAGTTCAAAAATTACATTTTATATTATTACTACTATATAAGATGAGTTCCAATACTATTTCGTCATGCCAGGATCTGTCCTGATTGTTCAGACTGAGAACTGTTAGGACTGCATATTGAGTACTGTGATAGTCTCACTTTCATGAACCTGTTTCTGTACATTATTTCACACTGTAATGTTTAAGTAGTAGGAGAAAGTGTTTTGAGGGGGCATTTAGTAGCTTTGTCTGGATACAGCTGTTTAATAGCCCTTAGTAAGTCAGACCACTTCTGCTGTAGTAAGGTTGCTGGTCTCTTTGCTTTTCACTCTAAGTTCTTTAGCAGAGAGATGCAAGAAAAATATCAAAGCAGAAGTCTGTATGACACAGAAGTCTTTAATGTTGAAGTTTCAAAGTGCAATACTTAGACACTAATTGTGTCCTACCCCATGCCGCTGAATTTTCTAATAGTCATTCTCTGAAATAGATTTCTGAGTAAAGTCTTTGGAATATCTACTCAAATGTCTACTTTTATGCAAAAGTGCATACACAGACAGCACAGCTGTTTTGCTAGTACTTGAATTTAATTTGTATTTAAAAATAATTTAGAGCCTTTGCTAAATATTGTAGCTGATTAGAGATGACAGCACATACCTTAAATCTGTGACTTTGTTGTCAGAGTTACAGATTCATCAGAAGATGTGATAAGCCTGCGCCCGCCTCGCTTCTTTGGTGAAGATGGAGTTATTAGACCTTATAGATTAAGAGATGGAACCGGAAGTCAAATGTTACAGGTGAAGGAAATGAAAGATAATTTGACGTACCTTTAAGCTCATCATATATTGAAATAAATATTTTGCCGTATTTCTCATTTCTTAAATTCGCTGCCACCTCTTACTTAGTGACTCAGTAGTCAAGAAGTTTCATTTAATTTCTTAGCTCATGACCACTTTGGTGGTTTAGTTTCTGTGATACAGCTTCTGAGGAAGACACTGTAATTTATAGCATTTTATACACTTTATTTTATACACTAGTGTATAGTGTATCTGTAGAGATTTGTGCAAGATAGAAAACCTTTTGAAAGAAGAAAAACATTTGTCTTTTTATCTTTGATAAACTGTGATGCTAAAGATACTTTTTTCAGTGAATTTATAATACACACCTTAAGCAGTGACTTTTTAATATCAATTTTATGTAAAGCAGATTTTTAAACTCTTGAAATAGGTATATCTATATTGTACTACTGTCATCGAAAGAACATAAACATTTTTCTAGTGGAATCTACTTGCATGAAGATGCTGAGCAGGATAATTTAGCTGCCATTTAACAAATTTGATTCAGATACAAAAGTAAAAATAATCTGTTATGCAGCTTAAAAAGTTTCTATTTTATTCTCTGTTTGAAGTAAAACTGCATTTTAGAAATATTCAAACATAAGATATAAAGTAGTAATTAGTGATTGCATGAATGTAAACAGAATTTTTTGAATAAACTTTGAAGAATTCAGTGTGCCAAGAAAGAGTTGGAGAAGTCATATAGAAATAACGGTTTTGGAGAAGTAAATAAGAGGAATTTTGGACTATTTTGAGAATTGCCATCGCTGTTTGTTTCATGTCAAGTTCCAGTGAGGTTGACTGTTTCTTCTGCATTTTATCAGTGTGTCTTTTGTTTTCTGGTAGAAGAGGATAGTCCTTTTTCAGGCATCTCAGCAATGTTTGCCATACCATTCACTGGTGATCTAGTTCAGCAGAGTGTGAAAGCTCTTTTGAGAATAAGTAGTATGTACACCTCTGCTTTTCTTCTAATGAGGTAGCTTTAGTCCATGCTCTCCAATTTAAAGCTAGTGTTATAAAGCAGTATTACCGTAACTAAAGCATAATTAAAAGCTACGACTGGCAACTCACGCCAGTGGTAACACGATGAATGGCATAACCTTTCTCCTCTTTCTTTCAAGAAAATGAATTCCAAAACATCCCCTTCTCTGTCCTAAAGTGTACAACTAAACCAAACACTAGCAAGCCAACAGAGTGAGCTCTAATGTGCCGACTTCTCTAACGACTTTGCATTGCTTTTGCTTCTTAAATTTGTACATGTTCACGTTTTGGTTTTTGTTTTGTTTTTCTGAGAAACCTTTTAAAAATTCTGCAATGTAATATATAATTTTAGTTTTTCTGCTGTTTGGTTGGGTACAGTACCACCACCTTCAAAATCCAACTTTCAAAAGCATGCCTGTCAAATTTTTGATGACAGCCACCATTTTGAAAGTAGTTAAAGTTGAAAAATTGTATGTTTCATATTAGTTTTCACTACTAACGATGATTCTAAGGCAGAACTACTCTTCAAGAAATGTTATGAAAGCTCTAAACAGTGCTATAATTCTCCCTGTAGACAGTCAAATCAAAAAATACTGAATTGCTTTTTTTTTTTCCTGTCAGACATTGATTTCTGATATAGTATGTTTGATTCCTTAATCTTTCTCTACACTGAAGTGTACTAATGGTTTTCTTTGTAATGTTTCTGTTCACTGATAATTCTTTTGCATGAGTCTTAGTGTATTACATGTTCCCAGTCTGAGGCAATTGGAATAGTATGATGTTTCCTTACAGGGGAAAAAAAGATTATTCTCCCTTTTTGTATTACTTCCATGTATACAGATCTGGTGACCTGTCCCACTGCAGTCACTGTCTTGTAGTATTTTCAACAATTACTGGGTTAGATTGGAATAAAATTTCTTCTGGTGGCTTAGAGGTTGTATATGTTAATTAAAGGAAGTAGGATATAGGAGATTCCGTGTGCTCATACTGTGTCCTAAACTAGGATGTCATTTCAGAATTTCTTTGTTTTCTGGGGATTTATTTTGCTTTAATTAACAAACTTGCCAGACAAACTAATACTCCTAAACTAACGCTTCTGCTTTCTTCTTCCTTTACCATGCTTTCAGAAAAGACAGGCCTACAGGGAATGGACTAAGACTCACAGTAGTAGTGATGATGATGATGACAGTTAGGATAATATGGACTGTAATAGATATACATTGCTTTTGTCACTTTTCACCTTAAAGTATTAAATGTTGCTGCTATAATTCCACTGAGAAGATGGGGTTGTCTGATACTAAATTCTTATTTTTAAAACTGTGCAAAAAATACGGGTAAATAAACTGTATGATGATAAGTGCTAAGCAAAGGAGCAAAGAATATAATAAAAATAGTCTTACATATAAAACTGGACATGAGGTGAAAGTAGTATTGAATAATAGGAAAAAATAGTAATACCGTGACTTAAAGTTTATTTCCAGATATGTTTTTATCAAGTGTATTTAATGTTTTTGCATTTATGTGACAGGTTTTGATTATAATTTGCTAGGTGGAATGCTTTTAAATGCTTAGTAAAACTTTACTGGGTTGTACAGTCATGACTGGTGTTAAAATGCTGTTTGACTGTTTGCTTTATTTCATATTTCTAAAGTATTTTGTCTGCTTTTCTTTTTAACAATAAACATGTCTCAAGTATATCTAAAATGGATTCATCTGTTCTGTTCCACATTGTTTCTCATGTTTCCTGGAACTAGATTATGTGAAAACACTAAATGGCCTATAGAAGTCTTTAAAACATAAAATACGTGTATTTTGAAAGGAGCATTTAACATAAAATTTTAATTTTTCATGTATCCTTTGGAATTCTTAGATGTGGAAAATAATGTTTTAATTTTTTTTTGCTTGAGACCATATATTATTTGGTTCTTAAATAAATATTTTCATTTTCATAGCAACAAAGAAAGCAAAAAATTCACCCCAAAAATAAACCCTATGTAAAATCACAGACAGCTGGAGAAAATAGCATACTTTTACAAGGCTCTGTGTAGTGAAATGTACGTAACATGCAAAAATATTTAGTTTTTTATTTACCTTGACATATGGTGTAAAAATAACAACATTGAAGCACTACAGTTCTGTATTATAAATTGTTCTGTATGGCTTTTCAAGGTATTTCTTTTAAAAATGTTTTATTCTGTATTCACTGGAATGCTTGCACAGATTTTGCTTTTTTGTTGTGATTTTTTTTGTTTTTTTTTTTGTGGGTTTTTGGTTTGTTTCTTTTGTGTGGTTTGTTGCTAAATTCACAGTTTTGGGTTACATTTTACATATCTCTTGCAATAGACATTTAGGTACCAGTAAGTGCTCTAGTAAGAATTAATTCTTCTGCCAGCAGCTGAAGGAGTAGAATTGCTCTAGAACAACAATAAGGGCTTCTGAAATGTTTGCATATTTACCAAAGGCGATATCATGTCCTTCATTGTCTGTTTTCTTCCAGTTATAAAAATTCTGAGAGAAGAGCCATTAGAATCCGTAAGACTGCTTATTCTGGCCTTATGTGTTCAAAAGCTGGTGTACAGTCTGATCTTTTTGGCAATGAGCCAAGTAAATATATATATGTGCTTATAATCTCCAAGATAATAGGGGACAATATCAACTTGAGAGCTTGTTTTAGCTGAAACTACTGGTCCTTAACATTGCTACAGGTCATGTATTGATACTTATTTTGTAATGTCATCTCAAAAGGATGTCTTTCCAAAGTAGGTGAAAGACTGTTGTGGTTTGTTAGGATTTAGAGTATTTTAGATACAAATGGATCTTTCCTTCTTTCTTTCTTTTTTTTTTTTAAAGGATGTAGAATTTTTTTTGGTCTTGCATACTGAAAAAAGACAAATCATGTTTAAAAGTTGAGGAAATTAGACAAGTTACTGCTGCATTTTATTAACTTTACTGGATTTTGGCAATTTGAATGTTACCTGTTATTTTCTTTTTCACTTTGGCTTTTTAGTGCAATTTCATTTTTCTTCCTATAAAATTTTGGTTTTCTTCTATAGTGACCTGTCTTGCAAGACAATGCATGTCAATTTTATAACAAAGCATTTTTAATTCATTCTGCAACAGCTTTAGAAAGAAATTTAATCATTTGTGGCTGAAAAAGAATCCCTGCAAAAACACAAATATGGTTGGTTTTTTTTTTAGAAATAAAAGATTTTTTGTGTCAAGTTGGCTTAACTTTTAAGTTTTCTAACTTACAATTTTACAAATCATTTAAGAATGTGGAAGTAAAATTCTGCATGAATGGTAGTACTTCTGGGTCAGGTATCACTAATTCAGGTTCCACTGGAACATAACTAAGAAGAGTTTTTTCTTTACTCATTAGTTTGAAATGTTGTAGTATGCTATTTAAAAAAATAAAAATGTAAAAATAAAAAAGTGCCAGCATATTTGGCAAATAAGATTAATACCATAGGGTATCTCTTTCATGGTATATAGTTCTATTTTTGAAGGTTTTATGTAAGAAAAAAGTAGTTATTTTGTGCAAGTATTTTATTTGATCCTGTCTTGAGTCTAGTTCCTTCTGAATATACATTGCATAAACAAATAATTTGGATTTAGGATAACAAAAAATTGTATTGCCTCAGATATTAGGACTTAATTTTTTGCTAAGTCATGGTACCAAAACTTGTGAGAAGTTTAATAGGTAACTAGCCAAAACTGGTGCTCTTTAAGGCACCAAAAATGGAAAAAAAAAAACAAAAATAAAACCAAACCCAACAATCAAAAAAACCCAGCAACCAAACACACAAAAACTTCCAACTCTAAAACAATTTAGAGATTGTTTTACTTTGGGATTTACAGTAACATATAAAAAAATAGAGACCACCTTTTCCCTGCTCTCCATCCCTCCTCCCCCCATTTTTACTTTATTAATATATTAATAGTTTAACTTTTGGCTGCACAATTTTTACTCCCACTTTTTC